ACTCACGGTCTCAGTCCCCTCACCAAGATCCTGGGGGTTTGACGTCAGAGTAACCCAGAACCTTGCTGATCTCTGCGGCCCCAGGGTCCGTCCTCACCGTGGCTAAGAAGTACACGGCGTGGGAAGATGACCCTGTCACGCAGAACGCGATGGGGAGACACACAGCTGCGGTTCTCGGTTCTGCCCACATCCCACCCACGGTGAGTCTCCACTGCCGGCAGCAGGGCGGCACCCACACGCCCCAGGCCCATAAGAAGGGTCAGAATCCCGCACTAAGGACGGCGGTCATTTAGGCGGACCCCTCACTCTGCAGAAACTCTGCAAGGTGGGAGGACTCACCCCAGTTCCTGGAAGGGGGCAGAGGTCACACCCCACGGGGAGACACGCCACCTGGGCCTGCCCCGGCTCCCTCCTGCCCCGGCTCCCAAGGCTTCGGGGGGAGCAGAGGGCTGGAGAGGGATGGGGGTGCTCGGTGTGATAAAAAAATACATAGCACAATGACTTCGACAACGGCCCGATGACCAACAGACCTGAAATGCTAGTAAGACGAGGCAGCCGCACTTAGCGGCGCAGCCGACCCGAGCGACGCCTGCCAGCGCAGCGCCAGCAGCCAAGTGGCCGCCCCAGGTGGCAAAACCGGCAGCTCTGCAGGGTTGCCAGGCAACGCCATGGCAGCCAGAGGTCCTCACACAGTCACGAGCCCGTGTCCTCAGGAAACCAAGCAAAACGCCAGTTAGCGTTCCTCAATAACACGTCTCAGTGCGCGCCACTGACACTCTGCACTGTCCTGCGGGGGAAGAGCCTCAGGTGGGCGTGGGAAGGAAGGAAGGAAGGAAGGGCCCCGGGAGGGTCCACCTCTCTTTGGAGGCCCAGGGAAGCGTCCTGGGCCCGCCAGTGTGTCCTCCGTGGACGGGAAGCATTTGCACAAGGCTGCCGCACGAGAGCAGGGAAGAAGTGGGCAGAGGCGGCTGTTCCTGTGCATGGGTCCGCTCGCAGGGGCCCCCAGGCCACAGGTCTGCCAGGCTCCTGGAAACGAGGGGTGGGAGGGGGCGCCGCTGATCTCCCTGCCCCGGCTCTGACGCTGAATCGCCTGCAGGGGAGGCAGCCCACCCCCACAAACCTTTCCAGGACCTACACTCCTACCGTGTCCCCACACCTTTCCTGTCCCTCCTTCCAAAACCCCGCCTGGCAGGAGCCTGCTCCGCCACCAGCACACCGCCTCTGGGGCCCCTGGCTTGGACGGGGGATGGAGAAGCCCAGCCCAGGCGGTGGGCACAGGCTCAGGTCCCAGAGCCACACAGACAGGAATTGGGGGCCTTGCTGCACCTCTGCTCGCTGTGCGCCCACTTGAAGCCTCAGCTTGCTCGCCTCTGAACAGGCGACGTGCGCTCCAAGGGCTGCGCTGAATCCTGGCGACGGCTGTCGGGCAGGGCAAGGGCACGGCATTCCACCCGTGTCAAAGGAAGCGCGGAGCCCAGCAGCAGCTGCTGCCATCCGGTCACTTCCAGGACTCTCCATGCCCAGGTCTGCCAGGCCCGACGCCTCCTACGAAACCTCCCCTAACTGCCAAGTCCAAGTACCTCCTCGCTTACCCAGACGCCTTCGCCGACCGTCTGCAGCCTCGCTCCGGCGCTTACACACACGCATCTCTGCACTGCCATGCGTGCTGTCATCGCACAGTCTCAGGCAACTGTCCCCTCTCCCCCAACTGGCCCAGCAGCTCCTCCAAGGCCTGGCTTTGCTCTGTGTTCACCAGTTCACCACGGTCCCCTCCCCCATCATGCCTGAGTTCAGATGTCTGAATGTAGCACAAGTGAATAAACGCATGTGCCAGGCGTACACACAGTTTTGTTCAGGCACAACCGTACCTGGTACTGGTGATGCAGACAGGCCAGTAACGAGAAGCAACACGGGGCTGCCCCTCACCCTCCATGAGTGAGTTACTGCCTGGCCTTAGCCTGGGCGTCCACAGACTCAGCCAGTGCCACCTGCCGCCGCCCAGGACCAGGGGACACGGGCTGGGCGCTCAGACGGCGCTGCCGAAACACAACCAGCTCCCAGACGCCAAGTCAGGGGGAGTGTCTGGGTTCTGGGGGTGGCGGGTGGACCCCGCTCTCTGCCCGCGCTGCCTGGCTTCTGCCGCACGGAACTCAGAGAACCACATGAGCCTCGGCTCGTTTCTGTCTGGTTTCTAGAGGCATCTTCCCTGAGCGACGCATTCCAGTGCCGTGAAATGTTTCAAAGGCCACATTCCTTGCCTCCCTTTTGGCCCTCTTTCTTTTGTCCACTGCCAAGTGAGGTCAACCTAGTGCTGACCACCATCATACAAGAGCTGTCTGTACCAGTCAACGGGTCTCTGTGTCATTCTGCTTCCCAGCAGTTCAGTTCCACCAGACATGCTCTCTCCCCGCCGATATTCACATCAATCCTTTCCCTCCTTTTCCACTCTCCCTCCTTCACTTTCTCAGTCACTCAAGTCCCGGCCCTCCCTGTCAGGCCCACGTCAGCTGCAGGAGCATTCCCAAGTTTTAAAGACGCTCTGACAGCTGGTTTGGGCTGTAGACCCTGATAAGGAATATTCCTGCCAAGAAGGACTCCTTGTGGTTAATTGGGCCCAAATCCATAACCAGAGTCTAGCAACCATTGTCTGCAGAGGCCTGGCAGGCAGGATGCATTTCAGGGAAAAGCTGCAGACTGAGCAGGCAGCCTCCCACACTGTGCTCCTGCTGCCTGAGCCCAACCTTAGCAGGGAGTTCCTGGAATCCTATTTCAACCAATGGGCTGAGACCTGCCCCAACCAATCAGAGCTGCACAGATATATTCTCATTTGCATCTTTACTCACCAACTTGGCTCCATCTACCAATCAGGAGGCCCAAATCTGACAAGTACAACTTGAACCAGTCAAACTGTATAAATTTGGATCCTTCATTTGCATAAAAATGGACCAGTCAGAGATTAGGGCAAATACTTTATATAAGCCCACCTTCTGTTTGTAGGGAGAGCACTTTGGTTTCTTCTGGAGGCCAGGTTTCCCCAGTTTGCATTGGGTTGGTGGCAGTGACATTTTTGTTGACAAGGTCAAGGTACCATGCACCAGCACCATGGTCAGAATCCAAAGGACCAATCCCCATTAGCAACACTGACCCACTGCCAGCTGGGTCAAGGCTGGCTGAGCCTTTCTGTGATTCAGGGACAACCACTCCCACTGTCCTTCTGTTACAAGGACTCCTTGCCTTTTACAAAGGCAACTGTAGTGTGGGCAATGCTAAGCTACCTACAGTCTTGGATGCCTTTTGAACCCCCAAGGGGATTCAATACAGGGTAATAAATGAAAGAATGCTGAAAGTATGTCCCTCAGGACAACAAGGCAGAGAAAATGGACACAAACGGGGTATGAGATGGTGGTTTTCCAAGTGTGTTGGCAGCAGAGTCCTGTCCTCAAAGGACACTTTTGGTGGAAGTCACTGGTCAACTGGACAAAGGAGGGGCTGTTTTGGCGGGGCGGCGGGCTGGGTGTCCGGGCCCACCTGCCCCCCGCCCCCGCCCGTTTCTCCGCCCGCCATCCACAGGGAGTCACCAGGCTTCCACAGGGCAGTTTGAAGACTCAGCTCGAAAGGAGGACACAGAAGGAACCTCAGTTCACGCCCTCCACAGAGTGGGGCTGGCCACACAACGTGAGGGCCCCTCGGGAATGCATGGCAACGTCTCTGTCTACTCACGTCCTGCTGCTTTTCCCTTCCCAGGCTGCCCCCGCGTTCCTCAGCCTTGGTTCCAGGCAGAAACGTGTATCATCACAGTCGTGAGTTGCTGTGATGGGTCTCCGAGCCACTGGAACAAGCTGCCATCTGCCTACATGCTCACGGCACTCACCGGGGGGGCGGGGAGCGGGAGGCGGCCCGTCCTGCACGCCCCCCATGGCAGGCCCGGCCGCACCCACCCTCCCGAGTGGAAACTACTACACACACTCCAAACGCACTCCGAGGCTCTTCGGAAGGGCTGTCCCATGGCAAGGCCCCGCTCTCCCAGAACAATGAGCAGCACCCTCCATTGCACTCAGGGGGCCCTACGCGGGCGGGCTGGCCGGGCTGGCCGGGCTGGCCCCTGACCTCCGCCAGCGTCCCTCTGAGGGAGCAGCATTTCCCACGTGAGACTCCCGCCCACAGGCGTCTGAGTCACGCAGCAGCCGCTCGCCTACGGAAACACTGCTGTGTGCGAATCGGCCTGCGGGCTGCCAAGGTCTCCTGTGTGACCTGCAGAGACCTGACACACATCTCCACTTCCATCAGTGTGAGAGACTCCGGGGAGGGAAAAAAACCTGAAATTCCGACAATGCCAGTGGGCGATTTTTCAAGGAATGTTTCTAGCTTGAAAGGAGAAGGCCATGAAATGTGTAGAAATCAGGGGGGCACCGCTTCCTGTTCCAGAAACATTCCGGTTCCCGCAGAAGACACCGGAGCTGAGCGCAGGTGACAGGCCGCAGCCGTCACGCCAGGCTTTCCGCAGCCTCTGCCCTTCTACTTCTGAGAAGAGAAACTCGCTTCTCTCCTCGCTGGGGGAGCAGCTGCTCCAGCCCACACCTAGCAGACTGCCTGCCTCCCCTGGGCAGAGCGGAGAAGAACCTTCGCATTTGTTAAATGGTCGGAAAAAAGCATCCTAAGGTTTCTTGACACACGAAAATTGCATGGAATTCGAATGTCAGCATCTGTCAATCAAGTGTTCCTACAGCACAAGCAGGCCGGGCCACTCCCACTGCCTGTGGCCACGCCCACTGCCTGTGGTCACTCCCACTGCTGGTGACCACGCCCACTGTCAGTGGCCACTCTCATGACCTGGCCAAGGTGAGCAGTGGGGCCCAAGACTGTGGCCCATAGCCTAATTTTGACACAACTCTGCCGTTTCCAGAAAAAAGTTGCTGATACTGACCTAAGAGCCAGAGCCCCGCCCCCCTCCGCCCCCAGCACCCGCAGGTCCCAGTGTGTGTCGCGTAGGGAGGACGTACCTGGCTGAGAGGGCGCAGGCATCTGTCCAGACAGCAGAGACAGCAGGAGCAGCACCTGAACACGCACCTGGACCAGGCACTCGGCTGCTGGGGCAGGTGCAGAGCCAAAGGGACAGAGTCAGGATCAGGCGGGAAGGCAGGCGAGTGGCAGGTGCCGCAACACCCCGCTTCTACCTGGAGATCACACACCTGGGGCCACGCCGCGGCACTTCTCACGCGGCGCGGGCGAAGTTCGGGCGCTGTGCACGGCCCCGGCTTATTACTCTTACTGTTACTACCAACGACCAAGTTTCCCTCTCCTGGGCTTACCCATTGCCACTGCTGTTGACCTCAGTTGTTGACCCCAAAGGAAGCGGAATGGGTTGGTTGGTCCATTTTTACTAGCAAAGGTAAAAACTAGGACCTCTGGTTCCATTAAAAGAAAAATAAAAAACAACCCTCTCTTCCTTCGTCCCCCCTCTGGTGTCTTCGATCATAAACTTTGCTCTTTCAAACCAGCTTATCGTCATGACAAATTCACATCCCAAAGATGATAAAACAAAGGACACTTTGTAGATGTTCGTTATGTGCTCAGATTAGAAAGAATCAAGTTTATGTTTTTTGGAAAGGAATCCGATGATGAGATTTTCAGGGCTGAATTTCAAGGGATAAATTAGCCCTTTGAAATATAACTTGGACTAGTGTTTAACTCAAGAGTGAATGATTTAAAGGAACCTTAGGGACGAGGGGACTGACTGCATCCGACCCACGGCCCAGAGTTTGAGAAGAAAATGCCTATAAACAATCCTGAAATAGTCCCCTCTGAGAAACCAGGAATAGCCCAGCCTTATATGGACATCTACTCATCCAGACGTTAATTCAGCTGCACGAAGCTTGACCTGGATGCTTGTCAGCCTGGCTGGGGTTGCGAGTGAGCCATCTGCCGCGTGAAGGACCACGCAGGGGCAGCGTGAAACCATTCAACTGTAGGCACACTGCCGGCTGCCAGGCTGCTGAGCAAGGCTGCTGCCTCCTGCCTGACAAAGGACACATTTCTCCAGCAGTGACATCACTGGAAGGGACTGGGGGTGGTGGGGGTGGGCGGGGATGATCCATAACCTTTTAGACCAACTGCTGACCTCTCTTCCAGGTTCATGGAAGGCGGCGCCCACAGTAGGGTGCTCAGGGGGGACGGCAAGTCCCCTACTGCTCCTTAGTTCACAATGATCACACATCACACACAGACCAGGCCTCGTTGTGATGTGCCTTTTCAGCACGTGAACTGTTTGGAGCCCAAGGCAATCGAGATTCTGCAGGCTCACAAGAAGTTCCCTCTCCCTTAGAGAATTTAAATCCAGGTCTTGCCCCTTATGAGAGTGACCACCGGAAACAACATTGCTGATTGATCTGCTGGGCAGGACAAAGTGCTGATTATTGAGCATCTGTTCTTCTTCTGGTTCTGCAACAGCTTCCTGCCCTCCTCAGCTGCAGGTGCCTCGGCTCATCCTTAGCTCAGAGCATGGTGTGTCCCCCAACTTCCTGTTCTGCCTCTGAACCGGCTCGTGTGCTTGGGGTTCCCACACACACCTAATTAAATGTAGTCATTTTCTCAGGCTGGTGTGGCTCAGTGGATTGTGCTCAGGCCTGCGAACCAAAAGGCCACTGGTTTGATTCCCAGTCAGGACACATGCCTGTGTTGCAGGCCAGGTCCCCAGTAGAAGGCGCAGGAGAGGCAGCCACATGTTGATACTTCTCTCCCTTTTTCCTTGCCTTCCCCCCTCTCTAAAAATAAATAAAATCTTTTAAAAAGTGAGTCATTTTCTCTTGTTAATCTGTCTCATTTAATTATTGAGACAGTAAAGTCAGCCAGTAAAGTTTCTTCCTCTATATATATGAAAATAAAAAACATATGAATACATATGAATATATGAGTATAAATATATGGTTGTATATGAATGTAAATATGTCAATATATAAATGAGTGTGCATATGAATATATGTGAACACACACATATATATGCACGTATATTGCGTTCAACTCCCTCTCCAAGTTTCCTAAAATTGAAGGATTCATTTCAAAATGCAGGAACCAGAGTAGCTAGATTTCACCTGGACGTGGAAATGCCTCTTCAAGTCACCAAAATGTATGTATTTTTTATCCCTTGAAATTCAGCTCTGAAAGGGATATGTTTAGACTAATTTATTCCTTGAAACTCAGCCCTGAAAGTTTCACTATAGATTTCCAAACAAGTTAAATTGAATTCTTTCTTCATGTGGGCACATAAATGGCACTTACAAAGCACCATTTCCATAGAAACACAAGAAGCGCTCTCTGGCGGGGTCAGGGGAGGTGGAGGGCGGGCAGGGACCACTGGGTTGCATGCATTTCAAGATAAGAAAGCTGGATAACTTTATGTGGAATTCAATCAACTGTTCCTGCCTGGTACACTAATCTCAAGTTTTGATTATGGACTTAAAAATGTCAACAATTCAGATGTCTACTTAAAAGAACAAATAAGAACAACTCTGAAGTGTAACCAGGAATCCACGTGTAAAATTTCTCCAGCTTACTGAGAACGCCCACCAGGCCCCAAGGTGGAGTCGGGTTGGTGAAACTCTGACCGGAGCCCCTGGGGCAGAGGCAGAGGCGGGGGCGGGGGGACAGCGGAGCTGGGGGCAGCCCCGCCCTCCCCCGTTTGCTGGCAGAAATACCATGAGAACAGCTGTTTTCCTGGGGCTCTTGTTCCTGCTGGCATTCACAACCCACTGTGCGAGGAAATCAAAGCCAGGGAGGGAAAAACCCAGGCACAAAGGCCTACAGTTTTCTGTCTTCTGAGCTGAGATTTGGGTCATCCTGCCCATTTCTCTCTCTCTCTCTCTCTCACTCTCTCACACACACACACACACACACACTCACTCACCAGTAACTCCCCAAGGCACACTCCAGGAAACACAAAAGGCAGGGGATATATTAGCACAAACAAATATTATCTTGTGGTGTATTTTTCTCCTTTAAAAGAAAAAGCCTCTAATTCTCCAGGAAAACTGGTTTAAATTTCCTCTGACCAAGCCCTCCGGTTTGTTCAGCATTTAAATGAGCAGGAACCCACCTCCCTCAGAAGGGCCCCGCCCAGCCCCACCCCCTTCCCCACGTGGGTGGAAAGTCCAGCACAGGGAACCACAAACACTTGGCTGGGAGTGAGTGGGGTGGGGGAGGGGGGCGGCCTCCCGGAATGGCCACCGTCCCAGGTCACATTCCTGCTGCAAACCCCGAGGTGTGGGCTGAGGGCCACCTCACCTGGTCTTGCAGAGCGCTGGACAGGCACAGGACGAAGGCTCTGGGGACCCGAGCCAGGGGGATCAGAACGGAGCCTTTCACGGCTGTCCCTAGGTGGTGGCAGAGGAGGGTGGTGAGGGACGAAAGGACTGGGCGGTCGGGAGGGTCGTTTTCATTTCTGGGAAGAGGGAGAGAAAACACGGCTGAGAACGGGACAGCACATTCTGGTCACATCAGCCAGGGCACTGACAACATGTGGCAGTGACGTGGAAAGCACAGCAGGACGGTGCCACATGCCTCGGCTGCGGAGGTAAAACTCGTCCCTTCCGGTGGCACTCGGGGCTGCACACAGAGGCCCCGATGGCTCAGGTAAACCAGGTTCCCTCCTGATGACACCGACCTCCCCCACCAGCCCTTCAAGGTGCCTACTCATCTCGTCTTCTCTTTCAGAAGTTTACTTCTATAACCATCTGCGAGGTGTAAACCCCACACGGGGAGGCCACCTGCCCCGGCTGGGTCACTGCAGTCACTCCCAGATCACAGGAGCAGGACGGGGCCTGGGAGGCGACAGTGAGCTGGCCTGGGCCACCCAGGCCGCCTGGGCGCTGGGACGGGAGCTCGCCTTGGGCTCAGCTGGAGCCTCCTGAAACCCAGATGACCCCTCCTGCACGAAGGTCGCGTCCTGTGAGTCATTTACAGGACTTGCCGGGACACAGCTCCCAAGAATGCAAACCCTGGTTTCACAAGCAGGGAGACCAGTGAGAAAGAAAGAGCTGGCCTTCTCCGCCCACCCCCAAACCTGAGGGTCAGACAGAGGAGAGCGCCGGCCCAGGCACGCTCCCTGACCCTCCGGACGACTTTCTTGGAGGCCGGTTCCAGGACATGAGGCCTTTCCCAGAAGCGGCCTCTCGGGCTCCAAGTGGAGCTTGGTTCCTTCCCAGCGGGTGACTCTGCAGCAGGGTCGGGTTGCTCATGGGTAAGCTTTCGACAAGGCCTCCATTTGACAGGAGAAAGAAATGCAGCCAGGAAGGTTTCCAGAGTTGGCGGGGGCCCTGTTTTGCTGTTAATCACCCGGGAGAGAGAGGAGAGCGTGCAAGAGGGTGGCGGCGAGTGCCGGGGCCGGACTCGGTCCACGTGTGTCCCCGGGGGAGCTGTGCCGAGCAGGCCACACTCTGATCCGATCATCTGGCAGCGCGGACAGGCCAGGAAAATCTGACACATCTTCTCTTCTCTTTTTTTGTAAAGGAAGAATGTTTACTTTTCCATCGAGGAGCCTGTGGGCCTTTGAACGCCTTGTGGTGCCCAGGAGGGGGTCTGCTTCCCAGCCGGCGGGGACCCGGGCGGTTCACAGGCCTCTGTGCACGGCGCCCTGGCCCGTCCCCTGGCGCTGACGTTCGGGGTCAGGCACGAGCCTTCTGAGGCTTCACTAGGACGGCAGGAACCACTGTCCCAACTGCCACTGTTGGTAACACGCCTCCACAGAGACTCCAGGGTCCCAGGAGCAGGGTGGGCTCTGGCTGGCTCTAGCCCAGGGCTCCCTGTGGCCAGCTTGAGCGATTTCAGATGCTGCGCTGTCAGGGCATGAGAGAGACCACTGAACAAGGGGGCCCTTCGGCCCTGGCGGGTGCAACGCAGGGCACTGAGCACCAGACTGGGAACTGAAAGGTCGCTGGTTCAGTTCCCAGGCAGGGCACACGCCTGGGATGCAGGCCAGGTCCCCGGTTGGGGGTCATGGGAGAGGCAACCTATGTGTCTCTCACACAACGATGTTTCTCCTCCCTCCCCCTCTCTGGAAGTAAACAAAATCTTTTTTAAAATAAGAAAAAGAGGGCCCTGTAAACCCAGGCCAGCTCACAGATTCACTCAACACCCGCCCTGAAAAGGAACTGGGGTGCCTTTGAAGTCCCCGCTTTCTCTTCTTAGACCCCTTTCCATACCCCAGCCGCCCTCCCACACTGGGTCTGCACACGGGGTCTGTCTCCCTCACAACCTGCAAAACCTGCCTCCAGGAAGCGGACCTGACTGTCCCCGGGAGGCTCAACGGAACACCGGGACGTGACCCTAACTCAACCACCTAAACGGACCTCTGGTCTCACCGTATTCTGAGAACCGACTTCCGGGAAGGCGGCGCAGTGATCGCACTCGGGGACTCGGCCATAAGCCTGTGCAAGGACCAGGCCTGTCTCCTGAGTGCTGCGTGCGGGACCCCTTCCAACCCTGCTGCGGGTGGTGGCTGGAAGGAAGTCGGGGCGGAGACGGCAGGAGACGGCAGGTGACGTCAGGAGACGCCCCAGGAGCCCAGCGTTCTCCTCCTCTAAACCTGCGGCCACCCCGAGTGCTCCGTGAGAGGCAGCCAGGGCGCTGGGACTCGGCACCCAGTCACTTCCCTGGGCTATGGGTTTTGGTCCCACCCATGAGAGTCCTGGGACACCGTGGGTTCCTGGCACTTAAGTGTCCCTCGGACAACACAGCAGAAGACAAGCCATGGTCGCCAGGGTCTTAGTGGCGAGTTTTAGCTCCGGTGAGGTCCGGCCTGGTGCTGAGGACTCCTTGAACGACTTGGGAAATGACCTCTGTGCAGAGGTGAAGCACTGGGGGGGGGGGGTCCCTGAAGACACCGCGTCCTTTCCTGACACTTCTTCCAGCAAAAGCACTGCCGTGTGGGCGTGGCTTGGGAGGGCTTCGAGGAAGGCGTGGTTCCTCTGCCCGACCCTGCAGAAAGTGGGGGCCGTCTTCATTCTGAACGGGACCCTCCAGCTGTCCTCGGCCACCCTCGCGGGAAGGACACCCAGCTGTCTCCCACCACGGGCTCAGCTGCGAACGCTCCTCTTCGGAGAATCCAGAGCGGACAGAAACCACACTTTCCCCACGTGAGCGACGCAGGCCTGCCTCCAGCCTCCCTTCTCTGAGTGGAAGGTCTCCAGTCCCCTCTTCCCATCACGTCCTCAGCCACCTCGCCTCGGCGCTCAGTCGACACCTCATTAAGCAAATGTCATAAAAGGGAAGGCCTACAGGTGGCCCAGACCCGGGGGCCTGACGGTCTTTGGCTCTCTGTGCTCCAATGAATGCGGGCGATGGTGGCCACTGGCTGCCTTTAATCCTCAGTTTGTGTGCAGGCGACGACGCGAGATTATTTTTAACATTTTATTGCTTGTGCTGTTAGAGTGGCCCTATCTCTCCCCCTGGGCCCCGCCCTCAGGCCCGTCCCCGATGATGAGGGACGTTGAGCGCCCGTTCATGCATTTGTCGGCCACCTGGTGCCCTCTTCGTAAGGACGTCCTAATGCTCTGCCCGTGTTATGATCAGGTTGTTCTTTCCAGTTCTATGAGTTTCGTGTATTTTGCACACTAACCCCTCGTCGGGTATCTGATTTGCAAATACTCCCCCCGTTCCGTAGGCTGCCTTCCCGCCTGCGGCTCCTCCCGCTCAGCGGCTTTTCCGTTGGACACGGGCCCACTTCCTAGTTTCTGTGTTTGCTGCCTGTGCACCTGGTGTCTCACTCGAGACAGAGTCCAATGTCAAGGAGCCTTCCCCTTGCGCTTTCTTCTAGGAATTTTGCAGTGTCCGTTCTGACGTTTGCATCTTTAGCCCATTTCTAAGGAACTCTCGTGAGTGGGTGAGAGAGGACTGCAGGCTCACTCCTCAGCACGCGGTCCCCGGTGCTCCCGCCATCGTCCACTGCAGGGACCCGCCCTCCCCACTGACTGCTCCCGGCTCCCATGTCAAGCACTAGTTGGCCGCAGAGGCAAAGGTCAATTCATCTGTGGGTATTTTTATGCCAACACCCCAGTGTTTTGACTACGCCACGTTTGTGATGGAGTTTGATATCAGAAAGAAGTGATCCCTCCAGTTTTGTTCTTCCTCAGGATTGCCTTCCCCTATTCGGGGTTCTTTTGTGGCTCCGTTTTAGGATTGTTTTTTCAACAGTCCTCCAAATTTTAGGACTGTTTTTTCTACTTCTCTGAAAAATGCCATCAGAATTTTGACGGGGTCGCATCGCCTCTAGGGATGGTGTTGGGCAGTACACACAGCTTAACAACATTCCTTCTTTCGATCCAGGAACACGGGCGTCTTTCCACGTGGTCTGTGTCAGTTTCAGTGACTGTCATCAAAGTCTTGTGGTTTTCGGTGTGTAAGTCTTACACCTCCCCAGTTAAACTTATTCCTGAGTATTTTATTGTTCTGGATGCTACTGTGAGTGGGACTGTTTGCCTTTTTCTTGCAGCTGTTTCCTTGTTAGTGCACAGAAAACGCTACGCTTTTCTGGGTGAGCATTTCACGTCCTGCACCTGTACCTAACGCACCAACTGGTTCTGTCAGTTTGGGGCGGAGTCTCTAGAGTTTTCTAGACATAAGATCATACCTGCAGTACATAAATAACCGAGCCAAGTAGTAGTGAATTCCTGTTACATTTCCTTTTCTAGATGACTTCCGGGTTTTCCTGAAGTTAATACGTGCTTTACATTTTTTATCTGCTTGGTGGTCCACGGCTGCAGCCAAGTGAACATCTTTGCTCGCGTTCAGGCACACCCGGCATTCTGTCAGCTTCTCTCCTCCTTGGAGACACCCGCCGGACTCGGACTATGTGTTCTCTCCATGGCCGCACGCTGCCCTCCGGGGAAGCCCTCCTCCTCTTCCCTGGCCCAAGGCCATTCCCAAACCCCCCGCCGTCCTGCCTGGCTCACTCCCTCATTGCAACACAGGACGTTCTTCCTAGGAAGCGGCGTGGGAGGGAAGCCCTTTGACACGTCCATGCCCGAACATGACTTTATTCCCCTTTGACCGGCGCTGTGGGCGGATCGGGAACTCCAGGCCGAAACCCCCTCTCCGAGGTCTGGACAGCCTCGCCCCACAGCCGTCCCGGTGCCGGGCTACAGCTGAACGTCACCCCCCCGCCCCACTCCGGGTCTGCATCCTCGGCCTGTTGGCTGTTTCTTTTCCCATCCAGAAGCTTCCAGGATCTTACCCGACTCCAGCTCTCCACACCCCCTGTGTTTCTGGGACTCGTACCAGTTGGACCTCGGCTCTCCATTTACGCTCTGACTGTTCACTCTTTCTTTCCTATTTTCCATCTCTTTGCTATTTTTTCTCCATCTTGTTAGAAAAGGTCTCCTCATTTTCCACAGGACAGAATCGGGCTCCCAGAAGTCGCGGAGGTGGGTCCACACGGACCAGGACTGTTCTGCAGTGTGAGGTCAGTGGGGCCTTCCTGTCCGGCCTCTCCCCCTTCTCAGAGGACAATCACTGCCCTGTTAGGCTTCCTTCTGAATTTTCTTTCTTCACATAAAGAGCTCAGGCCCCGGCCAGGTGGCTCAGCGAGTTGGAGCTTCATCTTATATACCAAAGGTTGAGGGTTCGACTCCCGGTCTGGGCATATACAGGAGATAACTGCGCTCACTCTCTCTCTCTCCCCTTTTCTCCCTCCACACCTTCTGTCTCTAAAATCAATAAATATCCCCGGGACAGGATAAAAGAGAAGTAAAGACAGTGGAACTGTGGCAGTTTCGGGGACGCCAGCCACTTCTTTTCACCACCAAATAAACGTCCGGACAGATTTTTAGCTCCATGTGGCTCCCGCCAACACCACCCGAGGGGTCGCGCCAGGACCCCAGCCTTCCTCCCGAGACGCACAACACGAACCAGATGGCAGGAGTAGCAACGGGCTGAACCTACCTGTTGAAATAACAGGCCACCACTGCCCCCGCCACGGTCATCTGCTGGCACGAGAGGATGAACTCGCTGGTCCAGACGAGGCCCAGCAGGTGGTACCCCCACAGGCGCCGAACGCCCGGGAGTGGCGTGTACTCCACCCGGCCGCTTCCGGTGACCCGGGCCGCTCCTGGAGTGCGAAACACACACACGCCTCATACCCACGTCCGCCCAGGAACGGACAGTGTCCGACGGTGTCCGACGGGCCGCCCTCCTCAGGCCCAGCCTTTGGGTCTGCGGCACACGGACGCCCGTGCCCGGTGAAGCACCACTGTCATTGAAGACCTCCACAGCCAACACTAGAAGCCGTCCACGCTGCGGATGTGTGAGTGCTCCACACGCAGCAACCACAGGGACGGACTGGCAAGCCAGGCGCAAGGCGTGTGACGTGTATGTTGACACTCCCCCCACCTGGTGGGTGTGAGGACTGGGGCTCGGAAGAGTCAGGAAGCTTCTGTGGCGCCTCCCCACTCCCAGGAGCAGCAGGAGATTGGAGAGGGGGGCCTGCAGGACCCTAAAACCCATGGGTTCCCACCGCACCTTGTGACACAGTCACACGGCTGTGAGGACCACGTCACAGAAAACACGGCCCTTCTAAAGGAGACAAGGACCTTCCTTTTGTCTAAGGGATTCATTCCAGGTTTCATCTCGAGAACAAAGTCTCCTGTTGTGTTTTAAATGTCTGCCTCACAGTCACCTTTCCCCACCCGGGGAGCCTGGTCGAGCGCCCTGGCCTCCCGGAGTCTGGGCCCCCTCATCCCGGACACCCATTCCCTGGGGCAGGTTGAGGGAGACTCCCCGGTCGGTGACCACTACAGGGCCCCAGGAGCATCACCCCCAACTGACAACAGTGTTATCGTCGTATTTCAGGAGCACGACGCCGGGTCAGACCGAGGCCTGCCAGGCGACCCTGCAACACCCCCCCACTGGTGTGGATGTCCTCAGCTTTGCTCGATGCCTCCTAAAAATCCCCGGACTTGGCCCCACAGTTTGATTCTACATCCTCTGCAGTTGTTGGATCCAAAGCCCGGCTCCGCACTCTGTGGGACTTCCAGAAGTCCTCCGCTCCGGAAGTCCTCCGCTCCGCATTTTAAATAAACCCCAGGACGGGGACGGGCCCTCTGGTCCTCGGTGAGGCCTACTGCCCAGGGCATTAAAAAATGGCTCCGTTTCCCGTTGTGGCTGGAGGCTGCTTTCAGGTCCACAGTCCCAGCGTCCTTGACATTCACAGCAGCATCTGCACGAAGGAAGCAGAGACAAGGCGGCGGCGGCCTCGGGGCAGACGGGCTCCGGCTGCACTGTCTCCATTCCCGCTCCGGGCGCCGCCAACAAGAGCTGCATTGTGAGGAAGAGCAGGCAGCCTGCGTGCAGGGGCACGCTGACATTTACGGACACTGGGCTCTTTCCGGCGTGGAGTGCACCCCTGTCTCGGGTACGGCCCTGACCAGTGCTGCTGCTGTTCAAGAGCGGACGAGTTTTGGGAGAGTATCCCCGGTCCCTAGAACAAAGGCTGATGGGCAGGGCCAGGGAGTCGGGCCGGCGAACCTCCGCCCAGCAGCACGCTGGTGCCAGGGACGGACCCCGGTGGCACAGGCGTGTGACACCACACTGGGCTTTCCTGGACTGGGAGGGAGAAAAGGGGGTCGCCCTGCGCTGCCTGTGATAAGCCCACCCATTCTTGGCTCCGCATGCGCATGGCAGCAGTGGCAAAGGTGCGAAGCCCAGGCCCACACAGGCCTCCAGGCCCCGGCCCCCACGTCACTGCGGGCTGGCCACCCGTCTTCGAGCACCCACGACAGCTGCCCCTCTTTATTGCTCCGCTTCGTTGCAGGCTGGTGTGCAGACTCCGCTTTACTCAGCCTTTCCCAACCCTGTACCAGCTGCCATTCTTGCGTGGTCCTTCTTTGTGGGGGGCGGGGACGATCCTGTGCATTCGGGGGTGTTCGGCAGCGTCGGTGGCCTCTACCGACTCAATGCCAGGAGCATCCTTCCTCCACTCCTCCCGTCATGCCAACCCCAAATGTCTCTAGACATGGCCAACGCCACCTGGGGATGAGGTCCCTGAGAACCCCCGCTATGAGCAAACCTCTGCAGCCTCACCTGGGAAGTAACCGGTCGGGGGCCAGTTCCTGGGCAAGACTGCCCTCTCCTGGAGGGCCCCGGGAGAGGCTTTGTTACTAAGGTTTGTTACAATGTAGCTCCTGAGCAGTGTAGCCAACTTCCTGGGACCTGAGCTGCAGACAGAGGCCTGGATGCACAGGTCTCAGGACGGTAGTGGAAAGGACCCTGAACTTGGCTCCAGTCTCAGCTTGGACACACGTCAGAAGCCACCTGGGCCTCAGCTCTCTCACCACAAAGGTAGAGAGGGTTGACGGACAGGAAGAAGCCCTGGGCAGGGTCACCTGTCTGCACTGACCCCCGGGGCTGACCTTTCCACACCCCAGTTCATCATCACCAAGTTGCCTGGTCTCTCGGGGCTCCACCCAGGTTCTGCCTGCCACTCCCACAGCTGCGGAGAGGGTCCGAGTAGGAAGGCAGTCGGAACAGTGCGCACAGCACGGGGCCAGCCACGGTGGGCCTGCACGGAGCCAGGATTCCAGTGCTGAACCTCACGACTGCTTATGAAGCGTCTACCGCACGCTGGCATCATGCGGAACACGAGCTACTAGCGAGGAGGTGAAAACAGCAACACAACATCAGAAAGCAGATACCCGCCCAGTGACTCTCGGGAGCTCACAGGTCCCTGGCCTGTCCTGGGCCGGTTCCCATTGCTCCGCTGACCTCCGAGGCTTCCCACCCGCACCCCCCAGGGAAGGGCCTGCCTTGCTGTTTCTGAGAAAACGAAAACAATGAGGAACCGGGCTAGAGGCTACGCCCCCATCCGCTGCGAGCTCTCAGCGTGGGTCTTAATCTGATCCCCTCAGCACAATAAACCGTCCCTGACCCCGAAGCTCCCCCCCATCCTCTTTCTCAATGGCTTGAAGGCACCAGAAGCTCCCCCGCTTTCTTGCTTCAAGAGAACACTCCTCTCTCCGCACAATCACTTATTTATCTCACGTTCTTTCTAAAAACCTGCCCGGGACTCCCTCTCCTCCTCCAGCTTCCTGCCATTTCCCTGCTCCTTTTACTGCCAAATTCCTCACGACAATGCCCACTTTTTCCACTTCCCCTTCAGCGCACTGCCCACACTTCTCCGGAGCGGTTTGCTGTCATCTCCAAGCACCGAAATCCAGTGTCTGTCCCTCGAACTGACCCGACTCATCGGAGCTCCTGGCACCCCGGCCATCGCTCTCCGGCCCCGGGTCCAGGGCAGCCCACGCTGGCTTCCCACCCTGGGACTCCCTCCCCTCGGCCTTCGTCCCTCCTCCTCCTCCTCCTGTCTCCACGACCTTTTATCACTGCAGCGCCCATAGCCCAGCCCGTGGTCTCCTCTCTCCTCTCCACGCGTGTTCTAACATCACGGTTTTAGCGCTACCTACATGCCCCGAGTTCCCCCACGCACATCTCCGGGAAACCCAAACCCAAACGGCTCCCCACCTCCGGGACCTCCTCATGCGGCTGCTAGAACACGTCTTCAGGAACATGACCTGAAACCACCCCGTCTCCCCTCAAAGGCGTCCCTCAAAGCCTCGCCCCGCCTCAGTCCACAGCAACCCCTCCTCCGGTTCCCCGAAACCCTCAGGGGTGCCCCCAGCTCCTCTGTCACTGACACCCCTCAACAGATGTGTCAGGAACCCCTTCAAACCAGATGCAGGCTCAGACACATCCCCCCACCCACCTCCGTGACCCTGTTCTAAGCCCACCGCCCCCACCCCAGAGTCACTGCCATTCCTGTCAGAGTCCCCCACACCACCATTTTGCTGAGAAGTCTGCCGTGTCCCCACCTCCGATTAGAAGCCAAGTTCCTAGAAACGCCTGCAGGGCCCCGGGACCGGCCCCTCCTGACCCACACCACCCCACACCCCGCGCTGGGCCGACGGGCCCTCGCTGTGCGCCCAGCACCCAGAGTGCACCACCTTCCTCCCTGCCACCTTCCCGGGCGGCAGTCAGACCCGCTGGTCGGAGCCCCAGCGTCCACCCGGCCATGAGGCGGACACAGGGGTAGAGGCCACGGAACGAGGCCAAAGCGGTGGGGAGCGGTGCTGGCCTGGGGTCTCCTCTGTGGACCCCGTTTATGCGAGAGAGACATCGCCTCGGATTTTGTTTGAGCCACTGCTGTGAGTCTGTGTTCCAAACGCTGTCCTGATTAGTCCTGGGCCTGTTTGACCAGAGTTCCTTGCTGGATAATGACTGCAAGTTCAATAATTCGGGTTCAATAATGAAGTTCCCTTATGGCAGGCCTCCTGCAAGATTCTAGAGACCCCCGCCGGGAGAGCCTGCCCTGCGGCACCTTGGACGCCGGGGACACGGGTTCCTAGGTGGCCTGGCTCGTGGGGAGCCGGCTGACTGGCCGGAAGGGGCCAGCTGGCCCCCGAGGTGGGAGGGAGTGCAGCTTACAGAGTCCGAGCTTCACAGCGGGGTCTTCCACTTGTGACTAGGGCCCACAGGGGACAAAATGAGCTGGTCAGTCGCTGGGATGACGTCAGCCTCGTGGTTCCTAACCGCCGGGCGACAATCCCAGAGAGCAGCGCCCTCAAGTGCACTCACACCGGACGGCCACCGGGCCCCTCCCCGGAGGAGCTGGGGAAGGAGCACAGACCGACCACCTGGCCCCGCACCACGAGTCCCACGCCCACGGGGCGCAAAGGCGCCCACGCCGGAATCGCGCCCATGGCGCCTCCAAGCCCGGCGTGTGCCCCGCTGACACGTGTGACGGTGAGACTGTCTGGATGAAGGAAGCACGGGGGGACACGCAGCGGGGCTTGGGCTCCTTCTTCGGTTCGTGACGCTCTTTGAAGAGCGTGGCTCTGGAGCCTGGCTTTATAAACAGACACTTAGCCTCCCCTCGTGCCCAGGGCCCTGAACCCGGTGAGGGGGTGGGGGGCCCAGGCACCTTCGTGCGGAGGAAGCGCCTCCGAGGACCTACTGCTCCCGCCGCAGGCACTGTGCCCCCCGGGACGGGGGCTAAACCTGAGACCTCTGATTCGCTCCTCTCTACGGGCTGTTTTCACACTGCCATGTTCCCTACAGTTCTCAGTCTTTCCTGAACTTACTCTCTCCCAACACAAGGCCAGGCCCCCTTCAAGTCAGAAGAATAAAAATCTCCCGAGTCCCTGGGACCGAGCCCCGACGCCGCCGTGGGCCTCAGTCACCTCTCACTGCTCGGGAGGGGCGGCCGACCGAAGTTTGTGATGGGGAGGGCTTCCGTGCGCGACTCCGAGGGGACCTGCCGCCTCACCTGCGGTGCCCAGGCTCAGGAGCACGGCCACCCAGAGCGCCCAGAAGAGGAGCAGGCTGGCCACCGTCCCCAGCGGCTGCAGCAGCAGGAAAGGACAGCGGTCGATGGCCTTGTTGGTGACCTGCAGAAGCTCGACCGCCAGTGTCGTTCTCTTGCGCAGGACGAAAATCAGGGCGAGCAGAACGGCCTGGTGAGGGGGTGGGAGAGAGGTTCATGTCGGCTCTGCGACCGGACGGAGCACCGAGGGGACTTGAAACCAACCCCAGCGTTCACCCCAGGAAGACAGACCCCCCAAACGCAATCGGAGCCTCACCACGCGCTGGTCCCCAGGAGAGGCCCTGCCCTGTGACCGCGGACAGGACACCACCCGCCCCACAGGGGCCTACGGCCTGGCTGGAGCCACAGAAAAGGAGGCTCGGGTCCTGGGGTGGGGAACTGCCTTCCACCGTCCCACCCAGGTGGCCGAGAGGCCCTGGGGACATGCGAGGCCTGCAGAGGGCCTGACCCGCCTCCACCGCCTCGGTGCAGGCACATCACCGGTGCCGCCTCCCCCACACCCTGGGCCAGCACCTCCGGTCCCTCTCCCCCACCCCGGGGGGCTTCCAGGAGCGGCCCTGGCTCAGGGACCCGGCCCTGACGTCATTCTCCAGGGCCCTGAGCAGCAACCTGGGGCTCCTCACTCCCGCCTGGGCCGTGCCTGCCGCCCAGGGAAGCCGTGAATGCCGCTGGACTTTTGTTCTTCGCTGTGGCTGGTGGTTACACTGAACAGATTTCCACGCTCTTCCCAGGATGTCCCTTCGTCCCCAGAACGACTAGGGAGACAGGCACATGTCCCCACCCCAATGGCCTCGGTGGCAGACGAGGGTCTTCCTGGCATTCAGGCCACCAGGCAAGACCAGCAGGTCTCCGCTGGGCTCCCCCGCGTGGGAGGGCATCAGGGAGGACCAGCGAGGTGGGGCTCCCAGGGGAGCGAGCAGGGATGAGGGTCACGGCGGGTGAGCCTCCTGCTTCGGGTCCTCTCCTGCTGCTGTGGGGCGCCCCGTCTCCCCCTCATCTGGGACAGTGGCAGGGGGCGGGGGGAGGAAGGGAAGGAGGAGCCCTGCCCACCAGCAGGGTAGGGGTAGGGGTGGGGGGTGGGGCCCGACCGGGGAACGCAATCCCGCTCCCTGTCCTGCCTCCCCTGGAACAGGTGTAGGGGTTCAGGGCCGGTCACCCCAAGATGTGCCTCTGAACTACGACGACGGTTTTGAGCTAAAGGCAACTTCAGGCTCGGGCACCGCAGAAGTCTCCGCCCTCCCTGGAATCAGAGCCTTCTCCCCAGCAACGGGCGACCGGAGATGCCTCCGCCGTCCACGAGGCAGGAAACGCGTCCGCTTGCCAAAGCGCCTGCTCTCCGGTCCCCCTGCCCGGACCCCCGAGACCCCGGGGCACCTCGGCCCAGGGTTCCTCCCCCCACTGTGTCTCTGAACCCCTCCTGCCTGTGGGGTTGTGGCTCTCTCTTTATGTGGGGTTCCCACACTCAGGAGTCGCATTTGGTTATTCCCACTAACCTGTCACATCTATTTGATGATGGGACCAGTGAGAAGAACCTTGGGGGCAGAGGAAAGTGGAGGGGCCGGGAAAGCAGCCGTCCCTGGGTCTGGCCGCTCTCTTGCCCCACAGCCAGCCCAGCTGGGGGACACGTGCTGTCCGTGGGGCCTCTCACTGGATGTGCTGCCCGGTGTGGCTCTGTGCGCCCCAGCCCTCCAACAGCACCTGGCAGGGGCCCGCCGCCTCCCCCACAGGCCCGCTCACCGCCCCCGCAGCTCTCAGCATTTGCCTGTGTCCAGCGGGGGGGGGGGGGGGGGGCGGGTCAGGGAGGAGGAGGTGGCAGGTTCTCTGATCACAGGGTCCCTGTAGCCGGCCAGCAGGTGTGGGGACAAAGGGCTCTCTGTGCTTGGGGCAGCGAGAGCTGTCCCGCCCGGAGGGAGCCCAGCCTCCATCCTCACACACAGGGAAGAGCCCGCCCTCCGCCCTCCCTTCCCTCAAAACCTGCAGTGGCCACCCGATGGCCACTCGGGGCAGAGAGTGGTTCTACTGTGCTAGGGGACAAGGAAGGAGCACAGGTGACAGGTCAGCCTTGGAGAGGGGGCAGAAATGCTGTGCAAAGAAGGAAGACCGTTTCCTTAGAGTCTGGAGGGTCCGAGGCGTCCCTGCATGGGGGTCAAACCCTGCTCACGCAGCGCGGAGGGCGGCCAGGGTCTTGCCGTAACAAGACCCTGTGATCTGGATTCAGAGCTCTGTTGGCTGCGTGACCGCCTCTCGGAAGTGTGTTTCTTACCGTGAAAGCCGTGGACACAATGGCAAACCCCAGCAAGCACGTCATGTTGTCCCTTTCTGTGTCCAGCGCCACGCTGAGGTCATTGGTGTAGTCATAGTACAGCCACCACAAGACACCGCAGTCAACTGGACGGCAAAATTGTGGGAGCTCAGCTCCTGCCCTCGGGCACGACCCCTGCTCCCCCCACTCCCCCCCCCCCCCCCGGGACCACACACCGGGCTCACCAGTGGGCCCCAAGTCCCTGGGCTTCCTGAAGGGGCCAGGCAGGGCCAGGGCCACCCAGCCTGGTGCAAATGTTGTCTTTGGGAGACGAGAAAGGGGGCTGGGGGAGGCAGCCCAGAGCGAGGTGGGTCCCGACGCCCCGCCCACACGCCAGGCCTGGCTGTGGGCTGGGGAAGCAACTGCACCAACAGGACACAGGTCCCAAAGCCTATACCCTCCAGCGGGCTCTGTAGACGGTGAGCCCTACAGGAGCCTGTCAGCGGCGCGGCCCCCACAAAACGGACAGGTAGCTGGGCATCGCGAATGCCCGGCATTTGGGGCTGACGGCCACCTACATCCCATTAGTCACTGGGAAGGCCACAGGGGCTTTGCCTGTTGCAGGGAGAGCTCCCTCACCAGCCCTGGGGCGCCTGCCCCAGCAGGGGGTGCTGTGTGCCTGGGGGCTCGGGGGTCGGGGCTGGGGGTGCAGCCCACGTGTTACTCCAGGGAGCGGAGCTGCGGCTGCACCCGTGACTGAAACCAAACGCCCCAGAGCAGCTGGCACGGCCGCTGCCCAGGCCTCCCACGGGCCCTGCCGCTCCGACCCCGCTGCCCCCGACTCCCGGACGCGCCCACACCGGGCAGTGAAAAGGGAACAGCAGGCGCAGGAGGGAGCGCCCCGGACCCCGCCCAGCGCGGAGCCTCTGAGGACAACGTGGGCGCCCACACGCCAAGGTGGGGGGCGCTGTGCACGCTGGTTCACAGACGGCCCTTTAAGGGCTTCCGGCAGGCACGGGGCAGCCTTTCCCCGGGTGGATGCGGGCGCTGACCTGGGAGGCCCCCCGTGCATCCCGCTTGCCCCCGCATCTGCCACGGGGAACGGGCTGGGGTCAGGTGAGCGGACTCTGAGACCCCGTTTAGCTCAGAAAATGGAAACTTTTATGTTCCGTGCTCAACAGGAAGGCTTTTCACTTAACCAGAAAGAAAATCAAGTGGAAATACTTACACAACAATCCCAAAATAACCAGGGCAATCAAAGTGTGAAGCAGGAGACCGGTGATGAATCGGAAAGTCAGCAGCACAGCCAGCGACAAGGCTGAAAGGAAGCAAAACTCGGGAAGTGCGGCGACCCGGCCTCCCTGGAGCCGGGACTGCGGCCCCCACGAGGCCCGTGGCCAAGGAAGCCGGTTCTGATGGGCCAGCGTTCTCCTTGCACTCGTTCTTTAACGCAGGTGTTCTTCCCAAATACCCAAACCTTTCTTCTCATTTTAAGTCCAAATGAGCCATTTAACTTTCTTTTTTTAATTGCACTGAAGTCTTTTGACTTTGTACTGAAGTGTCCTCAGATTGTCTTTTTTTTTTAACACTTTACTTGTTCATTTTTCGAGAGAGGGGAAGGGAGGGAGACACATCAATGTGTGGTTGCCTCTCCCGTGCCCCCTACTGGGGACCCGGCCTGCAACCTTCCCAGGGCTCAGAGACCGGGAAGCCGGAGGGCTCAGAGCAGGGTTGCTGCTTCTAGAAAAGCCCCAGGGGAGGCACGTCCTGGCTCGAGGCCTCGCCCAAGCAAGGATGGTCCAGGGGGGACAGGGGATCAGACCCATCAGGCCAAGGCCGTCCGTCTACTGAACCTGGAGGTGCCACCCCTCTCCCCTCCCCTGGCCCCTGGGGTGCTGTTCCGGCTCGTCTCCAGGGAGAGGGCACGAGGGCGGAAGACAGGTGTGACTGGTCCCCCCCAGAACTGCGCTCTTCACGGCCAGCCCATGAACTGGCCGTCTGCTCTGGGCCTCCATCCTCACGTGGCCGGCAGTAACTGGGGCAGACCGAGGTCACGAGGCCTCACCCAGGAGGCCTCCTGGCAGGGAGTCCTCTGGCATGCCCCAGTTACTGTTCCCCCTCCCTCTCAAACCTGAAACACGGAAAGTATCTAAAGAGAAAACGCACAAGGGGAAGCTTTAAAGTGAAGTCAGGAGGCGGATTTTCAGTGCGCTGCTTGCACAAGTGTGAGAGACCCTGACAGTCTACAGGCGGTCGTGAGGCAAAACTAACTCGTTACCTAATGCGAGGACACACAGGCCAAAGACCGTGTCCCTTCCCGACATGACTCCACTGAGAATCCGGTGCAGGGCGTTGGCATCGTTCAGCAAGACGGACAGGAACTGGGAGTAGCACTCTGGCATTTGAGGGACGCATCGGTTAAGCAAGGGGAAAGGTTTGCTAAAAATAAAAGATTCAATTACTTATCTTTAAAAAAAGATGCTTATTTAAATTCCTCAACAACCGAGAAAGGGTAAGACGTGCAGTCGCAGAAAGAGGCTTAGCCCCTGCGTGCAGAGAACCCTCGGAGAACCCACGGCTGCTGCTACCAAGGCAGCGGTGGGCTCATCCCCCTGGAGAGGACGTGACACTGGGGACCCCTGGACACCAGACACCTGGAGACGCCCTGGGAGTGACCTGACACCCTGACACTCACGCCCTGGCCCTTCTTAGACACAAAACCAACTGCAACACCGGGACCCCAGGCCTTACATCGAGGTCTCAGGTGTGTCTCAAATTCATTTCTGCGTCGCGTCAGCTGCAAGACCTCAGGACAATGACCAGACCACGGACCCCGAGCCACTGCCTCGCATGCCTGTCTGCTATTCCCGCACCACGGATCAGAGACCTGTCTCCCCGCGAGGGCGCCTTCGTGCCTTCAGGAAAATCACCGACCGTGCGCGAGTAGTTCCATTTCCAGGCGCTCTGTCCCATCCGCTGTGTCCGTCCGTCTGTCCTCTTTCCAACACTGCTGTCTTGACCGCTGGAACTTTATTTTAAGCCTTGAAATCAGGTGGTGGAGCCCGAGAACTTTGTTCTTCTACAAGATGTTTTGTGATCCTAGGTCTTCGGCTTGTCCGCATTTGTTTAGAACCTGTCATCTCTCCAAACGTTACACCGAGGGGACTGTGCGGAGGGTACAGAACAGTTCAGGGAGAAGTGACACCCTGACAAGTATGACAAACTTCTGGTCGGCCACTAAGGCAGTTTCTCTACTTACTTAGGTGGTCGAGGCTCCCAGCGACGGCTCCAAGTTTCCTGTGCAGGCCCCACCGCGTCTTCCGTTAAATTTACTCCTAAATAGTCCTACATTTTCTGACATTGTTGAAGACGGACTTGAAAAAAGCGTTTGCTAATTGTTTGCTGTTAATACACAGAAATGCCATTTCATCCTGTATCCTGCAATTTTGTTAAACTTGCTTAGTTATTCCACAGACTCCTTTGGATTTTGTGTAAATAATTAGGTCGCCTGTAACTCACGAGGGCTTCACCCCACCCTTTTCTTTGTGAACCTACTCAAGTCTCCTTTCTGTGGTCCTTCCAAATTTGTTAGATTTACTTCTAGGGATCTTTTGTGTTTAGTACATATTTTTTCTTTGTGTAAAATGAGCTTTTTTAAAAAAAAAAGTATATGCACGCTGCAGATTTCGGGGTATGACCCCTGTTTCCTACCTCTTGTTGTTCGTAGTTTCCAGTGAATTTTTTGCCTCTTGTAGAGCCGTGATTTTATGTCCCACCTCCCCTCTCTAAGCCCCCGTGTCTCCTTCCCTATTACTTATTGCTGAGCAGTCTCCAGCCGCCGGTGGAACTGTCCCGAAAGCGTGTTCTGGACGCTCCTGTGGTGTTTGATGCATAAGGCCTGACACAGACGCAATGTCGTTTTACCTTTTTCCCCCAATACGGTTCTCCGTGACGTCTGTTCTCTCAACACGGTGGGCTAACTCTGGCGCTTTCTGGGCAAAGTCGCCTGTGCTGGTGAAGAACGGCCATTCCGCCCTGGGGACGAGGGGCAGCCTGCAGAGCCTGGGTCCCCTGCCGGGCGGCTGCCCAGCTGCCCACTGTGACCTCACTGGCTGGGACGGGGGTGGGGTGTCTTTTGGCCACAGACCGAGGTTTCTTCTCCGCGGCGGCTTTCCCTGTCCCCACCAGCAAAGCCGCTCAGACTTGCAGGGAGAAGCTGGACAGTGGACGGTGGGTCTGGGAGACCCTGCTGGCGCTCCCCCCACCTAACAACGCAGTGACGTGTGCGCCACCCAGCGCGGGGCTGGGCCTGGAACCAGCTGGAGGTTCGGAGAACCAAAGCCGATTAGGTTCGTAACACGCTGGCTCCAAACACACGTGGCACCGAGCACTGGTGCTGACGGCTCCGCTGCTCAGGGACCGGCTCCCAGTCTCTCGCTGCTCTTCAAAGCTCTAGCCTAGAGCCAGAACCTTCCTGACACTCGGCCAGCGCTCTCACGGGGCACGCCCGCCTCGCGCAACGGATGGATGGACGGACCGAGAGGAAACCACTGGCTGGGTCAGGAAGAGGCCTTCGGGAAGTGCGCTTTGGCCCGTAGCCACACTTCTCGGGTTTTCAGGCTCCTCCCTTCTGGCACCTGGCACTGCTCTTCCACGAGAAGCAGTCGTTTCCAGCTGAAACAAGCCGGTGCTTGTGCCGGAAAAGGAAACCCGGCAGCCCTCGGGCTGCTTCTCCATCCCTAACTCTGCCCAGGAAGGGCCGGCCCATCAGCGGTGTGTCTGCACTGGAAACGTTAGTATTGGAAAGGCCTGCAAGCTCCTGCTAGTCTGGCTAAGAGACAGAAAACGGTGACCCCAGGACAATGGTGGGCCCCCACCTTCGGGGGGAGCCCAGGGAGGCTGTCTGCCAGGCAAACCAAACCCGGCTGGCCCTGGGTTACCGAGCAAACGCGGCACTGCCTGGCTCTGAATGCACCGCTTGCGGCCTGCACCGCCGCAGGGTCCCTGCTGCACTTTCCTGAGCCGCACCCAGGAATGGAAACAACACTGTGGTGGAGGCTGCGGAGACCCTGCCGAACGGGCGCACCTCGAGGGCCTCGGAAGGCGGCCGCCTGGCAAGCACCGCGGCGCAACCACAGCCCTGGTCCCCGGCACTGAGCTATGGGCCCCCAGGGAGGGGCAGCTGCGGGCCCTCTGAGGTCAGCGCTGAACTGATGCAGCGGTGGGCAGGGTGCACCCTCGGAAGCCCCCTCCTCTCTCCCTTCCTCCTGCGGGCACAGTCCCACAGAGCTTTCGCTTGAAAGTCCTTCCCGGAAGCCCTGGCCGGGTCGCTCAGTTGCTTAGAGCGTCGTCCTGACACACCAAGGCTGCAAGTTTGATTCCCGGTTGGGGCACATACAAGAATCAGCCAGTGAATGCACAGACGAGTGGAACAGCAAATCGATGTGTCTCTCTTTCAAAATAAATAAATAAGAGTAAAGTTTTAGAAGTAAAATAGAACAGGAACATTAGTGTGAGCCATGCGTGGAAGAGGCGCTTGTTCCGTGAGACTTCTGCTTCTTGCACCTGAGTGCGCATGCAGGGCTGTGTTACGGGGTTCGGGGGGTACGTTCTCACTGTGGGCCCCAACCGAGAGCCGGACAAACCCGGCACTCGGCAGAAGGCCTTGTTCTCCCTGACTTGTCCTCATCTCTCGGGGACTCTGCCCTGAGGTCCCGCTCACTTCAACCTGTTCACAGTTCCCACGTCCCCTGTGCACACCTCGGCCTCCTGCCCGGCGATGACAGTCACTGAGTTTCCTCCTCACCTCCGCAGCGGCCCCGCCTCCAGGCACCCGCCCCACGTGGCCCTCGGCCAGACGCAGTGACCGCCACTTCCTCCTACAGCTTCACTCCCCAGGTGCTGACCGGGGCCGCCACACGCCGGTCCTGCCCTCACTGACCCTTCTTAGAAGGACCTGCTTCTCTTCTGAGGAGATGGGCGGCGGCCACTTCGCCGGCCGCCTAGGCCGTTTCTCGGAGACGCCTGGGCCTGCAATGGCCGCCCCACAGACGGCTGCCCCTGGCTCTCGCTTCCCGCGAACGTTGATCAGGTATGTTCACAGCGAAGACCGACCCCCTCGTTGGATTCTACGCCACGGACTCTCCCGCCACCCACCCCCAGCTGCCTTTCCACCCGGTCACCCCCCTCCAGACCTGGACACACTGCTCTGCTCCCCTCTTACGACAGAGGCGACGTGAGTCTCGGATCTTTGCGTCGCTTACTCCCCACCACGTCCCTGCTTTACAAGTCGCCCCTGGCACACAGGCCTCGCTTCCCAAACTGCTCTGAATGAGTAAGTGGCAGAGTGTGACTCTTTTCTCTCCATTTTCAAGGGGGAAACTAGAAGTTGGAGTTGCACCATTTGTTCAAGATCACAGCGCTGAAAACAACCACCTCTGATCACACCTCCGTAGTCAGGTACCCAGGTTCAATAGCCTAACCACGAGATTACAAATGTATCAAGAAAAGGTGTGTGATTTTCAAGGAAAATAGAAAAACTTTTTGGGTGAAGGTGCAGAATATTACTATGTGAATATGCGAACTCTTCTAAAAAACCACAAACAACGACTGGCTGCAATAAAGAAGCAAAAGCCAACCATTTCTCCTTTGTAACAAAGTTTAAGTGGAAAGAATACATAGTAACCTCCTCACAAAAGCCCTCGCTCGGGAACAGTTCCTGCATCACTTCTCCAGCTCTCCGTGGCCCTCTGAGGACACAGGTATCTTTAGTGCTGTGTGTTCTCCTCGTTCAGCCAGGTTCCTACCCCACTGTCCCTTACAAATGCCCAAATGCGGTTCCTCCCTGGTCCCCTGCAGAGCTGCTACCCCCTGCGGCCAGGGCTCTCCCGGCTCTCCCCATTGCCCCACCCACAATACCTAGAAGAGTGACAGACATGGCAGGCGCCCAATCACCTCCACTGACAGAGCAGGGGAAAGACCCTTTTACCTTGGAGGGACTGGGAGCCTGGGGCACAGGGAGGCTGCGTTCGGATCCTGCGTGTAGTTGACGGAACTCAAACTGTACACACACAGGAAGGAGCCTGGAAACAGAAAACGGAGTCAGCACCCTCTACCCGATGCCCGTGTTCAGGGGGCGTCGGTGAGAAACCACAGCCCCTTACAAAACCGGGCAGACGCAGAGTCAGTCACTCCGCCCAGGACACAGGTCTGCGGGTGACCCGACAGAGAACAGGCGCCACCTGAGGCCGACCGAGGTCCCCGCTCTCTCGAACCCCAAATTCACAGCTGAAATGATGGTCACTATCATCACATGATCGGTCCTAAGATGACTTGAAGGTTATTTATTGCACAGGCTGGGTGTTCCCACAAGCAGGTAGAACGGGCCGGGCCCGCCTCCAGGTTCTCTTCCCCCCTGTGGCTGTCTCCTCCTCAGAGCTCAAATCTGAAATGCGTGCTCAGAACAAGGGACTGCGGCCACACACACGTTCGGCACAGCTTACGCGTGTCCCACTGTTCAGAGAAAGGAGCCACGGGCCCCAGCACTCCAAGGAAAGAGCGCACTCGCTGGCAATGCGACCTGGAGCCCCAGGGCGCCTCTCTCGGATGAAGTGCACCCGGGGGCCTGCGGCTCTGTGGCCGGTCTGACCCTGCCTCGGGGCCGTCTCCTCTGCCCTCCCTGGAGGACTGTTCCCCAGCAGCGAGCGGAGAACTGTGAGAGCTTCGGGTGACTCCGGATACTCCTGAATGGAGTGGAACAAGCTCCAGAGGTCACACTCGTGGCCTTTCCACACAAGAAGAGGCCCCCACAAGGACAGCGTCCACCGTTCCAGAGCAAGGAGTGCCGGCGTGCATGGGGTATCCCACCACGGCTGCCACGTCGGGCAAAGCCTGCCCCGCCCCCAGTGCCTACCGCTCTTGTTGGCAAACAGCTGCACCTCCTCCAGGGTGTCCAGCTGCTCGTCGGGACAGCTGGACACGCAGAGGGCGGTGGGACCGGGCCACCCAGCCTTGACTTCCAGGTGGCAGGAGTCCATGAAGAACACGTGTCTAGGAGAGACAGGACACAGGACGGGTGTGACCAAGCAGTTAACTACGAGTGTGGCCCTCGCACTCGTGACAGGACTCGGCAGGACTTGGTGCGGGCGCTGCCGGGCCTTGCAGAGCGTCCCACTGCTGGGAGCCCCGCCCCGTGTCCACCACCTTCCCCTTCCCGAGCCAGCGTGATCTGGGGGTGACAGCAGCCCTCACCTGTGGACACCCCTGAGGAGCGGGAGGGCTGACGGAGGCACAGGGAAGGCGGGAGGGCCCGCGCTCGGACGGCTCTGAACCCAGAGAGCCTTTCTGCTCCCAAGCGCACCCACCTGCGCTGCAGAGAGCGGCTGAGTCCAGAGACCCGAGGCAGGGCAGGGGGATGTGACAGCCAAGAGACTCCTGAGACCGCCCCCTGCTGTGCCCCGTGGCTGCCCAGCCACTGGGCCCTGGGCACAAAAACCGAGTGACGGCCACCAGGGGTCACGTGCAGGGCGGCGGCGGCAGGACCCAGCCCTAGGCCCCATACCCGGCCGGAGGAACAGCCCTGTGGGTGGCCCACTAGCGGACCGACTGGGACAAGGGGTCCCCGAGCAGTTTTTCCTCCAACTGGGGGAGGAGAAAAGGAGGTAGGGGACCGAATCCCTGGTGTGGGACACATACAGTGCATTTCAGTACAAGTTCAGAAACCCGTGGTCCCATGAGCCTAAATGTGCCATGGCGACCACTGCAAGGCACGGTGGTACCGAGTGCGGCCCGGGTGTTCTGCAGCCGTCACAGACCCCTAACCACACCCTGCCCTCCCACCCCAGCTCCAGTGTCCCACTGGATCTTTAGAACAGTCTTGTGAGGTATGATAAGCCAAGGATGCAAACTCAGCTCAGAGAGAGTAAGTACTCGCCCAAGGCCACACAGCTGAGAAGTAGCAGAGGCTGAATTTCATCTCAGGGCTGCTGGGCCTAAAACCCACGTCCCTCCCACCACACCCCCCCTTCCCTTTGGTGAAACGGGCTCAAGAGTTTTGAACAGGACACACTTTCAGGCTCAAAATGACCGATGCACACAAGGCGGGGAACACAGCCCTGCTACAGGCCGGGGACTTTCTTGAACACTTACTTTTTTAGGGTCATGTCCTGCCCCGACAGAGGGGCCCCTTCCACCGGGGGGTTCTCCTTGCCGCACACGTTGCCAAAGCTGTCTCGGCCGAAGAGCAGTCCTCCTGGGGCCCCCGCCACCACGGAGTAGCCCGTGACGAACACCTGGGGAGACCGGGCGGCCGTGAGAGCCTGGCCACAGGGCGGAGGAGGCCCTGGCCCTGAGTGTCGGCCGAAAGGAGCCGGGTCGAAGGCCGACTCCCCGGCATCAACCACCGCCTTTCTCTCCTCCCACAGCGAGGTCGGTGAGGGCGCGGCTGCTCGGACCCCCGAGTGCACAGGACACAGCGGTTTGTGTCTAACTGCCCCAGGGCTGTGCCGTCTCTTTCCCCGAGTTCTCGTCCACCCGTCCCTCCTCTCTCCCTTCCTTCTTTTTCCCAAGTTTCTTTCTTTCCTTGCCTTCCTTCTCCTCCCCATCTCTCCCCTCTTTTTTGTCCTACGAAAAACTCTGACCCTCAAGGGTGAGGCAACGCAGCTGGTGCGCACACGGACCCTCAGGATTCCCACGGGACAAGAACGTCTTTCGACGTAGAGTCGCTTTTACCCCATTTCACACTGAGTGTGGAACATGTGAAGTTTCACCTCGACCTCTCGGTCCCTAACAGGCACTGACGGGCCGCCTCCCACACTGAGTGTGGGTGTCCCCTCGCACAAACGGCATGTCCTGAGTTCAGCGATCGGTGCGAGATGCACCAAACACCGTCTAGCACTCAGGACCGACCACGGCACTGGGGGCGGGGCAGACAGCATCCCTTCAACAAAACACTGGGGTGATACCACACTTCAGAGGTCCTTGTCCCAAACGTCTCAGATACTCTGCACTCGTTATTAGCTTAGAAACCAAAATAATGCTCTTTAGGTGCCCAGTGCCAGCCAGAGACTGTTACTGGGGGCCAGAAGGCTGAACGAGGTGAGTCCCCACTCTCAAGGGGCCCAGCCGAGAAGATAAGCAGGGCGTGGGCCCTGCAGACATCCAGAAAGGGGTCTGGCTGCCCAGGGCCGCCCCAGGAGGTTCCAGGAGGCCGGGCCACCTCTGCTGGCAGAGGGGACGTGCCCCGTCCCCTCCCTTGGTGAGGACGGGCCTGCACGCCCACCAGGCTGGTACCTGCTGCCCCGGCCCCGCACCCTCTCCTGCCTGCCCCACACGGGCGTGCGGAGGTCCCGACTGGGCCGGGGATGGGTCCCATGCTTCCGCCCGGCTCACCAGAGACCTGATGACAAAGAGGCATTTTCCACTTTTCCACACTGCTGACATTAATGCCTCCCGTGGGAAGCTCCTGAGGAGGAATGGGAGGGGCCTGGGGGCAGTTTGGGAAATCCCGAGTCCCTGCCACACCGGTACTACTTTAAACCACCAGACTTGGAATTTCAGTCACGCCACTGCAATTCCACATGACGGGAGACTCGGTCGGTGTGCCACCAGGTCGCAGGGCACGGCCGGCAGTGCTCGGGGAGCGCAGAGCGGGGGTCTCGGAAGATGAGGCAGAAAGGGCGGGGCGGGAGAGGGCCCGGAGAGGAGGCGGAGCAGAGTCCGCCCGACCCGAGACTCTGTGCTGCAGGACCCCTGCAAAGGTAAACCCAGCTGGCACCCTCTGCACCTGTCCCTGCTGGTCACCCCGGCCCTCACCCAGGGCAGCACCAGTAATCAACCTGTCACCTGCCATCAAGGTCGGACGTCACAAGACCAGGAACAATGCCCAGCAGAGGCAGAAAAAACACTCCCTTTTCGGTTTCAAATATCTGTGGTTTCAAAATGTTGTGGGAGATATTGAGAGCCAGTCAGCTAAAGACGATCTCTCATTATTCGGATCTAAAGGGGGAAACGCAGGCGCAATGAAGCCTCCAGGTTTACCCTGCAGATGGCACGCCATCTCAGAGCACCTTCCAGCTGTGCCACCTCTCAGTGGCTCACTGTGGTTCAGGCTGCGATGTCCCGAGACAGCGGCTGGGCTGAGTCTGGCACTGGTGTGCTAGGTTGGAACCGTGGCGGGGCTCAGGGAGACTATTAAATACAATAACAGAACCCAAGGTCAAAGCTGCCAGGTGCAGACAGGACAGAGATTGCCTGCATTTCCACACCAGCCACCTGTGGGAAGCTCCAAGGGCCCAGAATCACACAAACACGTAACTTTGGTCACACCTGTAAGTCCCAACCAGTCTGAAGCCAGTCGGGAAAGTCAACAGTAAGTGCTTTGCTAAAGAAAGAGGAATGGGGCGGAGATACATGGCGCTTTAGAACCTATTCAGATTTAATTTTTTTCAACAAAGGTAATTGCTCCCTGGGAGCTACTGCTGGGCTTTATCATTTAAATATGAACCAGGCAGCAAGTGTTTGCCTCCCTCGGAGCAGACAGTTGCGTGGTCTCTCAAGGAGCTGAGAGAGGCTCTTCCTGCGGCTCCCTACAACTCTACAATCAGTAGTAGCAAAGGCCCCAGACTCAGCACGCCTAGGACTTGCTCAGGATTAAAACGGCACTGCCTGGTGAGGTCTACCAGTGATCACGTACCTGGAAACTAGAAAAAAAAAACTGGGGGAAAAAACCAACCACCTACCTAACTAGAAGGTTTATGGGGCAGGCATGTTTCCCTGTCGGCTGCTAAACACAGCGTCCCAAGAATGTGTGTGTTCTCCTCAACTAAGAGCAATTTTTTGTTCTGGGTTCACCTTGCACCTTCCTGTGTTGAGGGAACAGCAGACACTTGAGGAGCGTTTTAATTTGGGGGCTGAGATGCAGAGAGCTTGGAGGAGAGACCGCACTCGGACTACACATACCCCCCCCTTGCAATGGGTGAGTCACCTCCAAATGGGACCTTCTGCTGGGACGCCTGCAGGGAAAGACAGCCCCTCTGGGGGAGCGGGACTGGGAGGCTGGCACACGTGACCAGAAAGAATCCCCAGGACAGGTGTTTATTTTGCCCAGTGGCAGGTGTCTCTCATTGCAGCACCAGCTTTCACCTGGTATCGACACCCCCCACCCCCCCTTGGCCTCCCCAGGAAAGGCCCAGGCACGTGATTTACATCACCGCACCGGCAGGTCTCTCCCCCGCTGGGCAGTGCGCTTACCAAACCTGTCCAAAAGAGAAAGAACAGGAACAACCACGGTGTGTCTGTGCATTTCCTGTAAATCTGAGGCCTCCACTCTCTGTGCCTGGGGGTTCTCCCTGCAGAGACCTTCCAGAAAAAAAAGGGAAAGTTGAACAAAGGGGGAGATAAAGCACCATATGAGTGATCCGAACTTGGAAAGAAAATCCCAACTTCCTGGAAGACTGCTCTGAGGAACTTCTTTTGTTTTGTATCCTCCGTCTGGAGCGTTCACGGGGCTTGGAAACACCTGTAGCCCAGCCCCTACCTGGTGGTACTCCTGGAGGTGGCCCAAGACCGGGCGCCCAGGCCAGCCTCTTCCCAGCCTATGCCCCAGCGCAGTGGGGTCCGAGCGCCCCTTGACCCCCACCCCCCGCCATGATCCCCAGGGCTCTGCGCGCCAGGCGGCCTTATCTGCGGGGATTGGGACAGGTGCGTGCAGGTGGGGCCCGATCCGCACCCCCTCCCGCCCCTGGGTCCCTCCCCAGGGTCCCTTCCCTCCCCCTGGGGTGGCACTCACCAGGCTCTCGGCGCCCAGGCACCGCATCCTGAGCTCTGGGCCAGGGCTGGGGGCCCAGGCAGTGCCCGGGGCAGCTGGAGAACCTGGGGCAGAGCGGCGGGCGTGGGCACAGCGCCCCCTGGTGGCAGCCTCCGAGTGCAGACCCTGCAGGGTCGCTGGGCAGAGACTAGCCCTGTGGGGGAGAGACCCCACTGCACCCGACTGCCGGCCAGGCCTCCCCACCCACCATCTACCGTCCTCTCCGACCAGCATGGGTCCCACACAGTCGTGAGCAGGATGCAGGAAGCCTTAGCCAATCCATCACAAGAGGTGGACAGGTGCAATCCTGTGATCCTCCATGAATGGGCCAGTAGCTCTCACCTGTGCCAGATTCTGTTCTGCTTTGAAGGCATTACTGAAGAATCCACACAGCAGACACGATTGTTCTCCCTGTTCTGCATAAGAGGGAAACTGAGGCACAGCACAGGCGACAAAGCCAGCGAATGGCAGGGCATAGAGTTGAGAGCAGACACACCTGCAGACCCTCTTGAGGTGGGTCTCACGGCTCAGGCCTGGAAACTTCCACCAGGCCTTTCCCACGGCCTGTCCCAGAGACACCCAAGTCACCAGGGAGTCACAGGTGCCAGGGAAGTACAAGAATTAAAACCCTGGGGGTAGGGGGGTGGGACTGAAGTCGGCCCTCAGGTGTGAGTGCAGGCAGTGTGAGAAAGAATGGGAGGTTCTGCTCTTCTCTCCACGTTTTCTGGGGACTGCCCTTACCCACGCTTTACCATTCAAATGTCAGTGGAGTTAGAACAATGGTAGACCCGTGGCTTCCCCTCCTCCACACCCCCAGGCAACCAGGTGACTGTGTCCTGTCCGGACCTGGCTGGAGAAGTAGCGACCAGAGTAGCCTACAGGCCAGGGGAACAGGAATCCGCAGGCCAGATAACTAGACGTCTGAGGACTTAGCTCCTCTCACAAGCCCACGACTGAGTATCATCTGTCCTCTGAAACGGAACTGTTAGAGCTGGTGGGCCGAGGCTTTTAAGTAAGCATGACAGGCAGGAAGTGAGAGACGATCAGGAAAGTATACTATGAAACTAAAATGATGGCATAAAATTAGGCATAAAGTGGAATAATTAGAATATTCATTAATGTTACTTATTAATAACATGGGTGCAGCTGAACAGGTGCAGCTGAAGAGTTTGTGATTGGACAGGTGACAATTTCAGCTCCCCAGAGGCAGCAGGAAAAGGATGAAAGAAACAAAATATGGCAACTTATTTTAGATTCTAATTAATATCGGGGCTAGAACTAGAAGGGAGTAATATACAAATGGAGAGGAAGGAATATTTGAGACTAACAGAGACACATTTTAAGGTTGAAAGGTAGACATAAACCTCAGGTGGAAAGGGCAAGTCTCAAGCCAAACATACATTTCAGTTTTTAAAATACAAATTTCTTTAAAATCTGCTGGAGCAACAGACCAACTACCTAACCAGCTCTCAGCAGGATGTTGGCTCCTGGTCAGAACTTCAGATCACGCAGCTGGCCAGGCCACCAGGTGACTGCACCCTTCACGGCTCACTCCAAACACGCCGCCCCACGCCCAACACGCCCCTTGCTGCATCCACCAGTCCTTAGGAAGAATGTGCCTCATCTAAAAAACAAAAACAAAACCCCCTACAAATATCCTATTCTTGAAACACAGCAAGTATGTTTATATTATTAAGTTGGCGATAATTCTAAAAATAAAGCCTCATTGATTGCCTTGAGAAGATTTGGAGCGATTTCTCTTTCTAGAAGCATTCTGGCTTAGAGGTGCGAAAGAATGACAGACGTCAGGGTGTCACAGTTTTCCAAACATCTCAAAAAAGAGACACCAGCCTCCTCCCAGTGAAGAAAACTGCCACCTACTAAGCAGTCATTCCAAACAAGTCCACCTGAATCCGACCACCAAGTTATAAGACATGCGGAGAATAGAGGAACAAGTCAAGAGGCACCAAGGGATGCCACCAGTAACACCAAGAATGGGAAAGTCTTCTAATAATAGAAATAATCCACACAAGGGCCCCCAGGGCCAAAGTTGGACTGGACGCCTGCTGGGTGCAGGTAAACGCGCCCCACCCACCCGGAGCCCGTCCCTGCTACGTCACAGGTAAGGGACGGGAGCGCGCCCCAAGCGCCCTCCTGAGCATGCGCGGAAAGTGAGGCGCAGGCGCAGTAGGCATGGCCGTAGCTCGGGGTCGCGCGGGGCCGCTGATCTGCCAGCGTCCGGCATGACGGGCTGGACTCTCGCTTCTGCCCCCGCCTCGCTGCAGCGCCATGGAATGCCTGCGGAGGCTGCCCCGGCTCCTGCCGCGCGCGGTGGGGCAGCCCCGGCGCAGTCTGTGTGCTCTGGCCTGGGGCCTGACCCCCGGGCGCGCCACCGGACTCCTCGACGGGAGCCGGGCCGCGTCGCCCGGCGGAACCCGCGGGCCCCGCCTGGCAGGTACGGCCGCCCGTGGTGACCTCGGGCCCCTGCTCCACCACCCGCCCGCCGCCGCGCGTCCTCGGCCTCCGGCCCGGCCATGGCCCAACTCCCGGCCGGTTCTCGCCGTCCCCTGTGCAGAGCTCTCCGCCTGAGTGCTCCCCCCCCAGTCGTCAGAATTGGGCTCATTTAACTGAAATACTTGCCTTAGTTTCTCTCGCCTGTCTCCTACCTACCCCTTCCTCGCGGGTGCAGTGACATTTGTCCAGGTAACGGGTGGGAACCCACTGGAAAGGGAGACTTGGTGGTAAGAGCTGCTCGGAGAAAGAGCTAACTTGGGTTTCCAGTGCAGCCGACAGCCGGAGGCCGGGAGGAGGACGCGGACTTAGGACTGTTTCACCATTAACGTTTCCACCCATGGGAGAAGGTGGTGCTGATACTGCGGAGAAACGAGCGGCATTTAAGTGTAGCTTCTCACTCTGCAAGGTCGTCGGCTAAGTGTGCTCAGCTGTGCCTCCAACGCAGCCCGACGCCTCCCCGCTTCCCAGCTCAGTGGAGAGCCTGAGTAGGGTCCATCCCAGGTTTAGCCGATCTGATGTGTTAGGGCTTTGAGATCCAGAACCTCATCCTGGTAGCGCTTCACGTGACTGATCATTGCTGATTTACGCTCTGCCGCTCACCTCGGCTCAGCTGAGCCTTAGCGCGCAGTTTGTATTTTGCAAAAGGGTAACAAGCCTCAGCTGCTAACCAGCTCCACGAATCATTGAAAGTATGTAACGAGAAGGAATAGGATCATCACATTCTCAGAGTCAGGGGATTACTGTGGAAGCATGAAATAACGTGGTATTTTTACACTGCTGCCCTTGTGTTTATTATTTTTAAACTGGTTTTCTTGTTAGATACTAAATTTACTTGACAGTACTTCAGAGCTCACCTCAACTCAACCTAATCAGGTGTTTTAAATTTATTTTCACATAAAGATTTGTCTTCATCCCAGTTCACTGAGGTCTGCATCCCAGTTCAGGTGGCTATTTTATAAGCAGTAACAACAAAGTGTTTCTGTGGAAAATAAGTTATTACAAAGAAGTAAAGCTTGTAGGTTGCATGACCTACAGGTCAAGCAAATAATCCTGATATTGGGATGCTGAAAACTCAGCAGTACTTGGGATCTGTTTTCTAAAATATATCTACCAAATAATTTGCATGAAGAGCCTTAGTAAATCATGCAAAAAATGTATTTTCTTTTTGTCTCAGAACACTGATATACAGTTGTTCATCCACCTCAGATAATTTTGAAGGAAAAGGGTGTTTGTAATGCATAATTATTCTACTGCCTCACCTGAGCCATTTTAAAAATCATTCCCTGTTAAACCTAACATTATCACTTACAAATATTAAAATGCACAAATGTTTCTTTTTCCCTCTAGGAAAAGGTTAAAAAAATAACAAAATAGTGTGATGACCACATACTATGAGTGTGTATCTAAGCTCCATGTGAAAACCAGTTGTGTGATCACAAGGAATTCTCTAATTCATTCTGCAGGTGAAATGCACCAGTTAAGAACGTCTGATGTCTCTCAGGCCACGTTAGCCAGTGTGGCCCCGGTGTTTACCGTGGTGAGTACATGTGGTTCATGTGATAACTTAGAATAAATACTTCTCACACTTTACTACGTCAGCTGGGTTGGACTGGTTGGCCGAGATTTACTAATTTTTTGCTTTATAATCATTATAGTTCTGAGTCTTGGTGCCTTTGTGTTTCACTCAATCAGTGATACCCCACCAATGACTCGGAGCCCTTTAGTACCGAACCAGGTCGTCCGAATCACAGGGCAGCACTTCCTACCCCAGTGCAGGCACGCCTCGGAGATGTGGCAGGTCAGTTCCAGCCACCGCAGTAGTGCTAGTGTTGCAATAAAGCAGATCATCTTTTTGCTGGTGGAGGGTCTTGCCTTCACTCTGTAAAAAACATACATGTGAGGTGTAATCAAGCCAAGAAAATAAAACGAGACCTGTCGGTTCTCAGGATTTCCAGTGAATCCATTAAGTCCTTGAAGCCTGTTACTGTGGAGGGGTTTGCCCTGTGCTGCACCACATTAGCATGTGCAGAAGCACTTTGCAGGCCACACAGCGTGGTATTTAGGGGTGCGTGCTTTGAAGGGCATGGCCTCTGCCACTGTGAAATGGGTAAAGAATAAAATAACGCAACTTAATCTGAAATGGGTCAAGAAGAAGTGAATAAAACAACGAGACTCGTGTGCATCACACACATATTTAGAGAGATAAATAAGGCCATTGGGGCAAAGTGTTAACAGTGACTAGGTGAGAGTTACATGGGAATTGGTTGTAATAGTCTTGCATCTTTTTTTGTAGGAAGTTTAATTTTAAAAATGTGTGTTTGCTTTGAGCCAGAGTTCCTAAATTTACATCTCAGCCCTGTCTTTTATCATTAACAGGTGGACTTGGAAGAGTTATGGTAACATCATTGTGCCTCAGTTTGCTCACCTGTAAAGTAGGGATAATGGTACCTACTTTATAGAATTATTGTAAGGTTTACATTAAACTCATGTGTAAACCCTTAGAATGTAAGGTTTACATTAACTCACGTGTAAATCCTTCACACGTGGTAAGCATTCACTAGATATCAGGCATTATAATTACTATTATTTAGGCTTATTAACATGACTTTTTCTTTATAAACTATATATGTACAACAAAATAGCCCCAGAATGACATGTTAAAGTTTTTACTGTTATTCAGTGTTCCAGAAAGTTGGCCAGTTTAGCTACACAAGAATACAAAAATCAGATGCTGAATATTGAAAGCAGGTTCTTTGCAGGTGAAATCATTGTCCACCAAGAGCAGTTAAGAAAATCAGTTGATGCTACTTGAAATAATGAGACTTTAGAAAGAGAACTAATAAGCTCACTTTTAATGTGAGTTACATTACAAGGTAAACATTTTAAGAAATCATAGTTTGTATGGCCTTCTATTTCAAATCAGAAAAATCCCATTAAGCTCTGGCTGGTGTGGCTCAATAGATTGAGCCCAGGCCTGTAAACCAAAGGGTCGCTAGTTTGATTCCCAGTCAGGGCACATGCCTGGGTTGTGAGTCAGGTCCCCAGTAGGGGGCATGTGAGAGGCAACCACACATTGATGTTTCTCTTCCTCTCCTTCCCTTCCCCCCTCTCTCTAAAGATAAATAAAATCTTTAAGAAAAAGGAAAATCCCATTAAAATGACAGCTAAATATTGAGTTGCAGAAATATTTAGTATATTAAGCTGCAAGTGGAGGAGAGACTGCAAAGGAGAGTATCTAACGTGAGTGTATTTAATAGGAAAAGACTGAAAGAACAGTCATTGGTAAAAATATTAGCATGTTCTCTAAAATTTGTCATCTCAGGTGATTCGTTTTACTTATTTTGAAATGTTCTGCAGCGGATGTATGTACGCATGAAGCACATTTGAGGAAGAAAGCTAGCCTGTTGCACAAACACCAAGCTTCCCTCTAAGCGTGCAGGCACACTTCCCTTTAACGACGATGCGCTGTGGCGCTCTCTGCATGTTCATGCCCATCGCGTCTTTGCCGAGGAGCACCCAGCTGGGAGGTGCATTGTGGGCTTTGGTTTTGTGAGTGCCACAGCATGCACGTCTCCAGGGTAATTCCCCCGACTTGTGTTGCATCCACCACCATGTCTGAGAGTCTTTCTGAAAATACGTGTGGGATATTAATTATTGCGCCCCAGCACGTCACGACTTATGGACCATATTAGTGGACATCTCCAAACTTGACTGTTGACAAGTGTTGCAGAAAAACGCTTCCTCTGCTTCTCAGGAGATAAGTGCGTTTTCTGCTTCATGTCCTCTCTCCAAACTGTCAGAAGAGGTCTTTTCTGTAAATCTTAATTTGACAATGCCCACCAGCGACCTCACAGCCTCCCTAGACGCTTGAGTCACCGGATGGGCACAGTCGGCCTTGAGTGTGTGGCAGCTCCGGTGCGAGGTCCGCCTGGGCTCAGAGCCTCGCGAGCTCCGGTGCTGGTGGCGTCTCCGGGGCCCCGCAGACGCAGGTCCCGCGCCATCTCCTGGCGTTGGCCTTTTTACAATCGGTGTCACCTGGTAACAAAACTTGATCACGTTTCCAAGACCGACGTAGAGATTCAACCCACGTCAGCTCTGTCCAGCGAAGGGAAGGGAGTTTTCCGGCCTTGACCCTCAGGAAGGGTCCGTATCCGCGTTTGTGACTCCGTGCGGTACTTGCTACTGCGTCGTCTAACAGCACGAAGAGCATACGAGTTTGGGAGGAAGTGATACTTTGTTTTTCTTTTCTCTCTCCAGACGAGATTTGACAAAGAAGGAAAGGTCACTTCTTTCGGTAAGTACATTTGACCTGCTTCTAAATCCCCTTTGAGATCCGTGAATACGGGATCCACCGGAAATGCGGCGGGTGCGCATGCGCAGGGGCCTTTCTTCAGCGTCTGCCCCTCGGTCCCCGTCCGGACTGGCGCACAGGGCCGGCCACGGTCTCCGCGCGGCCACGGCACCTTGCCAGCACGTGACGGGCGCAGGCCTGCTCCCCGGGTCTCTGCTTTGGTCTCCCTCCACTCCCGTCCTCAGAGCGCCCGCCCGGACCGCGGGCTTTCGCTGGTGCAGATCGAGCTCTCCCCGGTGGCGGCGCCCGTGTCCCGAGTCCTTTTGCTGGTGGCACTTTCTCTGAGGGGACTTTCGGTGCCAGGCAGAGTGAGCGAGGACTGACTTGTTCTTGTCTTGTGTTTGTGCAAGAAGAATGAGAAGTGGACTTACCTCTTCACAGATTTAAAATACTGGAGACGATAACGTAATGGCAAACAAGTAGAAATTGAGTTTTGTACAATTCCAGTTAGGAAAGGTGGCGGGTCTGTGAAGCCGGGGTTGACCCGGCGCGTCCCCAAGAGGCACAGCTGTGGCCTTCACTGCTGTGGCCTTCACTGCGGGCGCGGGGAGAACGGGGCGCAGCAGCGACGGGGCTCGGGGGCGCGCGCAGACACGCGCACACGCGCGCTGAGGAGGCCGCCTGTCTTCCAGAGAGAAAGAAGACCGACCTGTACCAGGAGCTGGGCCTGCAGGCGCGCGACCTGCGGTTCCAGCACCCGATGAGCATCACCACCAGGAACAACCGGATCATCCTGCGGATGGAGGTGAGGGCGCCCTCCGCGCGGCCCCCGGAGACGTGGCCCACAGGCCGCCCTACAGTGTCACTCTTCTAACGTGAAAGATGCCAGTTTTCTCTAGAATACATTTCTAATTTCATACTGTTCTCTTATTAACTATAATTTAATTTTCAAAGTTCAAAAATTTCTAAATTGCAATGAACATACAATATTTTATTAGTTTCAGGTGTGCAGCATAGGGCTCAGCCACTTACATAGCTCACAAAACGGTCCCCGTTAGGCCGAGCCCCCACCCGGCCCTGCACAGCTGCTGCACCACCGACTGCGTTCCGTGTGCTGGCCCGCACGCCCGTGACCGTTTCCGTGACCGTTTCCATGACCGGCAGTTCATACTTCTCCATCCAGCCCTCCTCCTCTCCCATCCGCATCCAGCAGTTTGTTCTGTGTCTGAGTTTCTGCGTTGTTTGTTCTGTTTCTGTGGGTTCCACGCATAAGAGAAGCCATATGGTGCTTGTCTCTCTGTCTGAGTTACTCCACTTACCATGATACCTGCTAGGTCGATCTCTGTTGTCGCAAATGGCAAGGTTGCGTTCTTTGCTATGGCGGAGTAGTAGTGTGTTGTGCGCATGCACCAGACCTCGTCCACTCGTCTGTCAGCAGACGCAGGCAGCTTCCATCACCCGGCTGTTGTCAATAACGACAATAACGCTGCAGTGAACGTGAGGGTGCAGGTGTCCTTTCGAGTAGGTGTGTTGTGTTCTTCAGACGCATTCCCAGAAGTGGAATTACTGTGTCATAGACAGAACCATTTTTAGTTTTTGAGGAAACCCCGTACTGTTTCCCAATGGCTGCCCCAGTCCGCATTCCCACCCACAGTGCTCCAGGGCTCCCTCTTCCCCACCTCTCCCCACCTCTCCCCACCTCTCCCCACCTCCCCCCACCTCCCCCCACCTCTCCCCACCTCTCCCCACCTCTCCCCACCTCTCCCCACCTCTCCCCACCTCTCCCCACCTCTCCCCACCTCCCCCCACCTCCCCCCACCTCCCCCCACCTCCCCCCACCTCCCCCCCTCCTCACCAGCACTTGTTGTTTGTGGATTAATTGATGACAGCCGTTCTGGCAGGTGTGAGGTGATATCTTGTGGCTTTAATTTGCATTTCTCTGGTGATTAGTGATGTTGAACATCTTTTTATACACTTACTGGCCATCTGTATGTCCTCTTTGGAGAAATGTCTACTTGGATACTGTGCCCATTTTTTTTTTTAATTCTCATCTGAGAATGTCTTGATTTTTAGAGAGAGTAAAAGAAAGAAAGAGAGAGACACATCAATTGGTTGCCTCCCGTCCATGCCTTGAAGAGATGGAACCCACAACCTTTTGGTGCATAGGACCACACTCCAGGCAACTGAGCCACCTGGCCAGGGCTCCCTGCTAATCGTTAACCACCACATGTGGGTGTGGGACCTGCCCCTGCTACCAGTCTGGTCATGGCTTCTTCCTGTCCTTAGTTACAGGGCTTGTGTTCAGGTGGTCTTGAGGCAGTTCTCAGGGTGGTGGTTCTGCAGTTACATGTAATTTTGATGTGGTTGTGGGAGGAGGCGAGCACAGTGTGTGCCTGTGCCGCCATCTTGACCAGAAGTCCATCAGGTTCTAAATTAGAGCTTAATCTGATGTTGCATCTGCATAATTTCAAATTGGTTCAGTATGTTTTGGTGATATTTCAAAAAGGAAACATTACCATTTCAGCCAAAGTAATCATGATTAAATTTTAAAGTGTAACTGAATTTGTGACTTTTAATACCATATCCTGTTTCCTTTGTTTTCTGTTTTCCTCATGATTACCTTAAGGTCTTAATAAATATATAATTTTTTAAATGGCAGGTCCGTTGAGAGTGAGCTCAAGGTATCAAGACTTACATATATTTTAGGCTTCTTTGCTTTTAAAAAACAGAGTACGGAAAACAAATGAACAGTTTAGGCTTAATCCAGATTTGAGAGTATTAAAGCCTGTTTCATGAATGTTATTTTTTTCCTACCGCTTGGTAACTTTGCAAATATGTGTGTGTGAACGTATATCCATATATCTTTTTTTCCCCCCACAGTATTTGAAAGCTGTGATAACTCCAGAGTGTCTTCTGATACTAGATTACCGTAATTTAAATCTGGAGCAGTGGCTATTCCGGGAGCTCCCTGCACAGTTGGCCGGAGAAGGTCAGCTGGTCACGTACCCTTTACCTTTCGAGTTCAGAGCCATGGAAGCACTCTTGCAGTATCGGGTAAGCTTGTGCGTGTGGCGTCTGGCACCTGTTCTGGTCAGCGCGCTGCTGAGCTGGAAGGCAGCTTGGTGGTGGTGAAAGGCCGCGTTGTTTTGTAGATCAGCACACTTCAGGGGAAACTGAGCGTGTTGGAGCCCCGGATCCTTGACACGCTGGAAGCGTTAGTGGACCCCAAACACTCCTCTGTGGACAGAAGCAAACTGCACGTCTTACTGCAAAATGGCAAAAGGTAAAACAGCTGTCTTACACTTCTCTTAGTTTTCACACTGAAATGTGTAGCAGGAACTCAAGTACAGATGAGTGTGACTATTACCTATTTTTAAAATACCGGCTGCCCTTGCCAATGGCAGTGACCTCCTGTGAGTGCCATCAGAGTGGGAGCGTGGCCTCGGCAGGTGCTGTGCCGAGGGCGCAGGGCGACACGGAGGAGAGCCAGGGCCGCTCTGTGAGGTGGCTGTGGCTGGGAAGTGGCTCTTAGTCTGCATGTCTCACACACGGTTGTTCGCCGCAAGTGTGTGAGTGGGTCAGAATGTGCTGTTTGCATGGCGAGGCGTGTCTGTAAGTTCACGGCACTGACCCTGTCTGTGCACCCGCTCCCCTAGCCTGTCTGAGCTGGAGACAGACGTGAAGATGTTCAAGGAGTCCCTCCTGGAGATCCTGGACGAGGAGGAGCTGCTGGAGGAGCTCTGCCTCACCAAGTGGAGCGACCCCGACGTCTTGTGAGTGCGCACACCCCTCTGCGGCTGCTCGCGGGGGCTACTCACAGCCCGCAGGACACCTCTGTCTCCTGTGGACTCGGAAGCCATTTCCCCTTCTGGGCCACTCCAGGCCCGTGTTTACTTTTCGAGGGCTCCGAGTGTCTCGTGTGTGTTCTCTGTAGCCCAGTATCAAGAGATTAATGCACTCTGTAATGTGCGTGGTTTACACAGCCTGACCAGACTTTTACGTGTTATCTATAGTCCGATAGATAAAAATGGTTCTTCCAGCAGAAAGGTCTGGTGGCAGAAACTGGAGCACACCTGTCCCTCTCGTTTGCTTGCCAACCTTCTGCTGGGTGGCGGGTACAGGGGGCGCTGGGGCCTGTGTGTCGGTGGCGTCCGTCTATGGGAAGGACCTGTGGCCACCTGGGGGGGGAAATGCTGTGTGCGTGCATTGTGAGTCTTTGGTTTTGTTTTCCCTGGTCGGTGCTACTTTGTACCAGTTTGTCAGCATTCGCATGTCACATTTTCCTGTCACTAGTAGTGCGGTGGGCTCACTGTCCTATGCAGGGCAGGAGCCTGTGTCTGGGACTTGCCCAGGGTCAGGGACACTGCCACCCACAGCCTGGCCCCAGTCACATACGGATTGGCGTCACGTGTGCTCACTGGTGGCTGAGTACGACGTGCGGACCTGGGGTGTGGGTCCCGAGGGTGTGGCGCCCCCACGGGGCTTGCGGGTGACGTGCGCCCTTGTGATTGGAGTGAGCAGAGCAGCACCGGCATCGACCACGCGGAGGAGATGGAGCTGCTGCTGGAGAACTGCTACCGGCTGGCCGAGGACCTGTCCAACGCGGCCCGCGAGCTGCGGGCGCTGATCGACGACTCCCAGAGCGTCATCTTCCTCAACCTGGACAGGTGGGCGCGCCGCGGGGCCTCCGGTCTCTGTGGGGGGCGCTTACGTGAGGTGCTCCGGCGAGCAGGGAAGCCCCCCTGTCACCCTCGCCTCTGGGTGGCCGTGTGTCCTCTGAGGTCAGGGCTCAGTCCCCGGGTCATCAGTGCCCACGATCTCACTGTTGTTCCTCCAGCCACCGCAACGTCATGATGAGGCTGAACTTGCAGTTGACCATGGGGACCTTCTCTCTCTCGCTGTTCGGACTCATTGGAGTTGCTTTTGGGATGAATTTGGAATCCTCCCTTGAAGAGGTGAGAATCTATTCGATAGCTTAGGGGTTTATTTTTCAAGGGTTTGAAGACCACTCTGAGGCAGAGGTAGGCGTAGCAGAGACTCGGATGGAAAGAGAAAGTGGGGCGACGGGGACAGGGTGCTGGAAGCAGAGGGGACCCCATGCATGACAGCGGCAGGAGCGAGCCAGCTGCTGAGGACTGGCGGGTCCGAGTGGTGGGAGGGATATGTGGGGGCGTGTCCGCTTGTGCAGTGCGGTGAGGGTTTGATTTGTTTTTTTGTGGTTGAAAACCAGTCGGAGATTTTGAGCTCAAACCCAGACAGTTGGAAAGTTCAGAAGCAGCCATGTTCTCCTGCAGTGTCGACCGACCCTGCGTGTCCAGACGGTGCTTCCGGGGCCTCTGAGGAGCCCCCAGCCCGCGGCCCTGGAGCCCTTGTGTCGGCCCCGCCCTCCTCCCACACCATCTTGGTCACGGGCCACCTTCATGGACACGACTCGCTGCACAAGGAGACCCACCTTGTACCTGACGCCCGTCCCCCACAGGCAGGGCAGGGCCTGTGCAGAGCCCTTGCTGATCCTTCGTGCTCCTTTGTAAACTCCGGGGCAGCACTGGGTCGGGAAGCTCCAGGGGCGAGAACCCACCTTCGGGGCTGATCTGGGCTGTGCTCTCTTGCAGGACCACCGAGTGTTCTGGCTGATCACGGGCGTCATGTTCATGGGCAGCGGCCTGATCTGGAGGCGGCTGCTGTCGTTCCTCGGGCGGCAGCTGGAAGCGCCTTTGCCTCCCGCGGTACGAAGGCTGCGGGTCCGGGCAGGAGGGCAGCGGGGTCGCAGCCTCCCCCGTGTGCCGCCTGCCGGCTAGACCGGCCCTGCCCCCGCCCCCCACCTCGTGGTGTGGGGGGGGGGGGTTAAAGACGGCGATGCGAGTAGAGCACAGTGCCCGGCCCCCGAGACAAGTTAGAAATGCTTCCTCTGTGCGGCGCACGTGGCAGGTGTTACACCCCCGGACAGACGCTAGTGGTCCCTAACCAGAACTCAGCTGTGGACACGTGGCGTCCACTCGCAGGCGGCGCCGCTGGGCGAGCCCCCTTCTCCCAGCCGTTTCGGAGGTCACCTGACCGGGGCCTTCCTCCCCTCCCAGACACAGGCTGACACGCTGTTCCTGGCTCTCTGCAGGTGGCCTCTTTACCCAGGAAGACCCCGCAGGCAGACAGAAGGACGGACGCGAGACACAGCCTCCGGCCAGACGGACTGGGGCCCGACAGGAGTGTCCTCACGACCCGGTGAAAATGCGGTCTTGTGCGGGTGTCGCAGGAGAGTCCTGCTACTTTTACAGAATCAGGAGTTTGGAAAAGTCACTGGTATTTAAGTTACATTGTCTGATGATAAAACAGGGCAGCAACAGTCCTGGAACGTCACCGCTTTTCGGAATTTGAGTAAACCAAAGTACTTGCTTTGTAAGAGGCCAGAATTCTACTCGGCCAACCTGGAGAGCCGTTTCTGTAGACTGAGACCCGAGGGGCTGACCTGGCAGTGGGGTGACTGTGTAGATCTTACTTTGTCTTACTTTGTGCCTGTGGAGGAAAGTCGAGTTTCAGGCTCAGCGCAGCTGGGATGCTGGACAGACCCCCGCGTGAGCCACATGGCCACAGCTCTCAGGGTGGGCGCCTGTCCTGCCCCTCCTGTCAGGTGGCAGGACGGCCACCAGATGACAGGTTGGCCTTAACCCCGACTCAGGCGGCCTGTGCTCTGAGCCCCCAGCCTCCTTTTCTCATGCCCGCCCCCTTGTTGTTGTGGAGGCGATGACAGCTGCAGGTGGGTTCCAGTTGGTGAGCGGACTTGGCGAGGGTCTCCGTTCTGTCGCTGGTTTGTAGCTGCTTTGGTCGGCCCCTATCCTGCAGGTGGAGGTGTCCGCACCCCCCGCCCAGAACAAAACCGTGTGGCCCCAACCCCGTGTCCCCCCTCAGGCTGGCAGGAGGGTGGGAACGCTGGGCCCGCAGCCCGCTTTGTTCCCACAGCCAGCGCTCTGGGGTCGGAAGGAGCCGCCGACCCCTGCCGGTCTTGGGGGGGGGGCTGCTCTCCGCAGCCGCAGCCCAGCCGCAGTGGGGGGGCAACACCGCTAGGTGCTGTCGGAGGAGGTGGCGCTGGGGCCATTGACCAGGGGTCTGGTGACAGGAGTAAAAATGCCGTTCCTGCAGCCGATCTGAGAGAACAGGCAAGGTCCCCTGCAGTCTGCTGGGGCCCTGGGCTGTGGCTGACGGCACCGGCCGGCATCTCGGGTCTGGGGGACAGCAGATTCCACAGGGCGCGCTGCTGCCGAGTGTGGCCGTGTTACTGTGGAACAGTAACTACCACTGAACCGTGACAGCGCACAGAACTTGGGGTGACTGCCGTCGGTCACACAGCGGGTCTGGGCTTTTCCTCCCAGCGCCGGTTTGTAGCTTTGGGTAAAGTGGTTGTGTCTTGGCAAGACCAGGGAAAACCATGCACCTACCTCACAAGTGTGACACAGGGACTCACTGACGTGAGAGGTGGGAGTCCAGCCAAGGTTCCCATGGAGCCCATGCCCAGCGTGTACCGAGTTTGGTGGTTTTAAGTTCTGAATTAAACACAGCACCACCTGCTCTTTGAAAGTAGGTGACAGAAAATCAGGGGCTCGGTTAGGTGGGGCGGCAGGCGGCCCTGTCCCAGGTGCCACGCACACGCACAGGGGGCCCAGGAGCTGGGTGTGGAAGGCCTCTCAGACATGGGGCGTGATGTCTCCGGTGCCCTTCCATGGCCTCACCTCAACTGGCAGGCTGTGGGAACTGAAAGCTACTGACGGTGGTGAGTTATTCCAAAGTTGTGCGTAGCCATTTTTGGAATTGCAATAGCAAACTCACACTTTAGGCATAGGGTTTGAGTAATACCTGTGGAGGCGGGTCTGCTGGGCAGAGCCAGCGCGGGGTGCCCCCACCTCCGCCTGCCCAGCCCACCTGCCTGAGCCAGTACCCCCGAGTGGTGCCTATCCTCTGGCCTTAAAGACAGTTGCATAGAAAGAAATTGCAAATATATGAAAATGTGATCTGATATCTTGAAATAAAGGAAATTTTGCGGTAAGTTGTACAAGTTCATATTTGTGTTGAGAAAAAGAAAAGTACAGCATATTTTCATTCAGAATCAGAACTTAGAACTACAGGCGACACTGAAAATTTAGCCCACCTACTGGGACAGACATTGTCCTGTGTTAGCTCTGTCGCGCAGGCTGACCGGAGTACCAGGGACATCGTTTGTGAAGGTGGGTCAGGGGCTAAGTGTGAAGTCCTGTAACTCCCGTGAGAAACTTGCTTCCAGCTACTACTAACCTCCCCACCTGGCGCTTGTTCTCGGGTACGTTCAGGCATCGAGGAAAATTAACCCCCAGTAAAGAACGGGCACATGTGAACACGCCTGTTGATGTGCAGCTGCGTGATGGGGCAGGGCGGCGTCTGCGTCCTGGGTGACAGACCTTCCCCTGCGCTTTCTGCACGGCCACTGGGGACACGCCGGCCCGTCTGCCCGTGCACAGTCACCTGCGCTTTAGTTCCTCCCGGACCCCCGTGTCCCCGAACCGTCCCTTTCTCCCGCCCCACCCCTTCCTGCAGTGTCTCAGGGAGGCTCTTCCTGAAGACGACAGAACCCAGGGCACCAGTTCACATGCCGTGGGGTCTGAAACCTGGGATTGGAGGGTCCCTAAGTTCATCAGGTGTCAGCGCAGCCCCCTCCCCAGAAGCAGGTGACAGTGATGTTTGGTCTCTACACTGGCCCTTCACTACGTGCCCCATGGAGAAGGCAGGCACCCACAGGAAGCCGGGACCAAGCGGCTCGCCACCCTGCTCCCCTTAACTCTCCCCGTTCCCTATGCTCCCCGCTTCCCTTTGACAGGAGGGGTCACCACCTTCAGAGGACACTGTTTGGTGGAGCCGCGTGGAGGTTTCCTAAGGGAGCCAGAGGGACAGCAGGCGGCACACGTCAGCAGGCACGGGCAGCGAGCAGGACAGGTTTAGCCGCAGAGGAAGCGAGGGTGGCAGCCTGTGTCGTCCAGACAGTCCGGCCGTGCGTGTCTGCCCTCCCAGGAGCCTTGCCTCCTCGAGGGGTCCACCGAGGCTCAGGGGATGTGCCCCCTGGTCCACGAGAACGCCCCCCTGGGGACGCCTCGGGGACACGGGCAGGGCCGTGGGGCAGGGCGTCAGTCTGAGCGGAGGCTGTAGACATGCAGGGCCCCGGAGAGCCTGGCGCCCAAGGAGCTCCTTCCAGCAGCCACGACGACTTGGTTCTGTGGAGACACAGCTGGCGTTAGTCCTCAGACTGTCCCCGCAGACAGAAGGGACACGAGGCAGGTGCACCTGCAGCAGGGACCTCACTGCCCTGTCACGCCGGGGCCCAGGGCGGCCCTGCTCCTGTCGCCCTGCCCCCACTGAGGTGTCCGAAGCACTGCTCCAGTGAGGGCCGGGCCCTGGTTCCATCCGGACCCTGGAGGGCGGCAGGGCCACGTCGCACCTGTCCTGGGGGCTCTGACCGCCTCTGCGTCCCCCACCTCGCCCCAAGAGGTAGGGACTGTGGCCGTGTGCACCCTCCTCAGCTGGTGGGAGTCAGCGTGGGTGGATGTGTGGGGGATGTGCACCTGAGTTCTTGATGCTGTCTGATTTTGGGAAATGAGTAAAATTTAAGTGGAAGCCAAGCTTAGGGCATAAAGTAGTCCTAGGACCAGACCAGTTGAGAGTCCTCCCTGTGCAAACAACAATCCATCGCTTGTACTTAATGCTGGATTTTTGTTACTGGGCCGCTCGTTCCTCCCTGGGGTTGAGCCCCGGCCGTGTGCAGAGGTGGCCGCTAGGGGGCGAGCTCAGGGCGGTTCTCAGCCGGGTGCACGCCCGTGAGGGTTGGCAATGGCCTTCCTTTTCTTTCACTTCCCACGGGCAGAATCTCACTCCTCAGCCGCACAGACGCTGGCGCGGCCCCGTGCCCCGTCCTCTCCCCAAACAGGCGCGGGCGCTGGTTCAGTGGGGTCCGACCGGAGCCCTGTGGCCGTCCGTACCCACTAGTGTCAGCATTCAGGGTGCGTGCAGCCTGTGATGCAGCCAAGGGCGTCTGCACAACCGCACAGACACGCCGAACAAGAACGCGCACCACACACCGCCTGTGACGGGGGAAGCAGGAGACAGCGACGGGACACCCACGGGGATGAGGGCCGAGGCGATACCGTAAAACAAACACTGTATCTGGACCAATTCTTCGCCGCAGAGCGTGGAGCTCTGTGTGCGCGTGCGCGCACCTGTGTGGGAGGAGCCACAGAGGGCGGCCAGTGACATGCAGGCGGGTGTGTGTCCCTCTGTCCCCGGGTCACAAAGGACCTCACACCGCAGTGCCAGCCCAGGTGCTCAACAGCACACACCTGAGGCTCAGGGGACAGAGTCTCAGGAGCAGCTGGACGGCCTGGGTCCCAGTGACACCCGTGGACGGCAACACCAAGCCCCCTGCTTTTCAGTCATTCACGCATGCAGTGACCATTTCTGGCTGGTGAGCTGGCCAGAAGGGGGCAGCCGGGGGAGCCGGCCTGCTGCCCAGGGCGCCGCTGCAGGGTCAAGGGGGCTGCTCCTGGAACCACGGCCTGTCTGTGGTGCTAGTGTGTATGCTCTTCTACTTTTCAAGTGAAAAAGAAAATCAGAAATAGGTACAAAAAGGCCCTGGCTGGTGTAGCTCAGTGGACTGAGCACTGGCCTGCGAACCAAAGGGTCACGGGTTCGATTCCCAGTCAGGGCACATGCCTGGGTTGTGGGCCAGGTCTCCTGTAGCAGGCGTGTGAGAGGCAACCACACATTGATGTTTCTCTCCCTCTTTATCCCTCCTTCCCCTCTCTCTAAAAATAAAATCGTTTAAAAAATGCAAACCAAAGGAGCACGTCCCAAGTTCCAGCCCTGGGACAGACACAAGTCAGAAACACAGCTGGGCACCCACCTTGTCCTTCGACCGGACAGTGACCACGGAGCTCCCAAACCTCGAGCTTGCCTGTGGGACAGAGTCTGGGGTTACAGTGGCCCCGGAAAGACACCCGGTACCATCTGATCAGCTCGAACTGAGTCGAGAGGCCGTCGCGCGGTCTCTCCTCCTTCGGGAGGCACTTACTTCCGGGGAGGTGAGCACGTGCCAGGCCTGAAATCGGTGACAAAGGGAGCCCGTCAGCGTCGCCCGGCCCGGGCGGGGCTCCCACGGCCAACCCACACCCTCGCCCTCCGCATCCGTGTTTCTGCAGACGCCTCAACTGTGTGCGTGCCCCCGACTGCAGAAATCCCACTCAGGGGACTTCGGCTCAGAACACAGATGTGCGAAGATGTTCACATGTGAACATTTCATGTAAATGAAATGCCAGTTCATCCCACTGTGACCTGCTTCACCCCGGGTCTGACTGGACCGCACCTGCGGGCCTGCAGCGAGGGCTGCGGATGCCGGGACCTGGTTCCGGCAGAAGTGGGGAGCCCCGTGGTGTCGGTGTGTGTGAGGACGCTACCTTCTCCTCCGGACACGGTGACACCCAGGACCTGCATCTGCCTGTCACGTCGCCAGAGACGGTGTGTTTGCCGTTGTAGATGTAGACGCGGCCGTCCTCTCCCCCGATCAGCCCGGAGGTCACGTCTGCTATCCGCAGGGGAGCCGCCACGATGACGTCATCTGCGAGCGAGACCAGCCGAGGGGGGTCGGGCTGCTCCCTGCCCCCTCCCCATGTCCCTCGGCCCCTCCTGCCCTGCCTCCCATGGGTCATCGCAGGGCGACTCTGCCCGGACAGTCAAGGCTTTGGCTTCCTTCCAGATCAGCAGGTGGCGGCCCTGCCGTCATCTCCTTCGAGAAGGACAACTGCCTCTCGTACACCTGGCGCTGGTCCCACCTGACTCTGCCTCTAGGTCCTTGGGCCACCAGGGGCCAGTGGCGAAGGCAGAGCCTCACCGACCCAGCTGGGGCTCAGGGCCTGGCCCAGGGGGCCTCCCTTTCCTACCTACGCCGTCGCCGTCCAGGTCGCTCAGGTGCAGGGCGCCCCCGAAGCGGGAGAAGCGGCGGTCTCCGCTGAAGGTGCTGAGCAGGGACGGCTGGAAGTCGGGGGTCAGCTCGTACATCCGAGTGGCTCCCCCTTGGTGCAGGGTCATGGTCAGGAAGGCCATCTTGGACACGTCGTCTGAAATGGACCACACGTCAGGGCGCTGCTCACACGTGTGGCAGCAGCACGTAGGGCACTGACGGGTTCCCGCTCCCGCTCTGGGCTTCCGCCCTGAGGGACGCAGGTCCCACGGCAGCAAAGCTGGTCACGCACGGTGGTTAGGCAGGCGCAGCAGCTGGGGCTCCGAGACCCGGCACAGTCAACCCAATGACACCGCCAGGCAGCTGCCCCTCCGCCCCCCTGACCTCCAGGATGCCTGCCGCACCGCCTCCGTTCCCAGGTCCCAAACCGCCCGAGTCCCTGCCCTGACCCCCGGCCCTTTGGGTGGAGTCCGGACTCCAGCCTCGCCCGGGGCCACCGCCCGTCCCACCCACCACACCCAGTGTGGTCTGCCTGGACCCGACCGCCCTGCCAGCCAACCACAGCTCGTCCTGTGGCGTTTGGCTCAGGTGTCCCCTCCTCCGGGAAGCCTGCCTCGTGCCACCGCAGGCTCCCTCGAACAATCCCCCGGTGACAAGACCAGGTCGGCAGCACTGTGCACATCGGGTGTCCCTGGGCCGGCGCCAGGCCAAGTGCATGTTTCCTGAGCACGCGGCTCATTGGACGGTTTCAAACAGAGCTACTCAGATGTCTGCCTACAGACACACTCGTCCGGAACAGGCCTGATGCCACAGACAAGCACCTTCCCAGAAACCAGGGCAGCGGGCGGGTGGCCCTCTTGGTGGCACTGGTGTTGGCACCTGTCGGGGCTGCGGGTGAACGAATGGCTGATTTCACCCTCCCCGACAACCTCCGTTCATTTTACAGCAGCCAATGGGGAACCAGACCTGACGCTGGCAGAGCCAGCAGCCGGTGGGGACGCGGGGACGCGGGCTGCTGTGACACTCAGCACTGGGTGCTTTCACACGAAGCACCGCGCCTGCCCTGGGCGCTGCTGTCACGCGCTGCATGAAGCCCCGCAGGTCCAGCAGGGGTAACCTGAGAGAAACCCTTACTCCCTTCCTGTCACACTTCTGTTAGGGACCTGAGCTCCTGGGTGACCACACAGCAGCAGCTGGAGCGCTCGGTCCCGTCCCCGCCCAGACACAGGGAGGTGGAGGCGGCTTCTCCCTCGGGCTCCGCCTACAGCAGGCACTCCGGGGCCCGTTCTGGGTTCTGATGCGTGAGACTCTGGGGGCCTCCAGCCCCGGCCGGGAGAGGAGACCAGACACACCAGCTGCCCTCCCGTGTGGCTGCAGGAAGGGGTCACCGTCTGTTCTGGGCAGATGGTGACACTACCCCTCAGGGAGGGCAAGTCCCTTCCCCAAGGCCACACAGCTGGGTATTCGTGAGAAAGGAAGCCCAGGTTGGACTGACCAGGTGCACAGCCCGCCCCCTGGAGACCGGCCAGGGGCCTCAGGACCTACCGTGCGTCGGGGCCCCAACCAGCAGCACCGGCTTCCGGGTCCCGTTCATCACCACGTGGCCGCTGGACAAGGAGGTGCCCAGCTTCCCCATCGCCTGGGAGATGGGATGAACCGAAATGCAGCTCAGAGCACGTCCGTGCCCTGGGTGTCCCCGTCCTCAGGAGGAGGTGGGGGGAAGGGCGGGAAAGGGCAGGCAGGCGCCCTACCTTGTCCCCGGAGATGGTAAACCAGCTCCGGCAGCGCGGCGGGAAGTAGCCGTACACCCGTCCGAGGCTCTGCTGCTTGTCGTGCGTGCGAGACAAGAAGCCCAGGCTGGAACGCAGGGCACAGAGTGTCGGTGGGCACGGGGTCAGGAGCTGGTCCCCACACTTGTCCCCACCCGGGCATGGGATGGGGAGGGGCTTGCAGAGGGAGCCCAGTGCCGGGTCCTCAGGCACAGGCCTGCCGTTCTGCCCCCGATGACCGCAGCCCAGGGACACCCAGCCCAGCCTGGTGACCGTATAAGGAGGGGAAGAACCCTGGGGATGGGCTGGGAGGTTGCAGGGAGGAGGCCTCCACAGAAACCAGCTCTGCAGACGCCTCGACCCTGCACTCCCGGCTCCAGGACGGGGGCAGAATCGGTGGCCTTCCCCGCGGCAGCAGCCCCGGCAAGTTTCCGGGGGAATTTGCACCCCTGCCCCAGAGCCTTAGCTTTTCCTCGCGGGGTAAGGACCGCTTAGCCCGTCGCCCTGAACCTCGCCCGGCGGGGGCAGGTGCCACCCGCGCCCACCCACCTGCTGGCGTTCTTCCAGGTGGGGCTCCCCACCACCAGCAGCGTCCTGTTCTCCACGCCGACGCCGTGGAGGGCGAACCCCAGCCAGGCGAAGTCCTCCTCGCCCCGCACCAGCCAGTCGGCCGCCGCCACGGTCAGGTTCGCTGCACGGGGAGGGGGGGCGCTCCTGCGTGGCTGACAGGCTCACGGAGGGGTGTTTGCCAGAAACTCCCGGATGCCCCTCCCGGGCCCCACAGACCACGCGAGAAATTTCTAAAGCTCAATGCCGTGGCAGGAGGGATGCTACTGAGAGGCCCATCTCGGACGCCGAGAGCATCCCGGGTGCCGGGGGTCCCTGCCCTGTCCTAGGGAGATGAAGGTGGGCCTGGACCCACAGGTCGGCCTCTCTGAGTGCTGACTCTGACCACGTCACCCGACAGGACACCCGTGGGGGTGGGGCACCAGGAAATCCAGGTGAAGGGACACGAGGAGGAAAGGAGGCGACTCGGGTGCAGAAGTGCGGGGACCAGACCACTACCTCTGCTGCTGCGGCCGCGGCGGGAGTGGAACGCGGCCACCACGCCCCTCTGCGTCCCTCCGCCCGGCGCGAAGGGGGAGCCGGCCACCAGGTCGGGCTCGCCATCTCCGTTCACGTCGGCGGCCAGCAGCGTCCAGCCCAGGTTGCAGTGTGTGTCCTGAGGGGACACGGAGACCTCGTGCACCTCCCGGAGCAGCTGGGGCGCCTGCACCTGGTGGGGGGTGGGGGCCGGGGGCACATACCTGACAGGAGATGGTGACGTTGGGGGACGGCGAGAGTCCTCCCTCCCGGGAGCCGAAGTAGACGTACACCGCGCCCTGGGCCAGGACAGGCGGGGAGGTCGGCGTGGCCCATGGCAAGAGGCCCGCGGTCAGGCCCCCTGCGACGCCCGCGGGCAGCAGCCCCGGGCTGACACACCACCCTGCCCCCTGCTGCTGGGCGGCCGCGCTTGGTTTTGCATTGAAACCGAGTCTCTGCCCCAAGGCCCCCGGTCCCCACCCTGGAGGAGCGTCTGCCGCTGAGCCCAGGGCCTTGCTCTGTGGGGCAGTGGGGAGACCCTGCCCCCCACTCACAACCCTCTGCCGACCTCACACCTGGGCTCCCACCCGGGTCACATGACTGCACCCCAGCAACACGTGCCCTCCCTCCTGCAGGTTGGGGGATGGCGTGGTTCACGGGTCGGGAGGGAGTGTGAGGAGGGGCCGGGTCTGTGCCAGACAGGACAGCACCCGGAGTCCCCTCTGCCGGGGTGGCCGGAAGCTATGACCGCCTGGAACTCGTCACCTTCGATGCCACTCAACGCACAGGGAAGAGCAACACGCTTGCTGGGTGTGGGACCCTCGAGGTCAACCCCAGGCTGGGGAGGCGGGAACAGGCGCCGCCAGGCACCTGAGGTCACCTCAGGGACCCGAAGGGGGCCCAAGGTCACCCTCCCCAGACGCTGTGTCCGGCCCCCGTCTGCTGTCTGTGGGGGCTCCGTCCAGCACTGGCCGCGCCTGGGGCTTCTCCCATCCCCCACCCACCCCTCCCCCGACCGCGCGCCTTACTTTGTATGTGAGCTGTGCCGAGCCCACGGAGGGGGCGCCCACAGCCAGGTCGGGCACGCCGTCCCTGTTGAAGTCCAGCACGGCCAAGGCCGAGCCAAAGCGACCTGCGGGCTGAAGGGACAGGGTGACCCCCGGGGTTAAGTCGCGGCTCCGACAGCACCACCGAGTCCCCGGGAGGGGACGGCCTGGGCCGCAGTCACCTGTGGCCTCGGGAACAGAACTGCGTGTCCCCAGGAAGCACACCCACAACAGGCAGCTGCTCCAGCCACATCTCCCACACGCAGAGCCAGTGGGCACGGTGGCTCCCACACCAGCGGCACAGCCTGGCCCGTTGCTGCAGTTCCAGAAGTTCTGCTGGGGACACTGTCCTGCACGCTATTCTAAGCACACCACGGGACTAAGGCGTTCTGATCATCCCCACGTCCATGGCTCACAGACGGAAACTCCGTCATTTGGGGACAGTTTTCTTCCAAAGTGGGTTTTCTAGATCTTTCTCCCACTGTCTGGAATTGGCTGAGACGGAAAGTGACTCAGAGGCTGGGGCTGCAGGAGCTGCCGGACGCACGTGCTCCAGAGCCTGCGGGCCACCAGCCGGCCAAGCGCTGCACAGCGCAGGCACCTGGGCCGCGAGCACAGTGGGAACCGATAAACCAGACAGGGTTCTCGGGGCACGGAGCCTGTGGGGTCCGTGGGGACAACAGCTGAGGACACGTCCCCTCCCCACCAACAAGCCCCTGCGGGTTGGTCAGTCATTCCCAGAGAAGTGACCTTGAAACAGGTCAAGGCCTGGGCTCTCCCTCCCAATTTCACAGACAAGGTCATAGAAAAGCTGGGAGCAGGGCCCGAGTACCGGCTCCCAGCCCCACCCACGCTGCCCTCGGCCTCCTCTCGGGTCAACCAGGGCTCCCGGGGGACAGGGCCCGGGGTCCCCTGCCTCGCACAGTGGGGCCGCCCAGCTGAGTGTCCACGGGGCCCAAAGGACCCCAGCTCACGGCGCTGTGACACCGGTGCCAATGTCGCGGAGCACAGGTGGGGCAGTTATTGTGGAACTTCATGTGGCATCAGAAGCTTCCAGAGGGGGTCCCTGTGGGGGTGTGACCTCACCCTCTGGCCAATCAGCTCACTCACTCCCAGCGGACCCAGGGCTCCCTGCTCGGGAGCCTGGACTAGATCGGAAACCGCCACACTTGACACGCTCAGGACCGGGGCCCTGTTTTATTTTGTGTCTCCAGCACTGAAGCCAGAGCAGGAGGTTTTGGCCAGCCTGGGACAGGGGCCTCGATGTGACCCAAACCCAGGTCCCTTCTCCTCCTGGGGCTTGACCCAGGGAGCACGCGGCGCCACCGGAGTCCGTCACCTGTGACGGCCGGCTCTGCCTGCCCAGCTTGTGCCAGTGATGTCCCCGAGGAACGCCTCCGGGCCCCGGCCTTCCCCCACCACTCACACACCTCCGTGCGGGTCACCTGGACGTCCCCCACGCGGTGTCTGCGGTGGGGCCGACCCCCTAAAGCAGTGGGTCCCACACAGAGTCTGGCCCAGCGCCAGCCTCCGTCCCGATCAGCACTGCAATTACGCGAGACGCGAGCCAGGACCCTGCGCTCTCCCGCTTCTCCGAATCCGCTGCCAGAACTCATCCGAAATACAACAGTCACGTGAGGAAGCACAGGTGGCGTCCCACTGCCAGGTCATCACGGCCGCCCTGGCCGCTTGGAGCATCTCCGGGTCGTGTGCGTGTGTGTGTGTGTGTGTGTGTGTGCGTGGACAGCGTCAGACCGAACCTCAGCGGTAGAGTGACACAGTGACATGGTCGCTGGCGGGAAGCGCGAGCCTGCTCACCTGGGAGCCCTCCAGGACCCCGTGGGCCTCCTCGTCCAGGTCCAGGTCGATGGGGGGCAGGCCCAGGTCGCTGCCGTAGACCAGGTACACGCGCCCCACGTGGCCGTGGCCGGGGCGGCTGTAGCCCGGGGCGCCCACCAGCAGGTCGCCGTGCCCGTCCTGGTTGAGGTCGGCCGAGGTCATCACCCTGCAGGGACAAAAAGAGGGCCTGTCACAGTGTCCACGGAGCCCCGGGTGAGAGGGTCTCATCCCCCTGCCTAGCGCCCCTCGCCCATCTGCCGTCCTGCCCGGCCGCTGTGTTTGAGTCTGAGGTTGTCCAGTGTGTGTGAGTCAGCCCTGCTCGCCAAGGAGAAAGCCACCGACCAACCGACCACGATGCCGGACCAGCCCAGGCCTCTGGGCCCCCGCCGGGCACCCTGGCGGGACACCCTGCTGCAGACCCGGGCAGAGCAGACTGGGTCGCCTTCTGGGCAGCTCGGCGCCTGCCAGTCTGTCTGCAGGAGACGAGCTGTGGGAAGTGGTCCTTGACCCCCACCCCAGCTGAGAGCCTGCCCGGAGCTGGGACAGACGCCACTGTCCCACACATGGCCATTTGCAAGCAAGACTCTGTGACCAGTGACGGGAATGTCTCCCTCAGCCTGGAAACTCTGGGAGTCACTCATCTGTCCTAGTTCTCACTGGCCACACGGTGGCGCTGCTGTGCCCTGCACTGGGCGGGGCAGGAGGCCGGGAAGGAGCCGCCGCCCCCAGGGTGGCCGACAGCCCAGCCCAGGCCAGCTGGGGCCTTCTTTTGTAACGTTCTGGAAGGCCACCACTGTCCACAAGGAAGCCAGCCTCCCCTGCCACTCCCGGGGCCCGGGGCAGACACAGGAGGGACCCCAGGAGGAAATGCAGTGTCACTTGGACATGACGCGTGCCATTTAAAGAAGGCATTTCAGAAACTTCAGAGACGATTCTGAACCGGCAGCAAGGTGTCCCCGAGGACCGACGCCTGACACGTTCCCCGGGACCGCGCGCTTCAGGGTGGACGGTCCGGTGAGGTGGTTGAACACAAAGACAGATGCCAAGGAGGTGGTTTTACTGCGGCGCAGACTTAGCCGAGGTGGCGTCTCTGCGGACGGTGAACTGAGTGGACACCGGGTGCTAACGGGCGCCACTCGCTGCGCCGGTCAGATGACACAGTGGTGCGAACACGGGGCTCGTACCTACCAGCCGAGCCTGGCGTAGGGACGCGACAGGAAGTAAGACGCCAGAGGGCTGGACACGTGGTTCCGGGGCCGCTGGGAGCTGCCCGTGAATATCATCCGCAGGTTCCTCTCCAGAGTCCGGTACATGACGGACAGGGAGTCCTGGAACGGAGGCGAGGCCGTCAGGCGAGGGCGTGGCCGGCCCCCAGCCCTCTGCCCCGCCCACCGAACCCCGGCCCCGCTGAGCTCCCCAGGTCCCAGCTCGCTGGGCTCTGGACCCAGGTGCACAGGAAACTCGTTTCCACAGGCGCTAAAGATGATGCTGTCTGCACCTGTCACCAGGAAAGATCGCCCAAGACGGGCGGTGAGGGGTGACAGAGCCTCCCCCACTGACGGGCACCAGTCGTCACCGCCCTGGTGTTGGTGCCGCAGGGAAGCGTTCACCGGGAGTCGACCCCGGCCAACCAAGTCGGGACCGCCAGCAGTGACCGGCAGTAGGTAGGGCAGCAAAACCGTTGTTTACGGACTAACGGTTTCCTAAAAGACGAGTGCATTCCACCTAGGGCTGTAATTGTATTTGCATATATGTACCCTTTCCGTGTGAGAGAATTTGGGGGACAAGCCCCCCAACTTGCAATGCTATGTTGTTCTTAACATGGTCACTGTAGAGACACAGGCACAGACCGATGTGGCCAAGTACTAGATCCCCCCGAGGTCAGGGGGCAGAGCCCCACGCCCACTCAGGGGTGGCCGGACCAACAAGAGCCCCAGCAGCCCCCAGGCAGCTGGCTCAGAGCCAGGACAGCAGTGCAGGGGCGCCAGCCCCACAGGCCGTGACCGCACCTCCGTGTCCCCACGCCAAGCCCTCTGGCAGGTGACCCGTGGTTGGCCTGTCCTCAGCCTGCCGGGCTTGGGCTCCGATTCACCCAGGAAACCGTCACGAGGCTCCTGCCGTGCACTGGGCCTCACAATGGGCCGAGAACACAAGGTCCTCCCCCCCACAGCTTTCCCGTTCGCACTGGAGACGGACGGACAGACTGCAAGTCAAAACCACACCGTGCAGCAGGAGGAGGCCACGGCCCTTGCTGGAGAACTTGGAGGAGCGGACAGCAGAGCCTTAAACAGAGGACGCGGCCCCGGGAGGGGCGGCCGCCGGCTTCTGAGTGGCCGCACAGGCCACACACCATGACATCGGCCCTGTCCCGCTCCCTCACCACTCAGGGCACCTACAGCGTTCTCGGCCATCGGGCGCCGTCCACGGCCCGACACCTCCGTGCCTCCCACCCTCCCTCTCACGGCGCCTTGTGTCCCAGGCAAACGAGGCCACTCAGGTTCTGAGATCCTGGAACTTTCCAGGAGCCACCTCCTGGAAAAGCCACCTCCTCCACGAAGCCTCCTCTGATAGCAGGGATACAATGTTCATCTCAGAGGCCAAGGCCCTCAAACCCCCTCAAATCCCCACTCCCACATGGTTAATTAACTTACCAGCCCCATTAGACTGAAGCTGTTTAAAGGTCAGTCTGTTTCCCTTTCGCTTCTGTCCCCCGGACAGTCTGTCACCTACAGGTGACCTTGGGCATGTCAGGTATGCCAAGAGTCCCTCAGTGAGGGGCGCTGCCTGGGGAGCCTGTGATACTGCTCACACACTGCACACAAGGGACAAAGCAGGACTGGCCCAGGGTCACCCAGGGCTCTGCCCGACTTGCCAAGGGCCCCGGATCAGGATTCACATCTCAGGACGTCCCACAGACCAGATCTGGAGGCCGAGGACCTGCTGGCCTGGCACCCATCCCTGACTGTCTGTGAGTGACCACACAGCCGACAACGCCACAGAAGCGGGGGCCGCAGGAGGCCACGGCCCCTTCTCCGCGAAGAGCGGAGAACGCTTACCGAGGTCCAGGAGTCCACGCTGAAGACCACCCCTCGCTTGGTGTGCTTTATGTTTTTCCTGGTCTCCCTGGTGAGGGATGCAGTCAGATTCCTATGAAAGTCACTTTTCTGCACGTGTGAACTGCTGGGAAGAGATAAAAGCCGAGTGGCTGAGACGGAGACAAGTGACCGAGCCGCAGACTGTGCCCCGGTCGGTCACGGGGCAGAGCCCTGAGAGCTGACGAAACACCGATGCCAAGGAGCAGTGGTGCAGAGACACCTCCTGGGGGCTCCCCAAGACCTTTCGGTAAACACGCGCCCAGAGTTAAAAGTGTGTCTTTACGAAAACCCCTGCCCGCAGCCTCAGCGCTCCAGCGCGCACGGTCTGGCTTCCTCTCAGGTCAGAGGCAGCGAAGGCGTCTCGGGATTTTGCGCACGGACAAGAACTCGGAGGCAGCTGCTGGGGAGGCTGGCGTGGCCGTGCTGATGCACCTTCAACCACGTGCTGGAGCAGCCGTGCAGTGAAGGACATTGTCACGTGTGCGCATTCTAACCCGCCCTCCACCCGACGCCTCGAGGGGCTGGACAGACCCCAGGGAGACTGACGTGAGAGCTGGTGGCAGGAACACTGGGAGGGCCACCGTGAGACCAGGGTCAGACCCTGACAAACGGGAGGCCGTGAGCCCAGCGTGAAGGCACTGGGTTCGGTGGCAGCTGGCCCCAGCAAATCAAACCGCGGGGCCCTAGACTCTCACTCGGGGCCTCTGCTGCAAAGCCCTCTAACGAGCACCCAGCTCCTGTCTCAGCTGAGACACCACTTCTCCAAAAAGCTCCCCTGTGTTTGGGTGAGGACACGCCAGGGCCCATCTCAGAGTGACCGGCTCTGGTCCCGTCACATGGGAGCAGGGCCCTGTCCCGTTCACCATGAGTGCGCCAACCCCTGGACTCCGATTTTTACAGCCGGGGAACCTGCACAGCCTCCGTGCGGCCGCTGGTGCTCTGGGCTGTGCCCTGCGGGGCCACACGGCTCCAGTCACCACCCCTCCCATCTGCTCATCTCCTTCTGACCCCATGGTCCCCCCAGACCTGCAGCAACGTGTCCCCAAGGGCACTGACAGGGTCACGACACCAGCACCTGGGCCTGGCAAGACACCTCCTCCCAGCACACGTGTCGTCCTCCCCGGGAACTGCCTTTCCAGCGTGAAGTCTGGGTCAAGTTCACGAGTGAGGGCAGTTAGGGCGATGGTGAGGACACCACGCAGGCTGGCGGAGCAGCTCACGGACGCCCGTGACCCAACACCCGCCCTCGTGCACACTTCACACACAGTCCCGCCTCCGGCGACCTGCTGAGAGTCGACGGCTGTCAAGGGCGGGCCCGGCATGTGAGCTGCTCTGTCTGTCTGTCTACGGTCACCTTTCCACGTCTGCCGAGCGCCCGCCGGGCCAGCTCCTGTCTCTGTGGCCCGTCCTGGAACACTCACCTGTTCTGGCGAGTCCGGTTCTGCTGGCCGCCGCAGGTGATGAACATCGGGTTCTCCGGCAGGTGGCAGTCCCTGGGGACACAGTGACGCGAGTCAGGCATGTCTGCCTTTTCTCCAGATGGGGGCGGCAGAGCTGAGATCTCAGAATGACACAGTGGCCCTGCCCACGGCCACCCCCATGTCGGCCGACTCAGACTCAGGTGCGGGGACCAGGGCGGGTGGAGGCTGGAGGGAGCGGCCAGTCGGGCACCGGGCTTTGGGACAGCTTCCTGCCCAGGGAGGACTTGTCCCCACTCCCTGTTCCTTTGCCACCAGGAGGCTGACGCCCTAACAGCCAAGCGGGACGTGGCAAGTGCTTCTGGTGTCAGCCGGGGTCTGGCTGAGGCCGCGACCACCGTCAGTTCGCCAGTGCCTCGGGAACCACCTCTTCCTGGTGGCGACAATTTGCTCCGGAAGATAACCTACTCTTAGTGGCTGTCACGTGAAAACATACATTTTCCCCTTCCGTCACAGAGGTCTTTGACAGTCTATGTCTTTGCCTCCTCCTCCACATTTCCCGTGCAGGCCCCTAAGTTCTGAGTGTTTCCTCGTGCATATAAAACGCACGTGATTTATAAAACTTTCTACCTCGACGTATCAGGACGAGGACCCAGAGACAGGAATCTCTTCCTTCTCACTCGCTTTCTCTGGATCAGAGAACCAGGCCCAGTCGCACGTCCCCCGAGCGCTGGGTCGGCCGGCCCGCAGGCCAGCACCGCGGCTGTGTTCCCGCTTCGGGTCGTCAGGCACGGGCTTTACAGAGCCGGCAAACGCAGGTCACTCGCCCTCCCCTGTCCGCCGGGTCCCTCCTCCCGGGGACGCCAGAGCCAACACTCGCGGCCCCGCTGAACCCCGGGGAGAGCGACCCCCCTCCCGCTGCCAACAGCCCCCTGATGGGGAGCTGCTCTCAGGGTCCCACTCACAGAGGAGGACACAGACCTGGGAGGCTCAGCCTCGTGGGGATGATTCGAGGGGCCAGGGGTGGGGGGCAGTTCCCCACTGCGTGTGAGCACCCGAAAACCCAGGGCTCAAGGTCTCGCTCGAGGTGAACGTCACTATTAAAAATGACACTGGCAGTGGGTGTTCATCTCTGCCCAAGGGTGGCTCACTGAGGACGCCCCAGGCTCAGGGCAGGTGAGGCATCGGAGAGGACTGTCTCACATCCACATAGGACACGGTAACGGTCAAGGTCGCTGGACTTCTCCCAGTGAAGGGCAAAGGAGCACCTGTAGGTGCGGCCTCCCAGAGCCACACCCACGCACGCAGCCACTCGGACCTGCGAACCCTGACCCTGCCCGTTCCCGGAACAGCCGCCGGGGGCACCCCTGCCCGCGGACCCTGCTGCCCGCCCGCCCCTCTCCGTCTGCTGCGGACCTCGCCTGCCCCAGCTCCCCGAGGGGCTGCCCTCGCTGCCCCCCGGCCAGCCCTGCTCTGGCAGCAGCGCAGAAGGGGCTGCACACTCCGTGCCAGGTTGGAGACGTGCCCCGAGAGGCCCCTGGCTCCGCCCGACGTTGCGGAGGCTCTGGGAGAGCCCAAGGCCCACTGCAGCAGGAAGCGGGACGACCCTGTTTCCACGGCCTCCTGCCGCCCGAGTCTCTGTTCACGCCCACCCAGGGCATGCTGGGAAGACCAAGGGGCCGGAGGGTGACCGCTGTCCCGTCTGGGCTACGCACCGAATTCCAACAGCGCCCAGACTTTACCATGCGTTCGTCACTTTCCTGTGCTGGGTTGGGTCGGCTGACGGACCCTTTGCAACCCCCGAACCCTGAGAGGCCAGTGGGGCTGCCCGCTGCGGGGAGCTGGCCCTCCAGCCGCAGGCTTCTCCCTGGTGGAGCAGGGGGGACTCAGCGCGGGGTGGACGCCGAGCTGCCTCTGGAGACCAGAGGCTCTGCAACGCCTGCCTCTCAGCCCCTGAAACTGCAGGGACATCCGCAAATCTAACCCCGGGGGGCCTGGCCGAGCTCTGGTTCCTCTGATGGGAACAGGACGGGCACTTTGTGAGACTCTGCTTCCCCTCTCTCAGCAGAGTCCCCGAGACTGGGGACCGGTGGCAGGGCGGGAGCGGCTCACCTGGTCCCGTTCTCCAACATGTAGCTGGTCAGGCGGTAGATGTTGGTGGACCAGAACGCCATGTCATCCAGCCCGCCGAGGAAGTACTCTTGGAATTGTTCCACCAGGAACGGGGACTTGAGGGAGAAAGTGGGGTACAGCTGGGGCAGAGAGGAGGAAAACCAGGACCTAAGTAAGCGAGGCGGGCGCCTCTCCCGGGACGTCTGCGGCCCTTCCCGTGCGGGCTCGGGGACTGAGGCCTTTACCTTGGAGACGGCCAGCATCTCACCGTACCTGCAACACAGCGACAGGGCGACCGTGAGTTGTGGCTCCCACAAAGACCGAGGCAACAACAAGGAAACCCCCCCCCGACACGTGTCCACTGTCGTGTGGCCACCTCGGAGCCGCAAAGTCCATAAACCGAAGCCCACTGTCCGGGCGGAGCCCCCGGACCGCACTCACATCTCCAGGAACTGAAGGTAGGTGCAGTCCACGATGACGTTTCTGCTGATGGCCTCGCGGCCGTAGAGCTTCTGGTAGATGCCCAGGAGGTCTTCCACGGGTACGTACCTGAGGAGGGCAGCGGGAAGGAGGACATGTTGGGCGAGCGGAGAGATGGAACCAGCAGCAGTGACGTCGGTGGCCGGTTACCCCGAGCACTGAGGGCCAGAGCCTCGCCGAGGGCTCCCCACGGGGTCCCACGTGCCCCCCCCAGGCCGGCATCCCCACAGCGCCCCCACCCACAGACAGGAGGCCCACGCGGCGGAGCAAACCCTGGGGTCTTCAACACGTGTCTGCGAAGGTCCGAAGCAGGGCAGTGTAAAAGGGACAAGGGACGTGTGGTTCTGTGACCTGTGATCTCAGAGTCGGGGACACTGGACAGCATTTTCTTTCCATCCAGTTGAATTAGTCTCAAGAATCACCATTGTAAAGACACCCAGAATGGCCGCTCACACCTGCCTTTACCGCGCACGGCGGGAGGCGCCGGAAAGAATTCCCGGTCGGGCGCCGGCGTGGACACGAGGCGCTTCCCCGGAGGGAGGGAGGAGCAGCGGCCGTCACAGACCTGAGCCTCCCGCCTTCATGGCGAAGCCCTGGGACCACACGGGCTAGAAATCACAGCCGGTGAAACCGGGACCTACTGCAGAGCCCACCCACGTCTGGTTCTTGTTTTCACAAGAGCACAGGGACGGTCCTTCCCATGAAAATAGCTCGAAGGCCAGACAAAATAACAAACATTTTTCATGTGAATCACCAAGCTAGGGAGAAAGTGAAAAATTTCCAAAGACCCAAAACAAAGTGAACCTGGAAACTCTGAGAGGAACTCGAGGGGGAGGGCCAGCTCCTGCCCCCTCGAGGTCCTGCCACCGCGGGGACCTGGCAGAGCTCCGGTGGCTGCGTGCCGTGCAGGAGACAGGATGCGGAGACGACCAACGTGGGCGCCCCTGAGTGGGGCGCCTCAAAGCCAGCTCCTCTGCTGCGAGGCCGGAAATAGACCCCACCCACGAACGAGGGCGGCAGAGGACCGCCTCTGCTCCTCTGGGCATGGGAGAGAGGGGCACCGCCCTGGCCTGGGCAGCCCGTGGACTCACGGAAGCCACAGGGCGGAGTGTAGCTTAATGAGGGCCCAGGCCAGGGGGGCGGAGTCAGGCCTCTGCAGACTTGGTTCCACTCCCACTCCAGAGTAGGACCAAAGCAGGACCAGACCCCATGATGCGCCGTTGGAAATGGGCGTCTGACCTCGTGCAGACGGCGCCATGTGTGACATTAGAACCCCCCCACGTTGCTGCTGTCACCTCTTCCCAGGGCCACCAAGGCCAGCTGGCCTCAGGTGCCCTGTGAGTGACTCGCTGGCCCTGGGCCTGCCTCGTTCTGAGGCAGCTGGACCAGGCACAGGCTGGGCACCGGCCATGCCCTGGGCCTCTTCCCGCCCCGGGCTCTGCAGGCACCAACCACTCCCAGGGACCCTCCGCGCCCTGGCGCTGGGGGACAGACCAGGGGCCTCTGAGAGCTTAGCAAACACTGAAGGAAAACAAACACAATGCCGGCGACCAGCAAGGAGCCACCGTAACACCGGACCGGCCAGTGTGCAGGCAGCACACACAGTTAGAGAGAAGGCCGCGGTCGCCTGAGAAAGGCTTGGTTTGCCGGCAGCCCCAAGACTCTGAAGCGTGAATGTTGCTAACGCCACACCTGCAAGCTCGCACACAGCACAGTGACAGGGCTACGAGGAGAACAGCCGCATCACAGGGAGACTTTTTAAGTGACTCTGTCTGAGTCGTGGTTCCATGGGCCCGAGAACAGACAGACCGTCTGGTCTGCAGCTCCCAAGACACAAGACGCATGACGATCTGCTGCTTCAACCGGGGGTGGTGTGTCATTTTAATATTTCTTCTCTATAAATATGGAATCTTTTCTGTTTGCTACAATTCGCAACATTTTTAGCGAATGGAACTACATCTTCCCGGGGCCGCCAAGGCCAGCTGTCCTCGGGTGCCCTGTGAGTGCACTTACACTATTCTAACCTGCAGTTTCGTGTTTCAGGACCTACAAAGCAGAGGACCCCTGAGTTCGCTGTAAATTCTGTTTTCCAGGAGAGAAAGGGTCCAGCCCCCGGCACGCCCCCCAGCGCATGCGCCGCGCTTACCAGTCCCGCGCCAGGTAGTTGAAGTTAAACTCGAACTGGCTCAGCACGTCGCCGCCTGTGGCGAGAAAAACGAGGGCACGGGCGGGTCAGGGACCACAGGCAGCAGCCTCTCCCAACACGAGTCTGCGAGACCCGAGCCCTCAGCTCCCGGCACCGTCACGGGTTTCTGTGATGCTGTTTTAGGGACAAGTGTGTCTTTATGGACATGGATCTTCTAAAATCATCACTAGTGACACATTAAGGGAAAAAATCACCCACATAACCAAAGCTTTTCACTTTAAGAGGGACCACAAGCATTCTTTTAAGTGAACGCCACTCCCCACCTGGTCTGAATATTTGAAGGTAATTTGCTATAGAAAAAAGACTGCATTTGCCAATGTAAGGTTAATGTATCAGTGGTCGCTACCCTCACGAACTTATATGATATAAAAGTAAAGTGTCTCTGAAGTTATGACGGAAGCCAGTAAGACGTGGCTTTTTTTTTTTAAACAAATACCAGAAACACACAACTTTTCAGGACAGCTGCCCGCTGACTGCCTGCAGCACAGGTGAGCTGCCACAGAAGGACCCGTGGGCCTGAGCTGCCGGCCAGGTCGGGCAGGAAGCGCACGTGTGAACACGGCGGCCACTGAGCCCCACCTGGACACCAGCGCCCACGAGAGAGAGTGGCCACTGCGGTAAACCGTACCGAAGTCTCCGGCCGAGTGCGCCTCGGAGTAGGAGCCGTGGAAGTCGATCTGAGGAAGGAAAGGACCGTCTGAGCACAGCTGCGCCCCCAGCAGGCGGACTGCGGGGGCGGCCCAGCGCTCGGCGGAACGTCCAACGTCACGGCTGCGTCTACGGGCGGACGGGACGCCGGCAGCCGGGCGGTACCAGGACACGCCCCGCGCCACCTCCCCTGCGCCCCCAGTCACACTCCCTGCAGAGCGGCATCGGTGAGTGAGCGTGGACTCCCGGAAGCCGAGTCACCGGGGAAGGTCACGATGTCACCTTGGGGATATGGCATTTTCATACAGAAAATTAAAAAGGAAAATGAAACCCCAAACACGCGGAGCTATTACTGTTAAACAGAGCCAAGTAGCCGGTACTTGTATCCTTACTGAGATTCACAGCTTGAAAAAAAACATAAAATTTCTCAAATATCGTTTGTGACTAAAGTGACACACCACATCCGTTGCAGCTTCGAGTGCCCACCAGTTGCTCTGCCTGAGCAGACGAATGTCCCCGGAAGACGGAAACCGAGCAAGCGTGCGGTGGGTAGGAAGTCTCGGTTCCACGTGGTGTGGACGACCTGAAGCTCCGCTTTCCTTGGGAAGGGTCCCTGTGTGACCTCAGGTTGGGGGGCCCTCCCGTGAAGTCACTAGCCTGGGGGACAGGTACTCACGGCTGCCATGGTCCTCAGGAACCCCTGCTCGACGCCCAGGCTGTGCCAGCTGACGTCTGCCACCATGTGAGACGTGACTCCGAGCAGGAAGGCCACCAGCTTCTCCGTGTCCTGCCGCAGAAGCCGACCAGAGTCGGGGGCGCAGGTCATTCCACATTAACCCCATCGGGCGTGTTAAGGAGTGTGAATTCATCTCCATGATCGACACTTAACGAGAAATCAGTGTCTGGTTCCAAAAGCCGAGGGACTTTGTGCCTTGTGTTGGGAGTGCTTTCAGGTCACTTGGTATCAGACCAAAAAACGACCAAGTGCCACACCCTGAACTTTTCAAAGGAGCTGCTTCGAGCGATAATGAGCCACCTGCTGGGCCCACATGCTGTGTTTGGCATTGACCGCGGCCCAGTGGTCAGTGACCCTGGGGGGGAGGGCAGTGTTTACAAATGAGGTCAACGCAGCGGCAGCGGCAGGACTTTAGTTTCTGGGATGAGGGACCTGCCTACCTTCTCCCAGGGACGGGGGTAGTTCTCCCGGATGTAGTGAACGCTCGCGTTGAGGAAGGGGGTCCAGTGGGTGCTCTCAGACACCTCGTGGAAGCGCCCTGCGGGGACAAGCAGCGCTCAGGGGTGTTTAAGGAGACTCCAGTCAGATCCCCACCCCCAACCAAGGCACTGCCTCCCCCCACAGCCCCCTGGAGCCTCGCAGTTTCTTCTGTGGCATCGAAGGACGTCTCCGGAAGGAAGAGCCGGGAAATGGAAGGGACCCTAAGCTGGCTCTCGGCACCTCTCCCGCCCCCCAGGCTGCCACAGAAGTGGCTTCCAACCTGGGCCCTAAAGCTACAGAGATAAACTGTGTGTTTTAAATCCCATGTCCACCAGTCAGCCTCCCTCACAGAGTGGAAGACAGGCTCCCACGTCTTTCGGGCCCTAGAATTTGTCCTGCTTGTTTGGAACGGCCCCGAACACCACGTGAGTGGGCCAGCAGGGCCCGGGGCTGCTCTGTCCCCACAGAAGGGCAGCGAAGACAGCCGGCATCCACTGTCCACCTCCATGTGCCCCCACTCGGGTCCCTCGGCTCCGATGTCTGTACGCTGTCGCTGAAGTGGCAGTGCCTTACCCCACCCTGAGTCACGGGCGTTTCCGAAAATGACTTTCAGGTAGGTCGTAACTAAGAACTGGTTCTGCTGAGAGTTTTCCCAGAGACAGTGCTCACAATTCCTTGTGCAGAACACAGTATGAACCCAGGATCAGCCCGGGCAGACACCCCCCCAGCCCGACACCCCTGCCCTGAGCAGCCAGCGGACTCGCCAAGGCACCTGCTCTCCTGCAGCGGACGCTGGGGCCTCCCACCCACCCAGGGCCGGCAGGGCTGTCCGCCCCATCGAAGCCCCTTGTCCTAGTCGTCATAATTACAGAATTTCGCTCGGCATTGGGGGAACCGGTGAAATGGGAGCATGGAAACAAACTGGGAACGTCTGTGCTGGAGTGGAAGGGGCTTGTCCCGCAGACGAGGCGGCGAGGGGCTGAGTCACGGACCCAGCACTGTGGGCTGCGCAGTCGCCACCCCCCCACCCCCACCCATCTCACCTCTCTCGCAGATGCTGGGGTAGAACGCGTCGGGAAACACGGCTCCAGCCTGGTACGCATCCCGATGTTCAAGCAACAGCTGGGGGCAGAAGCACGGTGGTTAGGGGCACGCTGCACCTTCCTGGCAGGACGGTGGGGGGCGGGGGCGGAAGCTACACCAGAATTCACGTGCGAGCCAGCACAACGCGCCTCCAGCCGCCTCAGCCTCTTTCCTGCTGAACACTCGGGCCCCTCCCCACCAGCCGAGGGCTAGGGCGGGTGGGGGGCCTGGACGCCCTCCTCCCCAGCCCCGTGGAGGTGCGGGCTCCCACTGGAGCAGGTCTGGCTGGGGGGGGCAGACTTGCACCCCTGAGTCCTGCCCCCACGACTGACCCTGGTTGTCAGCCCACAAGGGCATCTTTCCCAGGGCACAGGCGCCGCTGCTGTCCCCCTGGGGTGGTGTCAGGGGAGGCTGCCTGCCCTCTGACCTTAGCAGAGGCCAAGTGCCACTCCTCCTAGCCTGGGGACGGCGGGGGGGACCCTGACCTCCACCCCAGTCGGCAGCTAGTGGACGTGTCCCCGGCCCTTCCCTTGCTGACTCGTATCAGAAGCAGCAACTGAATCGGGATCTGAATGGGACCCCGAGTCTCAGAGCCCAACACCCAGGTTCCGATCACAGTGGGCACTGGGAGAGGCTCAAAGGGACGAGCAGCCAGTGTGCAGGAGCCCCCGTGGGCCGCCCGGTGCCCCCGTGGCCCAGCGAGCACTGCCCAGCACGCTCCACAGACCAAAGCGCGCCTCGGCCAGGAAGTGGGAGCTCTGAGGATGGACCGAACAGAAGTTCCCAACAAAATGCAGCAGCTGAAATGAAAATTACCACCAGACATGGCACACGGTGACCTGGCGGCCTCCCAATGTCACGTCACCTCCACGTCTGACCACACTCCTACCAAAACACCTGCGGCAGGGTCGGACCCCCACGTGCCACCAGACGGAGCCAAGCTCAGGCCTAGAGAGGCGCTGGACTGCTCCTTCCTGAAATGTCAAGGTCACTGAAGATGGGGCTGGAGGAGCCGTTTCAGGTTGGAGGAGTTCAGAGGGTACAGACCAGGAAGCACAACAGGGGACCCAGGCCCGGGAGCCCTGGATGGATGTCCCGAGACCACCAGGATGTCCTCGTCTTTGAGCCTCACGCGGTGGCATGTCAAAGGCCACTCTGGACCACAGTGGCTCTGGGAGGGTCACTGTGCAGCGAGAGGACACAACAGTGACCGGGACGAGCGGTCAGCAACTCCGGGAAACTGGACAAAGGGCTTATGAGAACTACCTGTCTATTTCAACCATCGGTTTTAAATTACCTCAAAAAAATTACATAGGGAATGGGTCGAATCAATTATGGCACATTTTGGGTAATAGGGAAATAGGTAATTGTTGAAAACTACTCTGAGGATCTTTATTGACGTGGAAAGACATCTCTAATACAGTGAATGAAAAAGATAAGTCAGTTACAAAACAGTGTGCAGAGTGTAATATGTAAGTGCTAATAAATGCAGAAAAGTGCCTAAAAATAGGTAAAGCAAAACGTTGACATTGGTTCCCTGAGAATTCCCCCTCACCCCAAGTTATCAGTTTTGTAATCAGTCACAACCTGTTTTTGGGGCGGGGCGGGCGGAGCAGGCGGGGGCCAAACCAGCCGGGTAGGCAGGGCTGCGGCTTCCTGGCCAACAAACACACCGCATTCCACGGCTTCCCCGGGGAGGGAGCAACTCCGGCTACAGCGACCACAGCGGAGGTCTGCTCGGTCCTTACGGTCCCTGCCACACTGGCCTCCCAGCTTTACGCACCCTTCCTGAGCCAGTCTGGTTAGCATAAGTCGAGGACTCTAAAGAGCAGGCACCTGTGGATGTTGTGACGCAAGAAAACCCCAGAATCAAGCAAACTCAGACCTGGGATGTGCAGAGCTGGCTGAGAGCCGCCGGCCTGTGGGGACCATTGTGCAGCTGGCCAGCCCCCTCCGGGCCACCCCCCTGTGGCATCTCCCAGACTGGACCATCGAGCCAGAGGTCACCAAAGGGCAGCTTCAGAGGGAGAAAATCCTCAAGGGTTCCCACATATGGAGATTAAAAAATAATTCACCCACCTTTGGAAAGGGCTTGGGTGATGATATTATAAAAGGCAGAGTTGCCCTGAACTGTCCCCGTGAATCAGAAGGGGGTGGGTGAGTTGGCACTGGGGCAGGGGGCAGGGCCCGGCAGTCCCCCTGCGGCAAGTCAGTGAGGCACAGGGAATCCCCCCACCCCAGAAAACCGCTCGGCACCGGCAGGACCGAGAGCCCGGGCTGTGAATCCAGTGGACTCTGGCTCCTCCCCTCTCCTGCCTAGTCTCTGTCGGCGTCAGAGCCGATGACAATTGAAAGTAAATGCTGCCTTTTTCTGGGGGGCAGTGACACTGCTGAGCGGGGACCTCAGAACTAACAGCTGGAAGCGGCTTCGGCCATTGCGCCTCCCCATGTCCACGCTGGGCCAGCACGACCGGCGGGTGACCCCGTGACCCCACTCTGCCCGCAGAGGGAGTGAGCGTTAACCTCCTTCATCAAACACGAGGGCTTCGGAATTGTCCTTGTCCCAAAGCATCGCTGGGCCATAGAAGTCGAAGAGTGGGTATGGCCAGATGGTCTAATTGGAGGAGGGCAGAAGGTGAGCCCAGATAATCGGCCCCGGACGGGCGGGAGGGACCAGAAGGCGCACCTGCCGGGACACCCCGCCGTCAACGCCTCTCTCTGCAGTGACACAATCGTCGTGTAACACACAGGCGAGAGTGGGGAACGCATGACCGAGCTCCGGTGGCCTCTCTTTGTAAATGCAAAAAGATGCGCCATTCTTAGAATTTCTCTCCCAAGTGTTTGTCCAAACTAGGATACCCAGCATTAAATTATTTCGATGATATTATTTCGACGATATCATCAGAAAGGGTTCAAGTGCACCTGCAGGGGACATGCACCTTTAGCCCCAAAGTACTTATGGTTTACAAAGAAATAGAAATGTCTTTAAAAAGTGTGGTTTCGGGCCGGTTGGGACTCTGACAGACAACGAAGGCCCCGGGAAGGAGACCCAACGGTACCTCTCTGTAGTCGACGGGCCCGTCCTGGAGGTGGAGCAAGTCCAGGGCTCTGTGGCCTGAGAAAGAAACACAGATCCGCCGAGTTCAACCGTCGGCCAAACAGGGCTCCCCAGACATCGTTTTAAAAGGAACGCATGTGGTTTTATGGCTGTAACTGTCGCAGAAGGGGGAAATGGAGATTAGTTCGTGCACACCTGGCCTCAGCCACAACTGTCACAGACTCACACGTTTACACAATGTAACCTGTAACCCATGAACCAGGCCCACCTTTGGTGCCGCAGCAGGGCTGCGCTGACCGGCGGAAGAAGCTCAGGGCGCGGAGGCCCCACCGCCACGGGACCACGGGACCACGGGACCACCAGGGCTCAGCAGCCCCACCGGAGGGCGAGGACCCCCAAGTGGGAAACACCACGGGGGGGGCCCAAACTGCAGCCTGGGCCTGTGATCCTCTAGCATCTTCTCGTCCCCGGAAGCCGTCAGAGGACAGAGCAGGGCCCCGCCCCACCCACACACCCTCGTGCTCTTGGCACCACCCCACCCGATGGGGAGCGTCCGTGTGCAGGGCCAGTCGAAGGTGGCACCTCGTTTCTGTGTCCAGTTTTGTAGCCTGACAGTCGCCACCACCCAAAGCCCAGATGCCTCGGCACCGTGGGCATGGCCCATGTCCACAGGCCTGCGGGTGGGCTGACTCAAACCCCCGGGGGAGGGCGGTTCTGTTAGCTAACTGGCAGGAATGCCGGCCAGCCGCTCGGGCGCTGGAGAAGATGTGAACAGAGATATTTATAAAACTATCTAACTTGGTAAATAAGAAGTTTTAACCTGGCTGGCGTAGCTCAGTGGATTGAGCTCAGGCTGCAAATCAAAGGGTCGCAGGTTTGATTCCAGGTCAGGGCACATGCCTGGGTTACAGGCCAGGTCCCCAGTAGGGGGCGTGTGAGAGGCAACCACACATTGATGTTTCTCTCTCTTTCTCCTTCCCTTCCCCTCTAAAAAATAAAATCTTAAATAAAATTAAAATTAAAAGAAGCAGCTTTTATATTGAGAAAATAAAAACTTTATGTTTTTGTCTTTTAAAAAAGTTTTAGTTTCCTTTTATATGAAAATCTTCAAAATTGTGCATTAGAAGTTGCTCTCAATTACGTTCACACAAACACATTTATAGATAGCGGATCTGTTAACCTATTTTGTTTTTAGTAGATATCAGTCTATTAGGACCTTTGTTCAGCTACTGATGAAAGGCGGGCAATGATCTGATTTTGCTGAAATTTCAGCTTCCATCTGTCATGCTAACTTCTAAGCGCAGACAATTTAAAGACTTGAGAGCCCCAGTTCACACTGGTCCCCCTCCGGGGCACCTGCACCGTGTCAGGAATCCCCACTGCCCTTGTCTGGGGGAGAGGAGTCGAGGGGCCGGGTGCCACACAGGCCACAGCAGGGCGGGGGCTGAGCACAGTGCGGTTTCTCTCCTCCGCCATCACCCATGAGCGTCTCACGGAGAGAAAATGGGACCGGCCGTCAGGGCTGGCAGCTCCGGGGTCTGTCCCCTCTCACCTGTGAAATGAGGGGCTGGACGCGTGGCCCTTTGAAGCCACAGGGCCCTGCGCCCCCGCAGTGCTGGCCTGCTCGAGCCGGGGTCTACGTAGCACTGATGGACTCAGTTTTGTTCCTGTTCTGGGTCCGCCCAGCACCTCCCAGAGGCGGCGCAGCTACAGAACGGGGCTGTTTTTACCTGCGGGACTCAGGCCCCTCTGAAGTTAACGTGGGAACTGCTGCGGAGGTGACCGCACCCCATGACCTTACCAGTGACTCCCCTTCCTTGTTGGTGGAGACGCTCGGCTGGTCCTTGTCACGTGAGAACCGCCTCTCGGCATCCCGGTCACCCACTTCCAGGTACCCCTGCCCCCGTCCCGGACGCCTGTTGTCACCCCGGCACCTCGAATGCCAGGGGCCACGCAGACGCCCTTGTTTCCTTGCTCTCCCGAAGCCGGCCACCTTGAAAGCCCCCTGGCCCAGGGGACCCGCTCCTGTGGCTGCACGTGGCCATCCCCACGTACCCGGGAAACATTAGATTCCTCACTGCCCTCGTCCACCCCTCACCGCCCCTTCCCCTCCATGGCTCCGCTTCACACGCCTCTGGTGACCTGGCTGGTCACTCTTCCCCACCCGCAGAAGCCCCAAGGCCCTCCCTCCGCTGAGCCCACCCTGACCGTCCGCAGTCCTGGCCGCCTCCTCTCTGCTCCCACTGGCCAGCAGCGCAAGCAGGACGGACTTCTCAGCCTCCCTGACAGATGCGGTGTCCTGAAGGCCGTGGCGGGTCACCGGCACTCACCGATTTCTATGTGTGTCGAAATGCCGCATGGCGAGCTGCCAGGGCAGAGAGCGCCCAACATGACGAGCAGGCCCGGCCAGAACCTGCAAGCAGACGGGACGTTCTCACTCACCGCTCCCTGGTGCTGGGACGGCCCAGTGGGCGGCCACACACAGAATGGGACCGGGGCCCAGACCCTCCAGCCTCCCTGTGGGTGCGACGTCGACAGGAAGCCCACCCTCGCCTCTAAGCAACATCGCCCGCTGGTACAGCCACGGGGGCCGCAAACAGGCTGCACCTGGGAGAGGAAAGGGTCGGCCCCGGACGCCAAGTGCCTCCAGGTGGGGCTCGGCCGACCCGGCCCAGGCTCCCTCTGATTTCTAACGCAAAGCTGCCTTCTGAAGAGTCTTCGCTTTCTAAAAAGCCAGTGTCACTGTCTGCAGTGAGAGGCACTGGACTGGCCGCCTCACCTTGCAGGGGCAGATGGCCCGTGCATCCCGTCCCCGCCTGTCTCGGCTGCCCGCTCTTGGCTCTGCGGCTACCCGGTGCTGCGCCTCCCGTGCGGGCCAGCTGTTCTGACGATCACCTGGGGTGGCTCTCGCTCCGTGTGTGGCAACAGATACCGACACTGGGTGGTTGCACAAGAGCAGCCACTCCTGCTCCCCACGCCGCCTGTCCCCACAGCTGCCCCCAGCCTGTCGCACGGCCAGATTCCTGCAGCCCGAGCCAAGATGCCCGTCCCACTTGGGGTGGGGGTGGGGGCGCAGGCAGGGCTGAGAGACAAGGGCTCAAAGAGCAACCCGGGCTCAGCGTGCACCTGCCGGGAACTAGCCAATCCACACAGCACCTGGGCTGAGGGAACAGGCAGGGAAATTCTCCATGGAGCCCATGGCGACCTGAAAGCTGGGGCGTGTTGCACATGGAAAGCAGGAACGGAGAACTTGAGAGGGGAGGAAAGGATCCTTGGCCTCAGGCCGGCCAAGTGGGAGAGCAGACTAGGAGGGGGGGCTATCTGAGACCCTTACGTGTCTGCCAAGTTTCCTCTGTAACTTTAACTCCACCACCTGCAAAGCCCAGACGGACGGAGCCACAGCTCTGCCCACTCTGGGCCCAGCTGCTCCGAGGCCCGGAGCCAGAGGCCGGTTGTTTTGTTGGGCCAGCACGGTGCTTCACGAACTTAGGCCAACTTTCTTTGAATGGAAGAATTCACACAGAAATTCCGATTTCTAGCTCTTTTTAAAAAACCGAACACACAAGAACTGGCCTCGTGAGTGGACACCCCCTGTGAAATGACAGTCAGCTGGGGCGACCCCTCTTCAGTGAGGGAGTGGGGCTCCCCAGGACCCCTGGAGCTCAGGACAGGCCCCATGCCCACGAGTGCCCTCCGAGGTCACAGTCTGCTGACTGGGTCTGACAAGTGTCTGGTGGGCGGCCTACCTTCAGCCCAACTAGTGGCTTGACCTGGGCCAGCTGGCGTGACCTTGAACAATGTCCTGAATTTCATGTGACCACGACCCTGTGCCTGGTCTCACAACCAGCCTGCGGCCCCGTTTCACTCACGGGAAGCCTGAGGTTGAGCAACTGCCCGAGGGCACCCAGCGCAGCGACCCATTCAGCGTTTGGATCCAGGTCGCTCTGTCCCCAAAGACTGTCACAAAACAGGGGCGCCCTGCTCCCGCCGATGGGGAAAACACCCACGACAGCCCCCGGAGGTACACCGAAGCCACCTCCACGGCTCATGGCCCGGGCCACATCCTTCAAGGGCGGAGCTGCGGGGTCCGAGGAACGCGATCCGCCCTTGACAGCGGAGCTCGCACCGCCCGTCCTCGAATCCAGCGGTCAACGCAGGCGCCACTGAGATGCGGCTTTAAAGGCAGACGGGACGGGGAGCGGTCGGATGGGTGAGGGTTGCTCAGGAACAGCTGGACGCAGGAGCACTCCAGGAGGAACGTGACGCGGTCCCTAAGCACGCCCGCCCCAACCCTAACCTTCCCTGCGCCCGCCGGGACCCGAGCAGGATGCGCTGGGGCGAAGTGCAGCCGGGCGCGGCCTAGTGCCGCGCGGGAGAGGGCGCTGCTCCGCTCCGCCACCTGCCGCCGGCCCCGCGCGTCCCCGACCTTCGCTCCTCCGGGCGCGCGCTCGCTTGCCTGCTTCCGGCCGCCGCCGCCGCCACCGGGGCCATGGCGACCTGCTTGCGGCTGCAGAGCTGCGGGGCCCCGCGCCTCCGACCCGCGCTTCCCGGCCGCGGCCTCCGCCCCCGCGCCGGATGCTGGGTGCGCCGGCCGGCCGAACTCCGTGCCTACACCCCGGGCCTGGGGGGCCTCCCTGAGGCGCTGCTGCGCACCGACAGCTTCGTGGGCGGCCGCTGGCTCCCGGCCGCCGCCGCCTTCCCGGTGCTCGACCCGGCCAGCGGTGCCGAACTGGGCCGAGTGGCCGACTGCGGGGCGCCCGAGGCCCGCGCCGCCGTGCGCGTCGCCTACGATGCTTTCTGCAGCTGGAGGAGCGTCACCGCCAAGGTGAGTGAGCCCCGCGAGCTCAGCCGCCCCCGTGAAACCAGCGCGTCCAGGGTTGGCGTGGCACACCACGAAGAGCCACATAAACAAGAAACGCGACGCTGGACAAATAAATTAGGGGCCTGGGCTTCGCACCAAGCACTGTGCCAGACGCTGGGGACACGGGCCGGACTGCAGGCTGAGCACGTCAGTGCGTGTAGAAGGGAGTGTCAGCAGCTCCTAGGGACACCTGCGGTGGTCCCGGGCCGCGGGGAGGCCTCGCGGGACGCTGCACCTGGGCTCGGGGAGGTGGGATGAGCGCCCCGGGCCACAGCCACAGCCACGCCACAGGGAGTGGGGTGGGCTTCAGAAAGCTTTGTGGGGAGGGAGGGAGGCACCAGGACCACGCTGTGGGTTTTCAGCGGAACAGGGAAATACTGCTGTGGACTGACCTGGAGACAGTGGGGGACTGAGGGTGGGGCGTGTGCCAGGGGGGCTAGAGAAAGAAGAAAAGGAGGGGGTCTTCCTTCCCCACTTACCACGTGGCTCCTGAAGCCAGCCCCTGGGGAAGCGTTGCCTGCCTGCCCTTCAGCACCCGGCAAGGAGGTCGGGTGTGGGGAGCTGGTGCTCACCCACCCATGGGTGCGCACTGAGCACTTGTGTGCCCTGTGCTGCTGCGGTGGGCCACCCGGGTGGAGGGGCACAGGGGGCTCTCGCCCGCACACCACATACCTGATACCCAAGCAGGGAAGTGGCAAGAAGTGGCCCGGGGCTGAGGGGGGGCAAGCCGGCTCCACCGCTGCCAGACAGGACCCCAGAATGGCGGCCCGCCCAGCAGACACGCGTCTCTGTTCTGGGGGTTGCACGTCCGAGCTCCAGGTGTGGGCAGGGCTGGGTTCCCCCGAGGCCCTCCCCCGGCCTGGCCGTGTCCTCCTGCATCCTGCGTGGGGGTCCTGGTGTCTCTGGGCAGAGACACCTGCTTTTCCCCGCTCTCCTCTCCTCGAGGTCATGTGCTGCCTGGTCCCGAGTCTAGCTCACGTGTCACTTCTGCCACCGAGCCTGCCATACACACAACCCTCCCCAGCCTCCCCCCTCAGAGCCCCCAGCCCTGTCTCCAGGCCTTGCCTTGCCCCCCATCAGTCCAGGTCACACCTCGTCCCCCCAAGGAGGGAACCGCTGGAGGAGTTCAGAGACCAAGGGAGCCGACTCTGACCGACCTCACAAGCTAGTGCCACGTCCGCTGCCACAGACTCAGTGACCTAATGTGACACCAAGGCACAGGCTGGTTGTTCCACAGCTCTGGGGGGGCACGCTCCCTCCGGAGGCTCATGGGGTCCCCTTGCCTTTTCTGGTGACTAGACGCCACGCCCGATCCTGGGCTGGAGCCCCCCAGTGCTCCCCCTGCTCTCACGGCCATCCCAGGGTTGACACTGGGCCCACCCGGACGGCTTAGGGTTGTCTCCTCGGGCCAGACCCTTAACTCAGCCCACCTGTGAAGTCCCTGCTCCCTGTGAAGTAACCTACTCCCAGGTTCAGGGGCTGAGTGTGGGCGCAGGGGACAGGTGAGCACGGGGGGGCAGGTGAGCACGGGGGACAGGTGAGCACGGGGGACGGGTGAGCACGGGGGACGGGTGAGCACAGGAGGCGGGAGGTCACTGGGCCCGCCACAGCCAAGCCTGGCACCTGTGACGTTTGGTCCTTTCGGGGCCTGGGGAGGGAGACGCTGCACAGGGGGTGAGGAGACAGGCCGAGGGGCTCCTGGTTCACCACCCTCACTCCAGTCCTGCTGGGGGGACCTGGGGTCAGAGCCCCATGTGACACCACCCACTTTAGCCTCCCAGGGCCCCGGAATCGCACTCACAAAGGCTGTCCTGCTGCCCGGCCGCACAACCACCACCCACTCGGGGGAGTGAACAACAGAATGTGTCCTCAGCAGGCCGGACCCAAGCCTCCGGGCGCGGGCAGGGTCGGCTCCTTCGGAGGCGGGCTGGGCGGGAAGGGCCTGCCCCGGGCCTCTCGCCTCATGCCCCCCAGCACCAGCCCCCCGCCTGTGCCCATACCCCCGCTTTCCCTGTGACACCGGTCACACTGGGCTGGAGCCCACCCTGACCACACTGTTTGGCTTGATGACCTCTGTCAAGGCCCCACCTCCAAACTGGGACCCGTCTGCCGGGCTGGGGGTCCGGGCTCCTCCACGGCCCCTTTGGGGGCCACGACTAACGCATCATGTGAGGTCCCAGTGAGGGTGACCCCACTGCTGGTTTCTGGTTCGGCCGGGCCAGGGCGCCCTGAGCTGTCCGCCCTCTTAGGGAAGTGTGCGCCTCACTCCTGCGGGCCAGCGCCGGAGGGATTCAATGTCCTTCTCCAGCCCAGCCTGGAGACTGGAGTCCCGCTGGGACCTGCGGCGTCCAGGTCTGTGGCCACGGCTTGCCCGCCTGGCGCTGGGCAGCTGCTGGAGGGACAGTGAAGAGAACTCGATGCCTCTTCTGGGGGGTAGCGATGTAGAAGCCCTCACCTCAACGGTACCCTCCACAGGACACGTACAATCCCACGGCTTGTCATCCAAATAAGGAGGGGACAGGCCCCGTGCTCACCCGCACAGTGAGGGCAGGGTTAAAGCCTCACACCGCCGCCTAGCCTCGGGCGGGTGGGCAGCCCTGCAGGCAGCAGAGAGGGGCCCAGGGACACCTCCCTGTTCCGGTGCTGGCGGCTGAGCTCCGAGGTCTTGTGTCTTCAGAGGACTCTGTGGTCTGGGTGACCTGCACTTGCTGGGCCCACTTTTTCCTTTTTTAGTGGTTTTATATAAATGAATTCTGTTTTCTTTTAAATATTTTATTTATTTTTTAGAGGGGAAGGGAAGGAGGAAGAGAGAAACATCAATGTGTGGTTGCCTCTCACACGCCCCCTATTGGGGACCTGGCCTGCAACCCAGGCATGTGCCCTGACTGGGAATCGAACTGGTGACCCTCTGGTTCCCAGGCTGCGCTCAATCCACTGAGGTACACCAGCCAGGGCTGGAAGTATTTTTTTAATTGTGGCAAATATGCATGACAAAATTGACCGTTTTAGCCACTTGTAAGTGGACAACTCGGTGGCATGGGCACCCTCCAGTGCTGTGCCCAGGCTCTATTCGCAAGTGTGCAAACCTTTCCTCACACTGCACACACCCAAGTCGGGGACAGAGCCACCTGCCGGGGGTGGCTCTGTTGGAATGAGGAACTAGACGTGGGGACACTGTGCCGAGACAGAGAAGCCAGCCTCAAAAGACAGATGCTGTGTGCGTCCCCTCCCCTGAAGTCCCCGGAGGAGTCACAGTCCTGGGGACAGAAAGGGCTGGGGGTGGGAAGTGCTCAGTGGGGACCCCCTTCCAGTTCTGGAGGCCGATGGCAGGGATGGTGGCCCCGCAGTGTGACTGCACATGAGCCCCCTTAACACGCCCTTGAAAGAGGCTGAGAGGGTAAGTTTTATGTGTGTTCTGCAATGGAGACTAAAGTTACTCATACCTGCCCTAAACAATAACAGCTGTGTCCACAGACCCCCCTCACGGCCCAGGACTGCCCTGCAGACGCTCCCAGGCCAGATCTTCACTTGCTTCCCAGAGGAGGGCCAGCGCCTCCGGGAAGAGCCGCGGCCGAGACTGTAGGGAGCTGGCGGTGGGGTGTCTCCCCTGCACCTGGGGCCTCACTGGTCCTCTCCCTTCCGGTCTCTTCGCAGGAAAGGAGTTCAGTGCTTCGGAGATGGTACGACTTGATGATACAAAACAGGGAGGGCCTTGCCAAGATAATTACAGCCGAAAGCGTGAGTCGGGGCCCTGGCGCTGCCCGCAGACTGTCGGGGAGTGTCGGGCGAGGCTTAGGGACACCGTCCTCCCAGCTGCGTGGCTAAAAGCTGGGAATTCCCTGCCTGGGGGTGAGCTGTCAGTGAATTGTGCCCGGGCCAAACCCTTCCTCGTTAAAGCCAGGCACTCATTTATCTAAAACAAAATCCGTCCTGATTTGCTCTGTGCCGTGTGGGGGAGGCAGGTTTCGAGTGGAGCCGGTGGCCACAGCTCCTCCCCCCGACACTTTTGCTCCGAGTGACCCTGTTGGTTGCTCTTCTCTGTCGTTTGCACACTTAACGATGCACAGCGGTTCCACGGAGCCGTGACCGATTTCACCGCATCACCGCGGTGAGAAGGTATCAGGAGGGGGAACAGCCGGCAGGTGCGGTTCTGTCCCCTCTAACGTGTGCGCGTCCCAGGTGCCAGCGCCCCAGCTCGTCCCCCGTTGCCCTCCGATCCTGCGAATTTCTCGACAACCCCAGCGTTTGCGGTGGGCACCTTTCCCACTCCGCCTGCAGCCTTGGTGACTGAGAAAGGGCCCCTGCTTCTGCTCTGGGAGGCAGTGACGGTGTCTTTTCTGCCCGGATTCAGGGAAAGCCGCTGAAGGAGGCGCAGGGAGAAATTCTGTACGCCGCCCACTTCCTGGAGTGGTTTTCGGAGGAAGCCCGCCGCGTGTACGGGGACGTCATCTCCACCCCCGCCAAGGATAAGCGGGCCCTGGTGCTCAAGCAGCCGCTCGGTGTGGCCGCGGTCATCACCCCGGTACGTGGCTGGCGGGGTCAGCGGGGCCCTGGGGAGAGGCCGCTGGCCCTGGGGAGAGGCCGCTGGCCCTGGTCGCGGCATCCAGTTCCTCTGCGGGCTGTGGAGGTGCATCCCGGGTGCTCTGGGGCCCAGAGACCTGGGGTTGGCAGGGGACAGGTCCCCGAGTGCCCACGGGTGGGTCCTCCCCAGGGGCTCTTCTCACTGGGTATAAAGGCTCCTACCAAGCATGTCTGAAAGAGCTTCTACTATTCATAATTTTTTAAAGACTTCAGATATGACACATTTGCTAACATGTCATAGTTCTGAGAAAGTTCCCCGTGTGATGGAGGACATGTGTGCCAGGTGCCCAGCTTCCTCTCGGCCACCCCCCCAGACCCACCCCTGCCAGAACCCGTGTGAGCTTCCGCCCGGGGTCGCCGGCTGCCCCCCAGGCTCCCTGCAGCCCGTCCCACTCAGCACAGCGGTGGCAGGCAGCCCCCTGCCGCCCAGACCGCCTGGGTTCCACTCCGAGCTCGCTGCTTCCAAGGTGTGTGGCCTTGGGCAAGTCACGTCACTGCTCTGCCTCAGTTTCCCCAAGCCTGCAAGTGAGGATCATAATACCAACCTGGTTGGGTGGCGATAGGGATTTAATTAGCTCTAATTTAACAGTGCCCACCCCAGAATAAGGGAGTGTCTGTCACAGTCAGAGAAAACTCCGCCAGAAGAGATGTGTGCACGCCTCCAGGTCTCTACCTCTACAGAGACAGGGCCACTTTCAAGTCACCTTTGCTACTATTTTGCACCAAAGGGTCAGGAAACTACGGCCCCCAGGCCATCCCCCCCCCGCCGCCGGTGTTTGTCAACAGAGCTTCACGGGGACATGGCCACACGCAAACTTCCACATGACAGCCACGGAGTCGAGTATTTGGGTTGGCACCTGGGTGTCCCACAAAGCCGAAAACACGGATAAGTCTGCGACGGCCGGTGTAGCTTTACCACGCTGTTTAAATTCTGAGACCACCCCGTCTGGAGGAGCCTGTCCCAGCCCCTCAGCTGACCGCGGGGGTGCTCGGGGCTCTCCTGTGAGGAGCCGGGAGCCGCCCCGCCCATCCCCTGTGTGTGGGCCGGTGGAACACGGTGTGCTCAGCGGGCAGTGCCCCTGCTCACCCCCCCCCCTCTGTCCACAGTGGAACTTCCCCAGCGCCATGATCACCCGAAAGGTGGGGGCCGCCCTGGCAGCCGGCTGCACCGTGGTGGTGAAACCCGCCGAGGACACGCCCTTCTCAGCCCTGGCCCTGGCCGAGGTGAGCCCCACCGCACTCGGGGACGCTGGCTCGGGAGAGCGGGTCGTGGGACGCCTCCACCGCCCCCGCATGCTGGACGGTGACGTTCCAACTGGGCAGCCGCTGTGCCCAGTCCGAGGGGGCCTCCTGGACAAAACGGTGGGTGGGCTTCCTGACACCTGGGGGTGCTGTCCGTCCTCACGAGGTGACCACGCCTGGGCATTTGTCACCTTTGGAGCCTCCCCCTTCTCCAGGTTGGTCTGCAGTCAGGTCCTGTCACTCTTCCCCTGTCACCTAAAACCCAGACCTCCTGCAGTGGCCTCCAGGCCCTGCCAGATGCCGGCGGCACAGCCTCGCCTTCCCCTCCCCCACTGCCCTTCCCTGTCACTGCAGAGCCCTGCGCGCACCTGCTCCGGTCCATTCGGACCTCGCCAGGCTCGGCCCCCACTCCCGGTGGCAGGAAGGGCTCCCCTGTACTTGAAAACGGGGACCCCACTGCTGTGGCTGTGACCGCCACGGCCCAGGCCTGGCTCTCCCCTTGCTGGGCACCCGGGGCCTGGCCGAGCCCCCAGGAGGGGCACACGGGACAGCTGCCCGGAGCCGCGGTGACGACCACAGACCCAGCCCGTGGTGCTCGAGCACCCCCGCTGCGCAGGGAAAGTCTCGTCCCATCTTCTCGACGCGGCGGCAGCACCTGTGCCCTCCTGTCCCGTGTCGGCAGGCGTTGCTCTCGCACCTGCAGTCGGCGGGCTCTTTCCGCCTGTGTCCCCACTGCGTCCCCCTTATCTTCACAGCCCAGCAGCGTGACTGGGGGCTCGCTCAGCCTGTGGGCTCCGGGCTTCTACTTAAACCTGGAAGCTTCCGGGGCCGTTCCAGACACTCGGTTTGCTCCCGTCGTCCGGGACCCTGCTGTCCGTGTGTCCGTGTGTCCGGGCTTCTGCGCCACGTGCCCCTGCGTCCTTCCTGCCTCTGCCCTAAGCGTCCACGTCACCTCGTTGCTTCTGGGTTTCTTTGGTATCATCACCTGCTGTGCTGATGCGGTCTCACGTTCCTCCGTGTTTACTCTTCATTTCTGGAAAGGAATCCTCGTTCTTTCCCGAGTCCCCTCGCCTCCTTTCTGAACTCGCCCTCATTCTGATTCCTGGTGCTGTTTCGGTCTTGGCACAACTTCCTTACCGCAGGGGGAGGCGCAGTGTCGGACGGCTTGTGGGCTTGTCTCCTTTCTGCTTGGGTTGCCTGTGGGGATGCTTTTCCGCTCTTTATTCTTCTTTTTTCTTTTAATAATCTTGTCCGGGATCTGACGTCCACGTTTCTCTGAGCCAGCAGCCTATGTTCCAGCAAGTCCGTTCTCCCAACCTGTTCGGGAGGCCTGGGCAGAGAGCGTCTCGCCCCCTCCAGTGGGGCAATTCCGGCCACGCTCCCCCACGGCCTGCCCTGCGCCCCTCGGACACCTGCAGGCTGCCGGGGCCCTGTTATCAGAGGTGTCGACAGCCTTCTGTCATCTCAGCTGTCGGCGGTACGTCCCCGCCCACGTGTAGTTTGCGGTTTGTGGAGACTCCATGTCGGCCAGCGTGCCGCGGCGTGTCCGCCCGCCGACAGCGTGGTCAGGTGGCGACGCCCGGGCTGCCGCCGCCTCTGAGCCAGTGTTGTGGCCGGACCAGCCCCGGGGGTTCTCACGGTCATTGCAAGACGCGCTGAGCCGCGACCGTCAGGTCAGGGAACTCCAAAGACGAGGCCTGTTGCTCACAGGTTCCCAGAGGCCAGGTTTGGGGGGCTCACTCTTTATTGGTGGACTTAAAACATCATCGCAGGAGGCAGCTCCAGGGCCCACGTGGTCGGGTCCCACGTGGTCGGGTCCCACGTCAGCCAGGGCTGCAAACGGGAAGGGAAGCCGGGCGGGGGTGGGGCGGCCCCTCCTCCTCCAGGGCCTGACAGGGGCTTATCTGCGCGGCCTGGGGCGGCAGGCACAGGAATCTCGCTGAAAACAGCTGTCGGGCGCTTACACCGCCCTCTGTCTGGCAGACGTCATCTGGGGTGTTCGGGGCGGCTCCCCCCCTGCCCCCTCAGTCTTTACCAGGGGATGCAGGGACCGAGGGGCTGGGCTGCTCCCGCCGCCTTCCCGGAGTCCTGGTCAGATCTGTGCGGGGAGCTCCCTGCTGGTGGGATGTGGAAGTTCACGTAACTCAGGCCGCACCTGGACCAGAGAGCGCGGCCCTGTTCTGGGTGCTAATGCTCCTGGCGTGGCCCGCCCCTTGCCACCTCTGCACTGGGGCTGCCCGCACACAGTAGGGCTCAGTGAGTGCTCTCGCCACGATGTCCCCTTGATCCTACAAGGGAACCCCAACCTGATTCTTGAACTCTCCTCCGATTTTTCTTAGAAAACAAGGCCGAGGTTGTCTTTTTTCCTTCTAACAGAGCAGCACCCTGAGACGTACACCCTAAGAAATTCTCCCAGAGTGCCGTGTGATGACTCAGTAACACCGCGTCGGCACTAACGAGAATCTCATTGCCGTCCCACGTGTACTCTGCCCCTGCCCCCGTCCGCTCAGTGTCTCCCGCTCCTCCTCGCATTAACGCATCCATCCGTTTCTCTCTCCTGCTTTCTCACCCGCTGCCGTGTGTCTGCTTTTTCTCTCCGCAGCTCGCACACCGGGCCGGCGTCCCTCCCGGGGTCTACAACGTCGTGCCCTGCTCCCGGAAGAAGGCCGAGGTCGTGGGCGAGGCGCTTTGCACTGACCCGCTCGTGTCCAAAATTTCCTTCACTGGCTCGACAGCCACCGGGAAGGTACTCGACTCGAGAAGACGGCCGTTCGGCACTTTCTCTTTAGAGCGTGGAATGGAGCCCTGTGCCCTTGGCCGCCCCGGGGGGAGGGGTCCCGCAAAGCGAGGCCGCTCCGCCTGACTCAGTCGGGCTGGTCGCCTCCGGGGAGATGCTGGGGGTCCCTAGCCAACAAAAAACTTCCCGGGGGAGCTGGGCGGCGAGGGTTCCCTTAGTTGTTGTGAGTGAGGTGGCCGGGAGCCGAACATCCACCTCATTGTGGGACACAGGCTTCTTCACGAGCTAGAATTCACGGTTCCAGAAACCCACGGTGGGGGTTGAAATGGATACCGCAGCACTGAACGAAAATCGTGTGTGGTGTAAAGGCACCTACGGAAACGAAGAGGAGTTTTTAAATGTTTGAAAGAGCAAAAGGCAGACGGAGCCAGTTTCTATGTGTGGCGGCCCCTCTGAGCAGTGTGATCTTTCCTGCCGGTGCGTTCGTGCTGCACCCGCACCCGAGTACCTCAGACACAGTGACCTGACCCCTGCCTGGAAGTGCCTGTGAGGCCGGCCACGTCCGGACACCACGAGCAGCGGGGACGGCTAGTCCCGGCCGTAATCACTCCTGCGGTGAGCCGGCCACCCCGTGCAGGCTGCGGGCCTGGAGGCCCATCAGCTGTGCGGCCGGGCGCGGGGAACTCACAGGCAGACCCTCTCGGGGAGCCGCAGGAGGACCAGTGGCCCAGCAGAACTTAAAAACCAAAACAAATCCCAACCTTGGGTCATTTCAATGGCTCGACCTCAGGACATTTCAACGAGAAGATTGCTACCATTTCACTGCTGGGACACCCCCCCCACCCCCGGACATCCCGAGAGCCACGGCACAGAATCCTCCTTCCAGCCGCGCTGAACTTTGACCCAGAGGGGCCCCGCAAACCCTGTGCCCTTGGTGCGCATTGCTGGGCGCCGGTCCTAGCATGACCCTGGGCTTGCGACTGCTGTCCTCCGGCTGGACCGTGCGGGCGCCACCTCTGCCGTGGCTGTGACTGGACGGAGGCCTTGGTTGTGGGTCAGTGTCGGAAAGGCCGGCCCTCACGCCCAGCCCCTCCGCCCTGCACGCAGGTGCTGCTGCGCCACGCTGCCGGCTCCGTGAAGAGGGCGTCCATGGAGCTGGGCGGCCTCGCCCCGTTCATCGTGTTCGACAGCGCCGACGTGGACCGGGCCGCGGCGGGGGCCGTGGCCTCGAAGTTCAGGAACTCCGGGCAGGTGGGTCCGTCGTGCGCGGGTCCTGCTGCCTTGCTCGTCTCAGAGGAACCAGCTTTGGGTTCCTCCACGTCCGCTCTTCCTTATCCCCCCTTTTCAGCAAGTGCTTGGTAAGCGCCCACTCTTTGCTGGGGGTGAGGCAGACACGGAGGCTCCCAGGGGAGATAAGGGGGAGTCTCTGCTCCAGGGAGCGTCCTGAGCCGCAGAGGCCTTTCGCCAAATGCGCTCTCGCTTCCTCCGCTCTCTGAACCGGGTGACCATCGGTCTGCCCCACGGGGCTTCTCGGGACTGAGCAGCGGAAGTCACCGCCTAGACCCACAATGGCCAGGCAGCCGGGCTCTGAGCCCACGGCCTGTGGGGGAGGAGAGGGTTGACGTGGGGTCCGGAGGAACTCCAGATGTTGACACCTGGGTCGCCTGCTTCCTGGGAAGGGGCGCAGGACCGGCTGCAGTGGCCGGGGGCGCCCCCAGGTGTCCGGTTGCCACAGGGACAGAGGCGGCCTGAGCTCACTCGCCTTCATAGGAACCTGGGACTGTCAGAGCTGGTGGGGACTTCAGAGCAGCTGGTCCACACCTGTCATGTCACGGACGGGGACATGAGACTCGAGGAAGATGGACCAGCGGGCGGCCCCACAGTCTTGGGAGCTAGGAGCTAGGACTGTGAAGTTGGGATCCTGTCTGCCCCATTCTATCCCAGCAGTTGCTGGGCCCTGGTTTGTTACAAAGTATCCGCACACACAAAGTATCCAAAGCACCGTCAACAAGCAGTTTTAAATGTATTCCAGAAACAATACAACCTCCTGAGTGGTTACACTGTGACCAAAAGGCAAAACGTGTAACACTCTATGTTACAGTTTTTAGCCTTGTTTTGGCCTCTGGAACTCGGCCTTCCCTGAACAGCTCGGTTGTTTTAGAGCAGGGTGTCTCCTTTTGGGGACACAAATGCCGACAGTGCGCACACCGCTCAGGTTTCCACCATAAAGTCACAGCTTCTCGGTGTGTCGCTCTTAGCCAATCAAAATGCATCGGACACCAAGTTATCTATGTACCTGTTTCCACTAGAAAAACACAAGATTAAGAAAAAACACAAGGAGAAAGCTTACCAGTGTCACTACATTTCCTATAATACGGTCACGCAACTTGAAAACATCAGGCCTAATAGGAAACAAGCCAGGGTCCTTCCAATAACTCAGCTGGCGTGGAAAACAGTCTTGTGTCCGTCTGCGCGGCATCAGGCCAGCCAGCACCCGGGAGGCCCAGGGCGCACGCGGCCTTGGACCCCGCCCTCTGGGCCGCCACTACACTGCCCCACCACTGCCCTCAGGGGTGGTCTTCAGGGGGTGCTTCCCTGTCTGTTTCGTAATGATGTGCTCACACCACTTGAAAAAAGTCAGGTTGCTGCCTTTCCATCTTTACACAGATATCGACGCCCCCCCCCCCCATGTCGGCCTCGGAGCTGTGGGGCTGTGCGCCTGCCCCGGGGAGGACCCTGGGCAAGCCCCGCAGGGAGGGAGACGGGGGCGGCCTGAGAGCCTGGGGAGGTGTCTGCGCTCAGTGCGCAGCAGCCACAGGTGCGTTCAGCCGGCAGCTGCCGACACCCCGCTCACCGGGCCCGCTCTCCCCCCGTCCAGACCTGCGTTTGCTCAAACCGCTTCCTGGTGCAGAGAGGCATCCACGACTCCTTTGTGAAGAAGTTTGCCGAGGCGATGAAAACCCAGCTGCGTGTGGGCAACGGGTTCGAGGAGAGGACGACTCAGGGCCCACTGATCAACGAGAAGGCAGTGGAAAAGGTAGGTTCACTCGCCGTCCCTTCCATTTCATTTGGTTTCTTATCAGAAGCTTGACTAGCAGAAGCCTCCTTGGTAAGGTGCCTGGCACGGCTGTTTTGGAAACGGCGGTCACCAAAAAACAAACTTCTGCCAATTCGCATGACTGTGTGGCACCCTCTGGCGATTAGGATCTTGAAATACAGTTCTTTAATTTCCCAACACCCAGAAGGGAAGGACGGGCGGCTTGGGCTTTGAGATGATGTCTTCAGATGGAAAGACTCCGCCCACTGTGGATGGAGCAGAACGAATGAAAAGGAAACCCAGGTGGAGTCTGTAAAAATTTAGAACGTCGGGAATGTGAAAGGTCCTAGAAGCTCCGGGAGGGGAGGCCGCCCCGAGGAAGCGGCGCGGCAGTGAACCGAGCTGTTCACCAGCGGCTCTGCACGCGCAGCGGCGCCCTCATCCTGGGTGGGCGCTGGACCCGAGCTCCGCCACGGCCACACAGGTGGCACGTCGGACACACACGCAGGCAGGACGCTCCCACCGGAACCGCGTCCAGCGCACCTGCTTCAGATCGAGGTCCAAGGAGGGGGACGACCCGGGGTCCCCGGCCCTGGGACTCACCCAGAAACGCGGACAGCAGACCCCGCATGGAACCAGCTCTGGGCACAGGCCCGGGAGGACCCGCCTAGGGGGCGTGGCCTGGGCCGTCCCCCCGCCTCCTCTGCAAACCTGGCTCCTCCCACCCGAAGGGACGAGGCTGCTGGTTGTCAACCTGCTTGGGAGAGAAAGCCAGCCGGCCGTGGCTTGCTGCCGCTTGCCCTCTCTGAGATCCTGTCGTTTCCACCGTGTCCTCAGCCACCTTTCCCAAAGGCCCTGCTTTCTCTCGTCTCACAGGTGGAGAAGCACGTGAGTGACGCCCTTTCCAAAGGCGCTACCGTGGTGACCGGCGGGAAGCGGCATCAACTTGGAGGGAATTTCTTTGAGCCCACCCTGCTCAGCGAAGTCACCCAGGACATGCTCTGCTCCCGGGAGGAGACGTTCGGGCCCCTGGCACCGGTGATCAAGTAAGACCACCCAGCCGGTGGGAAGACAGAAGCGACAGGGAAGAAGGAGGAAACCGAGGCAGAAACCAAGGTCACGTGCTGTGGGAGGGCAGGTAGTCAGGCAGCGGCGCTGCGGGAGTCCACCCGCGACGGTGGAAAACCCGTTCTCCCTCCTCCCCGCCCAGGCCACAGACTGGCCCGGTTCCACCGGGTTCTCTGCTTTGCTTGTGTCTTGCTTTCTGCGGAACTCATCTGTCCGCGCACTGGCCTGCATCCTTGATCGGCTCTTTCGAGGGAGGCTGTTGGAAATGAACCTCCTGTGACCTTAGGTGGTCTTCTATCTCGTGTTCAAAGCAAGTAACCATTTGCCTGGATACAATTCTAGCGTTAAACTTAAACTTCGAAGATACCAGGCCTTTGCTTACACCCAGGGCTGCTGTTCAGGAAGCTGATGTTCCTGTTCCTCTGAAAGGATCGGTCTTTCTCTCTGGAGACTTCAGAAACTTCTCTTGGTCTCTGACGCCCCTACCCATGGTGGTGTGGGAGCATTTTCACTCCGAGGCACCTGTGTCTTCCTTTAATACCTGAAGTGCGTGTCTAGTCCCAGGGAATTCTGGGTTGTTTCCCAAACATTTCCTGCCTGCATTTGTTCTTCTCCAGCCTGGAGGCGGCAGATTCTACAGAGACACGTCTGCCTCCATCCTCCACTGCTCTTGTTGGGGCCCTGCCATCTCTTCCCCGCCTCCCGGGCTCCTGCTCCCTCCATCTGCCAGCCCCTAAATCCGGTCTCCACACGCCCCTCTGCTCCCCAGCCCCCGACCCTCGCTGCATCCAAACAGCAGCAATTCCCTTTTCACCCTCGGTCTTTGCAGCTGGCTCGTCCCCATCCCTGGTCCTTCCCGCTTCACTAGCCTTCCTCCCCGGGGACAGTCATCCTTTCCCCACCTCCGTTCCGTCCCATTCCCGGCTCCACCATTTCCGGTGGTGGTTTGTCTTTCTGAACCTGGGAGGTCTTGTCGTCTTCCCCGAGAGCTCATTCTTAGCCCCTTCCAGGGTGAGCAGCCTTGGCCAGTCAGCCTGGGGCGCGTGTTCCTTCCAGATGCACCTGGAGGGCAGAGGGTGGGCCCTCGGGGCAGGAGGGTCTCTGCTCGGCGCCCTCTCCCAGGGGACGGTTTGCAGCTCCCTCTGTGGCAGTGGGTCCAGGAGAAGAGGTCTGTGGTGGCCCGGCGTCCCCACTGCTCTCCTTCCCAGTGACAACACAGCACCGGTCCAGGGCCCAGGTCTGCAGGAGGCGTCACCGGAAACCCCCAGATGGGAGGGGAGGGGAGGCTCCATGGAGCCCTGGCCCTCGTGCTCCTCCGTGGGGACCACCTCTGGGCCGCCAGAAGGGTCCTGCATGTTTGGCGCTCACTGCTGGTGAGGTTTCTGGACCGTGGTCCCCTCTCCCCATTGGCACTGGGAGACCAGAGCTGGCGCTGGGCTTCCCGTGCTGTCCCACCCAAGGCCCAAGTCCCCGTGTCACATACTTTGTCGGCGTTGCTGCCACCTTGCAGATGGAGTTTGTAGGCTTTTCCGTCCCTGGGGAGATGGGCCGCTCGAAGAACTCGCACCTTCTTGGCTTTAGTAATAGGCTTCACCCAGAACAACGTGACCTTGTTTTCTCAGGGAGCAGAAGGGACGTGTGGCTGGGAAGGCAGGCGCAGGGCAGAGTGGGGGCTACTCGAGGCTCCGCCACGCCTGCCTGGGTCCCTGGACGCCTGGGCCCCACGGCTCCCCTTCACTGGTGGGGTCGTTCTGACACTCCAGGACAGTGTTGTGGGCTCAGTGACACCACATCCGACGGCCATCACTGGTGTTTGTGCAGAGAGGGGACGTCAGCCACACTGCTGTCCTCTCCTCCAGTGGATGCACTGGCCCCAGGAGACAGGGCTGGTCATTTGCTGAACAGGGGATCCTCTGAGGCCACCCTCCCGGTCCCTCCCTTCCCCCCACAGCTGCCTCCCCCTCCCCCAGCCCTGCTCAACTGACCAGGGCCCAGGGGAGCCCCCACTGCTGGCAGACCTCCGAATGTAGGAACGGGGTGCTTAGAAGCTTTCCACCCAGGCACAGCTCTGGGGCAACGGGAAACGCCACTCGAGCCTTGTTCCACAAGTGGAACCAGAGCTGAAAGGGCCCGCGCAGGGCTTTGGTCTGACCACAGCTGACGCTGGAGCGCGGGCCCGCCCTCTGGACAGTCTGTCCCTACAGTAGGGTTGCTCCTGCAGTCGCTGTCGCTGTGGTGTGTGCCCCCAGGAGGTGGCAAGCTGAGCCGTTCTCTCTCTTTTTTTAAGATTTTATTTATTTATATTTAGAGAGACAGGAAGGGAGGGAGGGAGAGAAACATCAATGGTTGGTTGCCTCTCACACGCCCCCTACTGGGAACTGGCCTGCAACCCAGGCATGTGCCCTGACTGGCAATCGAACCAGCAACCATTTGGTTTGCAGGCCTGTGCTCAATCCACTGAGCTACACCAGCCAGGGCTCAGCGGCTCTTTTTTATGGCATTTTGTTCACCACGTGGACATGCTGCAGGGCAGCCTGCGGCCCCGCGCTCTCCTCGGAGAGGTGAGCCGGGCAGGTGAGCCACGGCCCGACTCCAGCCCCACACAGCCAGGGGTGCCATTCTCCTCTGTGCACTGCTCCGGGATCCCTGCAGAGCCCCAGGCATGTCTGGCCATCACTGGGGACGTAAACCGGAAGAAAAGACAGCGGTTTTCCCCGCGCCCCTTACAGTCGGCTGATGACCCTCATTGACTTTGGCAGGTTCGACACAGAGGAGGAGGCTGTGGCGATCGCCAATGCGACCGATGTCGGGTTAGCAGGTAGGCGTCCGTCCCAGCCCAGCGCAGTCGGGTCACCTCTCAGGCTGACACGGGCATCTGCCCGTGAGGCGCCACCTGGGTTTGGAGGGCGCCCACTGGAGCACCAGGGCAGGTGTGTGCAGCCCCTGGGATGCACTGGGGCCGCCCTGGGAGAGACGGCGGGGGGGGGGGCGGGGAGAGAAGGGGCAGAGCAGGCTGATCTGGGCGGGAGATGCACACAACCCCGAGTCCCGTGTCCCTGGGGGCCTGGGGGTTCCAGGTGCTTCTCCCGTTCTGCTGGGTCTGGGAGCTGCGCGTGAGGACGTAAGGACGGGGCAGGACGTATCTCCGTGACACTGTCACCAGCAAGGGACCGGGTCTAGAATCTGTGGGTTCTTAACTTCATGTAGGAAAGATTTCATAAGTGAGTACAGGTGATGTTGAGAGAGTGTCAGTTAAAAACGGGGGCAGTGGGATAACGGAGGGTCTGAGATACAAGAGGCCAGTTCGCAGCCCGCAGGAGTGAGCCAGCTGGGCTGCGGGAATGCAGGAGACCAGCCCCGGGAGCTGCTGCCGCCCTGGTGGCAGGCCTCCTGGGGCCCGTCAGTGCTCAGGAGAAAGAGCGCAGATACACGCCCGGGGAAGGAAGGGGAGGCGGTGACACGCACAGGGTCCTCGTCTCAGGAGCTTTTACCCATTTTCTAAAGGCGGGAATGTGAGTGGAAGTCTCGGGGAGGACCTCCACAGAGTACTCCTCGGCTTTCGGGTGCGCCCTGTCATAACCCCGATTCGTCCAAGGGAGTGCACAGGCCGCTCTGGTCGGTTTCGCCGTCCAAGAACGTCCCTGAAGGGGACCCGGTCAAGGCGGGTCTGCCCTGGCAAGGTCTGGACACATAAACCAGCGGCTCCCAACTGTCCTCGGCTGCGGAAACAAGACCTTGGGATTCAGTATCTGGCTGTAAACAGCTCGGCCAGTTGGGTCGGCCCTCTGTCCCAGTGTCCCCGTTCCACTTGCCAGGGATTCTCCTAACTTCTTACCATCGCCCTCAACGCTCTGTGCCTGGCCACCTGTGCGCAGGTGACCTGACGACCCTGTACTGAGCACCCACAGGGAAGTGTGAGGACGGACGCAGCTCTGGCTCTCCAGGAGCCTCCCCCGAGGGAGGGGGCCCCTCACAAAGGGGGGGACATGTACGTGGTGGCCCTGCCCCACGCTGCCCGCTCAGGGTGCCGGGACGCTGGGGTCAGGTGCACACAGGGGCCCCCGCACGCCGAGAGCAGTGACCCTCCCTTCTCCCCGTGACGGGGGTGAGGGGGAGCTGTGCCCGCACAGTCTGACTGTGCAGAGACCGGAGGAGGGAGATTCGGGGCACAGGCGACCCGGGAAGTGAAGAAGTGAGGAAGGGAGGGAGGATTTGGTCGGTGAGCTCGGGGAAGACGCCGGTCACCGGAGTGAGGACAGATGACGCCAAAAGCTGACTGAAAGCACCGGCATCCCTACTGATGGGGAGTCGCCGGACGGTCCGGGCTCAAGTTTCACGTGCACAGTCGAACCGGGCTGGGCAGGGCGGACCAGCAGCGGGTCGCAGGCGCTGGGACGCCACGGCCACTGTCCCTCGAGGAGACAGTGAGCTCCGGGGCGACAGAAGCAGGAGGAGAAGTTCTGAGGCCCGACGGGGAGTCACGGACAGGCGGACTGGGGGTCCGGGGGGCGCCCAGCGGTCCCACACACGTGTGATCAGGAAGAGGTGGGTGCCGCCCGTAGCTTCGGAGCCGGCATTGCCGGGGGCTGTTCCGCATGCCGGCTGTGTCCTCTCTCCCTGGGACAGGTTATTTTTACTCCCGAGACCCGGCCCAGATCTGGCGGGTGGCGGAGCAGCTGGAGGTCGGCATGGTGGGCGTCAACGAGGGGCTCATCTCCTCCGTGGAGTGCCCATTCGGCGGCGTGAAGCAGTCCGGCCTGGGGCGGGAGGGCTCCAAGTACGGCATCGACGAGTACCTGGAGGTCAAGTACGTGTGCATCGGAGGCCTATAGAGTTCTCTCTTCAGAAAATAAAGCGGGAGGTCACCTACATACATGCCAACACGCCCCAAGTCATTCCAAATCATAGAGTATGTGAATTACGAGTTTTGTAACGCTTGTCCAGTCCTCAAAATCTTAAACAGGTGGGCCCCTGCCTGCCCCTTCCCTAACGAGGGGCCAGCGGGGTCCGAGTGCCCCTGGCTGCAGGCTCCCCGAGAACCCACCACAGAGTGGCGTCGTGGGTGGGGAGGCCCATCACGTGGCTCCGGAGCTCGGACCCAGAGGAGAGCATCACCTGGCCTACCAGGTGCTTCACACACCCCAGGGCTAAGAAGGGTGTTTTGATTTCCAAGTGGTTGGGCGGAAACAACACTGTTTCGTGGCATAAGAGACTGGTGTGAAACTCAGACTAAAGTGTCCGTACACGTGATGTCGGGGAGCCCCTGCACCCCTGTTTACTTGCAGCAGAGATGGGAGGCTCACATAGCCTCAGACAGCTGCTCTGGCCCCTGACGGGCAGATCCCCACCCCGACCCAGACCAAGAGGGAAGCGTGACCTCACGGGCATCGCTTTTTGTTGAAACACCTGCTGTACAAACAGCATCCTCCGGAGATCACGCCAGTGAGCTCTCACCAAGAGCCCCAGGCAACAATCAAGGAACTCGAACGATGCTACGCAGGTGCCCGGGCTCCTCAGCCTGGGGAAGCCCTTCTCCATGCGCTGCCCGCCCCCCCAGCACACACGCAGACCCTGACTTCCAGACCACACTACACGGTTCGCCTCCACCCTGTGCGCGGCTGTCAGGTGCGAAGTCCTGCCAAGTGTTCTTCCCTCCTTCCTCGCCCACCTGTGTTCCCGAGGGAGGACCCGGTGGGCGACCCGAAGCACCACACAGCCACATCTGTGTCATTGTTGACGTGCTGCCTCTGAGCCGTGCCGTGGGGCGGTCCTCTCCAAGGACCGGGGCCGGGGATTTGATTCTTTGTGCGCCGCCACCTTAGACAGCATTTCCCTGGAATAGCATTTACACTGTGCCTCTCTCTGTGCTACATTTTAGGGGATAAAACTTGGGAACTAGTTGAGAGTGTACAAATGTTATGTTTTTTTAAGCAACTGCACACACTCACGTTTTTCCAGGTCTGATAATTGTGTATCGATATCAGCAGAACTGTGCATAATTAATAAATGTTGAATTAACAGGATTTCCTGTTCTGGTTACGGTGTTTTTCTTGCCAGTTCACCACTTGAGTTTGTTTTGGGTATCAGAGCCATTCAGACAGGCATGAAGGGGACCGAGACGTGCCACTTGGGCATCGGGATTCTTGTGGCGGGTGAGACGTAGCAGGTGGGAAGGAAGCGGAAGGCCAGAAGGCCCCCGACACTGCGAGGCAGCAGGACTTGGGGCACAGCCTCTCCGACCTCACGGCGAGAGCCCCGCAGCCTCTTCCCCTCCTCTGAGGCGGACGTGCCCAGCAGACCAGATAAAGGACAGCTGCCTGCAAGCCCCTCAATTGACAGTCTGCCCAGTGAACTCTCTCAGTGGGCAGAAATTATCCTGAAGGTAAGGAATGATGTGTCATGGCACAGGTGACAGGACTTTTCTTCTTTGGTGGCATTTGAATAAGGGTGCATTTTACTTACGATCATTAGCATCTTAGGCTCAATGAAGTTTAGTAACCTTAAGCTTGGAGGGGTTAAGTCACTAGGTCACAGGGCCACCCCCAGACCCAGGCCACCTGACCTGACAGTTGCGGCAGAAACAGTGGTGCTGGCTCTGCAGGTCTATTTACGAGAGAACGGTGCTTTTCTGTTTGCCTGGGAAAGTAAAGAAAACGTAACAGCAAACCCGCTCTTTTAAATTATTAAATTACCAAAGCTTTCCATTAAGTACGTTTAATACCTAGAGACTTTGGCTGAAATACTTTGTAATTCTCACAGGAGATTAGGTCCTAGCTTTGGCATTTTACGTGGCAAACGTGTGGTGAGTCTGTCTGCCATCTGTGGTTCCACAGTTTTGACATGGGGTGACATTTCTCTTTTGCACACTGCAGAGGAATTCAGCCATCTCTGACGCCTAAGTGTACAACAGTTTATCTCATTTGTATGAAAAGTGGGGTAAAACCGTGGCACAAACCAAAACTTTACATTTGGAGTAACTCCACAGTGTCTATGGCTGTGGACTTCTTACAGTAAATAATGTAAAGCACTGGACAGTGAGCATGCATTGCAGAAATAAATAAACGCAAACATTCCTTTCAAACATTCTTGGGCTTTTTCGGGGGTGGGGGTGGGGGTGGAGACTGCCTACGATTTACTTTTTCTATTATTATCAAAAACATCAGTCATGCTCTGACCAGTGTGGCTTAGTTGGCTGGGCCTTGCCCTGCAAAGTAAAAGGTTGCTGGTTGATTCCTGGTCAGTGTATGTGTCTGGGCTGCAGGCTAGTCCTGTCGGGGCGTCTGTGGGGGAATCTGTGGGAGGCAACCCATCGATGTTTCTCACATACTCATTTCTCTCCCTACCCTGCAGACTCTCTAAAAGTAAAAAAAAATTTAAGTCACGTTCCTACTAAACACAGGAAAAAACACTAATATCTAATTGACAAACATGTTTAGAAGAGTACCCATGCAACGGAAATGAAGATGCACGAGGTATCCCCTTTTCTCTTTACAGAAAATGGAGAAAAGGAATGATGAAAAAAAAGGTCACTGCCGATCTCAGGTTTCTGCTCCTGATTAACATCTTTTTAAGAAAAATTAAATTTAGTTTAGAGAGAAACAAAAACTTGTCTTTACTGTTCCACACCGCTTGACTCCTCCGTGTGCCCTGACCCAGGATCGAATCTGCGACCCTGGCGCATCAGGACGACGGCTGACCAACCGAGCTCCCGGCCAGGGCTTCGATCAGTAACACCCTGACTCACACCCACCCCGGAGGAAGCGGGCAGGGAAGGAGCGAGCGAGGGGCCGTTAGAACCGTGTAATAATCTTCAGGGCAAGGAGCCGCGACGACGTGAACTTGGGGGAGGACAGCGAAGGTGACACGCCTGCTGCTGGACCGAGTATAAGAAAACGACCCAGCGGGCGCGAGACGAGCATCCGGAGGCTGGGGAAGCGCAAAGCTGCGACTGCGCGGACACCCGCGGACCAGGAACCGGAACCGCCCTTCCGGGCGGGGTCGGAGGACCAGGCTCCGCGTCCGCAACCCAGGAGGGAATTCGGCCGCGCGGCGCTGAAGGCCCGCCCCCGGCCCGCCTCGCGGCGCATGCGTACTCACGGGCAGACCGGCCTCACTTCGGTACTCGAACTCGCCCGCTCGCCGTCCCCGCTTCTCCTGCCCAGGACGGAGTCCCAGCCCGGGACCCGGGGCTCCCGCGGCTCCTACTTGCACGGTGACAGGGGCCAGGCCTGCGGGTCAGCCCGGGTACGCGTCCCCGGCGCCTGGAAAGCGCGAGCGGGAGACGCAGCTCCGGTCCCTCGCCGCCGTTACCACGGCAACGCGCGCGCAGGCGCACACACGCCAGAATCCGGGTAGGGGGCGCCCGGCTCAGCGCGCAGAGCTCCAATCACCTGGCACCCGGGCCGCGGCTCCCACCCTGCCGCCCACCGGTCAGGAGGCTCCAAGAGAGCCCCACGCCTCCCGTCACCCTGCTCCGATACGCTGGCAGCGCGCCTCCGGTGGGGGAGACCCCACACCCGCAGAGTCCAGCTGTTTTGAACACGTGCTGCTCTCAGACGCCAGCCCCACCCACCTCAACCTCCGAAGCCCACGAGGAAGGCTTCCTTGCATTGCTACAGCTTTCCTTCAATAGAAGCGCTGAGGCATCCAGGTGTGGCAACGGGGGCCTTCCTCCTGTGCTCCCGGCACCTGGCTGGACCGCCAGGATGAGCCTGGGGCGACCTCAGCGGGCGAGGCCCCGCCCGGACAAAACCGACACAATAGTCCTCGCACAGCCGACTGGGGGTACAGGAGGCAACACACGTTGGGAGAGTAAAAGCCTGTCCACAACGGAAAAGGTGGAATCCGGTTTGGAGGAAGAGGGAACACGAACGTGCCAGCTGGTGGGGCGGCGAGGTCAGCCGCAGAGAAAGGCCGAAGCGTTCGTGTTCTGATGTATAATATAGGTAATGAAGATGTTCACACGATGCTACTTCGGCGTTGTGTGAAAACCTGGGTTGGCGTCCCTGGAACACGTGCGAGGCCGCTCCCTCGCACTTGTCCTCAGATTAGGTGGGCATTTGTGGGCCCCCCGCTACATTATGTGCCGGACGCTGTAATGAACAAGGACCAAACGATGTACCCTTAGTACAGCGTTTCCGCTTTCGTTCTTGTTCATGTGCGGTTATGAAATTGGGCGATAAAAGACAAAGAACTTCTTAAGGTGGGAGAAACAGGTCTTGAAGGTTCAAGTACATTCCCCATCAGGGCAAAATGGTGCTTCACCTAGTGGAATACAAGATTCTCAGCTGCACATTCACCAAGAAGGGAAGTAAAGTACGTAAAGCTACTTTATTCGAAAAACCTGGGGTTCAAAGTAAAAAAACTCAAAATACTGCAAATCGATAGGTTCTTAATTCTTGCCTTGTGGGAGAACTATTCACTTCAGTTTGTCTCTGAGATTTTGTCGCAACAGCAGTCCCCCCTTATCTGCAGCTGGAAAATGCTCCCGTTAAGAGGAAAGGGGAGCTGAGAACAATCAGGAACGACTGAGACGGCGAAAATCATCCACCTGTTACTGCAGCACATTGTTGTAACCATTCTACTTACTGTTGCCGATCATCTCGGTGTGCCCAACTTACAGATTAAACTTCATCACAGGTACGGACGGACGCAAAGCAGGAAACGGTGAGCTCGGGCTCTACCGCCTGTGAGTTTCAGGTGCTCGAGCTGCGGAAAGCACGCCCCCCTGAGGGAGGGAGGGGCCGCCGTAGCGGGCAGTGTTTCACTTGGACGAAGTCCCAGGAAGAAGCGGTCTCTCTCACGGGTTTAAAACAATGCGATGATTATTTACTCTAAGGCACAGCACTACGTCTCACTTTCCGATGTCGCCTTCCATATATACATAGTGATGTGACGTGAGGTGGGGCTCTTCTCACTTCTTACAAGGGCTTAAGCAGTTTGCACCCAAAACATCCCTTCTCACAAAAAGGAACTAATGCTACAGTATTAGCATTCTCATTTTAATGATTAAAGTTGTACTTTACATATAAAACTCCTTTCCCTGGTCACCACAAAGACAGTGTTCTGTATACATTCAGCTGGTCTTTTCTGAGCTGTTCTACTTGTTAGTTCTGACGCCCCCTCTGAAAACAAGGTTCCACTACGACTCCTTCCAGTTACCTCTCAGCGGCTCCTTCCTAAGCTGAGAAGCCAGCTCAGCCCGGCCGCCCCCTGGCGGGGAGACGAGGCAGTGCAGGCAAAGCCGGGCTCCCCGCCACCCCCTTCCACGGGTGAGGCTGCAGTGGCGGAGCCAGAAGCCCCAGGAGGGGAACATCCAATCCCATTACGGCACCAAAACCCACTACCAACAGGTAAAATTCTCTATTTAAGGTGCCTTTCTCTTATGGCAGAAAAAGTTTCCTCAAAGCACATTTAAAAGTGCTCCTTAAATAACATAATTCAATCTTCAAGTAGCAAAACTAAAAGGCTATTTCTCTTTACACAACTATTCTCTTGGAAAAAGTCCTGTGCTGCCATAAAACAGACTCTCATCCTCACTAAGCCTAACTGCTCTTTTGGCAACACAGCTGTGAACGTGAATTTGAGAAAGTTAAGGCAAAGCATGGGTTCACGTACAGCTCACCAACCAGGCCGCGGTGAGCTGACAAAACCCTGCTCTGACACGGGAGGGCAGCGTCGGCTTCAAGGCCGGCAAGCATGGCTTTGGACTAGATCCTCGCAGTTGGTGAAATGGGACCAAAGATCCAGTGTGAAGCACTCAGAAACAGCCAGTTTTTCCCTTTTGTAGACTTACTTAACATATGAACTTTTTTTGGTTAATGACTTTTAAAATAAGTCAACTCTAAAGACTAGCCTAGGGACAAGGCGACCCGGCTCCACAGGCCTTCACGCCTTGTTGCCCAGAGGCCTCGCGTTCTGAGCACGGGTACTTTGCTGAAATAAATGTTAACTTTCAGTTCTGAAATCTAAGGACGCAGATCACAAACGAAAGCACAGCAGTTTTCCTTCTCTTCCAGGGGTGCGGGTCATAACTCCTGCACACGAACTCGAGTTCCAGACAGGCAGGGTCACCGTGTATTTGCAAGCCCCCAGCACAGACTACAGAGCCCAGGAGACTGGCATCGGGAAAACACATCACAGTATCACGTCCAAGTTGCACAGGAGGCCCCAGTGATCACTGGGGAACCTGCCGCAGTCCAGCTTCTCCAGCCCAAGGAGGTCCAGACTTCGGGGAACGATGTGGCCGCCGTCTGCGGCTGCTCTGAAGAAGATGCGATCGAAACGGTGCTTGCTGACGGCGCGAATGCCCAGGTTCGAGTTCGCCTGCGTGTCCCATGTGTACTGGCAGTGCTTGGGCCTGCCCAGCAGCTCCCAGACGTCGGAGATGTTGCCGGGCAGACCACCGCACCGGGCGACCTGGGAGACAGAAGATCTGTAAGACTCAGAGTTTCCTGAAGTTAAAAAGGTGTCTTCACTGTGACACCCTAAGTCCATTACAAATCAAAGGGTCCCCCCAAGTTACTTGACAGCCCACCATGCAGCACCAGATGTTTTTTTCAGAGGCTGCGTTAGGAAACATGCTTTGCCGCACGATGAAGCAGGTAATGCGAGAACAGCAAGAGCATCAGTCGTCTGGAATTATCCCCCGCTCCTCCGCCCCACAGACGGGTCCGTGACTCCGGGTGGCAGATGAAACTCAGAAGGCTGGGAACCCGTGGCCTCGGTTGTCACTTAGTTTTTCAAAAATAAACACCAGTGAAAGGACAAAACCGCGGCTCCGGTCTATAAACCCAAAAGCTGCCGCGTGTGTGGTCCCGCTGCCTTCGGTCCTACTTGGAATTTACTAACGGTATTAACTCTTCCTTATGCCACTGCCACTCCAGGGCTCAAAAACGATCATGGTGAAATGCACACAACGGCTGCCCTGTACCCCGTGCGGTTCAGTGGCACCCAGTGCAGCCACATACCAGTGTAGCCGGCATACCGCCCGCCTCCCCAGCCTCCACCCGGCTCACTTAAAACCGGGTTCTTTTTTATTGTTGGCTGTTCATCGCCAGAGTGCTCTGTACATTCGCCGGGAATCCGTGTGTCACCCCCCCACTTGCACAGGGGCCACGCTCATCTCCGCGCGTTCCGATGCCAGTGTGCTCACTGCGGCAGCGCGCAGAGTCCTCCAGGCTCTGCTCACCAGACACACGACTTGCAGCTGCGCCCCCCGCCCCCCCGCACGGCCACCTCACCCCGCTGACCGCAGCCTTTGCTGCAGGCGGGTGGTCAACGTCTGTGACGCCCGCCCGCCCGCTTCCTCCTGGCTGTCTGTGCTTCGGCTGCCAGACCCCGGAAGCCGCTGCCAAACCCAGTGCCCTGCACCTCTCCCCATGTGTTCCCTACGTGTCGCGGTTTTAGCTCTTTAGTTCCTGATCCATTCTGAATGAACGGTCGTGTAGGGAGTAAAGTAAGGAACCGACCTTATTTGTGTGCGTGGATACCCGGTTTGCCAACGCCATTGGCTGAGCAGCAAATTTTTATGAAGTTACCAGTCACTCAACTAGATGCCCAGAACCCCTACCTATAAACCCACCAAACTGCAGATAGGCCAATGGAGAGCTTTTTTTTTTTTAAGTATTTTAATGTGGTTTTCTTTAAAGACTTTATTTATTTTTAGAGAGAGGGGAAGGGAAAAAGAGAGAGAAACATCAATGTGTGGTTTGTCTCTCATGCGCCCCGGACTCGGGACCTGGCCTGCAACCCAGGTATGTGCCCTGAGTAGGAACTGAACCTGCAACCCTTTGGTTCATAGGCCCGTGCTCAACCCACTGAGCCACACCAGCCAGGACAAGAGAGCTTAGTTTTTGAACTTCCTGCCCAAGGACACAGTCGGGCAGGAGTGAGGCAGAGCCCCACGCCTCTCCCCACAGTCCTCTCCGCGGGCACCCAGACTGCTCCCTCCCCGGACCCCTCCTCCTCCCTCCGGGAGCGCGCCCCGATGACTGCCCGGGTGACTGCCCACAGGTGTCCATTTCAGTTCCCCTTAGTCTGATGTGAGGTCCACCAGAGTGGGGGGGAGGCAAGATGGGCTTGCCTTTTACTATCTACTTAGATACTAAATAGTATTTAGTATCTATTTAGATAGATACTAAGTATTCATTTAGATAAATAGATCTATTTAGTACTCTATAGATATAAAGGAAAGAGACTACACTTCAGACCTGGACACGGCGGTACCAGGAAAGCAGGACAACCTCGATGACGGTCCTAGTCACCACTGAGTGGATCCACCAGTAAATGTGACCTCTCCCAAACTCTGCGTCACTGTCTTCTCTGGACACCTCCATGACCCCGTGTATGTTCCCCGAGGACAGATAGACCTCCTGCTCCTGCCTCCCGGGGCAAGGCGCAGAGCACAGCTAAGTAGCCATCTGCTGGGTCACACCTGCAAGGTCACTTATGTGTGCCACCAGCTTTGGTCACCAGGAGCCTGAATTGGTTTCTACAGCAATAACCTGCCCGTAAACACAGAACTGCTGTTGCCACTCACTTCGCGATCCCTTAAATTTGTGTCTCCCGCAAATATCACCGTGGCCGACTCCGGGGCCTCCTGCATCTTCTTTAAGACCATTTTGAGCTGATTCATTCGTTCCTGGGCGTGCTCTCTGGTGCTCTCCAAATGGGCCGTCATGAGGCAAAGTCCGTTTCCCGACACGCTGGCCTGCAACAGGACACGCCATTGCAGTGGCTGAAACCAGCCGGAACACTGAGCTGGGACAACAGAACCCAGGGCCACCCCCTGACTGGCCCACATCAACCGAGGGGAACCACCCAACCAGCAGGGGGCTTCTCTTCCAGGTCAGGGAAGCCCGGGTCGCTGCTCCGGAAGGAGGCTGCTCGGCCACACCCGCTAACCCTCCACTGTGCGCCCTCCCCCAAGGCCCCAGGCTCCCCCTCCGCGTTCCCACTGCTTGCTGCCAGGACCCTTCTGACGTCCCCAGACTGACGTAGAGCGTAGAGCGTGATCCCTGAACACGGGACGGTGCTTTCACCCACTGCTGGGTCGCCCAGGGCCCGGCATGCAGGCCCTCACGGAAGGCCAGCTAACCGTTTCCCACGACAACCCCAAACCAGCGCTCGAACACTCGAGTGCGCGCCCCTTCCTGCTGAGCACCCACGGTCTCCTGCGTCTGAGTCCGCCCGGCCCACCGTCCTCTCACCACAGTGCCCCGGCTGTGGCCTGGACACCCACGTGAGCCCCACGCCCGTCCGCGCCCGCCAGGCTCACACAGGCCCCCACCCCGCCTGCGAGCTCGCGCATGGCGTTCCAGCACCTGCGCTGCTCTGATGTCTGCACCGGACCTACTTCGGGGCCCAATTCCAGTGCGACCTCCTGCATAAAACCTCCCAAACCACCCAGCTGATCCCTTATCCAGAAACAAGCTCCGGCTGCACCGTGGGGACAGACGTTAACCAGACTTCGTGCGGGGCTTGCCTCGCAATGGGCACAAACGTGCATCGCCACGTTGCACACCGGAAACGAGCATTGCCGTGAGGTCCTCGGATCTCCACGGAAAACACCCGACGCCTGGCGCCTTCTCCTTTCTCTAACCTTCCCGGGCGCAGCCCGGGCCCCGCCCCCACCCCCGGGCGGGCCTTCCCCTCCTCCGTGCCTGCGCCGCCCCCCTTCCAGGCCTGGCTCCCTCCTGCGGGCCCCACTGGCGGAGCCCACGGCGCAGCGACAGTGCCCTGAGTAAAAACCGCGCCGGGAGGCGAACTTGGGATGTTACCAGCACTTTCACATCATGGGGAAACGTCTACTGAATCAAGGGTTTTATTTCCCCAAGTTTGTCTATATTTGAAATGTACATAAAAAACTAACTTGACAAAGTCCCTTAAGGCCATTAAAAGACTCTTAGTGAGGAGCAAACTTTTCTCTGAAGACAATAGTTTAAAAACAAAGACGCCACCATGGAACTACAAAGAATCTATTCTTTCTTTAAAGAGCAGTTGACTTTTAAAATTTACTTACATGCACACACAAAAGGTTTCTCATCATTTTTGTTTTTGGAAAAGGAATAATCTCTTGGCTTTTCAATGTCACTCTCGATTTCTTCAACATTATGGCTGTGAAATATCCTTCCATGTGACCTTCAAATGTTTATGGAACAGAGTTTAGGTGGTGAGGACAAGCGGACCTGCAGTTTATCACACTCCCCCTGCGGGAGTCCCCCCCCCCCACCCCGTTCTAACAAACAGGGCCAGACACTTCAATGGCTCTCAATCTTAAAAGTAAACTATTTCAAAACAGCCCAAGGTGGCCAGCCAAGCCCGTGTTTACCTTCCCCCTCCCAAAACGTAACTGCAAGTACGGGAGAAACATAAAAACAAACATGACTTCACACAAGTGCCAAAAATAGTTAATGGTGCCAACAGGAAACCAAAAAATAAAGAAATTTCGGAAAGAGTAGACAAGAGTTCCACTGAGGCAGAGTGACACGCACCGGCTTCTCCCTCCGGGAGCCCCGGAAGGTTACAGTGAGGGAAGGGCAAAGGCGGGAGGGCGTCGGGCGCAAGGAGAGCAGGCAACAGAAGCAGGGGGCAGAGAACGAAGGCTCCCAGCAGTTTCTCGGAAAACCAGGTTGAGGGAGGCGGGTAACTGACTTATCAGAACAGAGCAACCGGAGGAAGAGGAAGATAAGAGGGGAGGAAACGAGGAAGAAAAAGGACGAGGGATGGAAAGGGAGGGGCCAGGAGGGAGGGAGGCAGGCGGGGGGGGGACGGGACGGACACACAGGGAAGAAGAGCCTTCCAGAACTGAGGGTCACAGACCTCCGGACTGCAAGTTCCTACCAAGTGTTCAGAACAATAAAAAAAAGACCCAAAGAGCCCTGGGATTAAAACAAAGACCCTGAAAGTTTAGGAGGGGTAAGGGAGAGGACAGGAATTAGTAGGGCTTTAAATTTATAATCACCAATAATGGAAACCAGAGAACACTGAATTAGTGCCTCCAAAACTCTGAGGAAAAATGACTGCGTACCTAGAAATCTAGGTCCAGACAAACTGTCAACTGACGCAGAGGGAACAACATGGAAGCCCCGCCCACACAGGTTCTCAGAAAGCGACCCTGAAACCCCATTTTGTGTAAAAGTGAAAGTCAAAACATGACACTGGGGCCCGAACCATGAAATGTAGCCAAACACACTCAGTCAAAACAAAATAGATGGAGAGTCAGGAAGCTAAATTATTCACAGTAAAAAGCCAGAAGAACAAAAAGTAAGTCCTGGCTGGTGTGGCTCAGTGGATTGAGCGCTGGCCTGCGAACCAAAGGGTTGCTGGTTCTCAGTCCCAGTCCAGGGCACACGCCTGGGTTGTGGGTCGGGTCCCCGGTTGTGGGATCGCAAGAGGCAACCCTACACTGATGTTTCCCTTTCCTTCTCTGTCCCTTCCTCTCTGTCTAAAAATAAATAAATAAAATCTTTTTAAAAAATAAAAGAAAAAAGACCTTTTAAAAAAGCATAACCATGTGAAATAAATACATTAAGTACAATGGAAAAACCAAAAAATTGGGGGAAAATGCCTAAACACAATGCAATTATCACACTTAAAATTTTTAACAATTAATTTCATCAAAAAGCTACTTGGTGTCTCAAATTTTGGCAAATTGCATTTTCCTGAGCTATCGTCCACTTCAACCACTTTTTCACAAAAATTAACAGTAAGCTGTGTAAAATATTCTCCCACAGTTCTTTCAGTATCCTGTGTCTGGCCTGTTTTGCTCGAACTCATTTTGTTTGTTTTTTTTGTCTGTGCTCCTCTAGGCTAACCTTGATTTATCTCTTTCGTTGACTTGTTTTTCAAAGGAAAAGAGAAGTAAAACAGCAGGAAAGACGTTACCTGTGATAATGGTGTAATTACTCACTCTCTTCTTCAGGAAGCTGTAATACGGGGGAATGACCTCCTGCAGAAACACCACGTCTGGGTCGTACCTGGTTACAGACATCAGTTGACGATAAACACCAGGCTCCCGGTTTCATTGGTGGCTACTCACGATGTAAAAGAAACCCCAAACCGTCACCCTCTAAGACACCTAGCACTGTGTTTGTTCACACTGAGCTCTGGTAACTGAGATGAGAGGTCTGTGCTCTGTCACGCGCTGCTGTGAAGATTAACTTAGAAAACACACACACAATGGCTTGGTGAAGCTCAAAGAACGAGAGTCACTGGAAAAAGGAGCCAGACACTGAGCGCGCCCGACGGCCCTGCGTGCTGAGGGACCCCGCGACATCACCTTGTTCTAGCCTCGAGACAGGACATAGAAAACTGAGCTCCAGAGAACAAGGTAGCTCACATGAACTGCACAGGTGACAGCCGGGGTGTGACAAAGCTATTTTGGTAATTTAGCTATCATAGCAATAATTAGACAGGGTCCGGCACAAATAACACCCCTCTTTTCTATTACAAAATCATAAGCACGTCATTCTGTAACAGAGCACTATCCAATTCAAACACACCACACGACATTTTAGCTGAGATGTTCACACGAAAACTGCAAACGATCACACCCACAGTCTCACCCTACCCACCACACTCGGGCAGGCGTTAGGGCTGCAGCACCCTGTATGCGAAGGTCAGTAAGTAAAACCGCGCCAGATGGCGGCTAACGGGCATCGCTGCTCCCGCCGCGCCAGCCCTGACAGCAGGACTGGGTTCGGGTCCCAGACCCTCGGCGGCTGGCTGTGCTTGAACACCGGTTAGACACTTCCCCACGCATCCCGGAAAGAGAAATAGCGGCACTCACAGCGCTAAGAAGGAACACACCCCTTTAGCCCTCTCCAGCAGGTTATTTACGTCCAGCCCGTCAATATTCCAGGTGATCATGGAGAACACGCTGCCGTCCTCCTGCTGAACAGTGTCTGGCGTGCGGCTTCCTGAGCAAGCGGGGTCGGCTGGCTCCTCACTGGTTAGGTCAACGCTGGCGAGATCAGAATGAAACACAGCTTTGCCAGTAATCCATGAACTGCTTAAATGTTAAATCTTTCACAATTAGTTGTGGCCCTCATTTCAGTTAAATGCATTTAAAGTGACCCCAGAGGGTCCGCTAGTGGAAGCAAGCGTCCGGACGCTGAGGAAACAGACTCTGCGAATGTTGACCCGCCCGCACACACGGCTGACTCAGTGTCCTCCCACAACCGCGCCACCAAAATGCTTTCCTGAGCCAAGACCCCAAACTGGACTAAAGCAACATTTCCACGTTATTTGGACTCGTTTCAAGCCAGGTTTGAAAAAAGATCTCATCGTGGCAGGTAACAAACAGCTGCCAATGCTCGTTTTGGCCCATGAGCTGGGATCTAACCCTCTCCAGGGACCTGGGCCTCCGTGACCCAGTGGTACCTCTGGGGCTTGGTCGGGAGATGCCTGCAGGCTTTCCCTGCGGCCTCCTGGAACACTCTCTCCAGGAACCTGGGCCACTCAGTAGAAAGTCCGACGTCCAACTCCCCGAGGCTGCCACGCCCAGGCCACAGGTGCCTGCTCTGGTCCCAGCCTCACAGCCGACCCCCACCTTCCACCAGCTCCACCCGGGCTCCAAGCATACAGCCAGTGCAGACTGACCCTACCCTGCCTCTCACGAGGTACTCAGCTATTTTCTGAAACAGCAGAACAAAACTGCAAGCCACGCAGCCCAAGAGGCACAGGGGAGAAAATGTTGCAAATTACACCCAGAACCAAAGAACCAACCAGGGGACAGGACCGGAACCTGAACGCGGAACCCTTTCAGAAGCGAAGGGTCCGCTGTCCGGGAAGGTCTGGTGCTAAAACCCCTTAAATCTCGTTCGAACCCTGGGTAGGGAGACAGGTTTGAGTCTCATTTGAGTCATGACCCCCGTCGGACCGCCAGGTGCCCGCAAAGTAACACTTCCTTCTGATACCAGAAGCTGGTGCTAGTCTTGGCTTCTGAGCGCATCGGGCAGAGAGCCCTGGCTCGGTCACACTGGTTTTAGTGCCCATTGGTAATTCCAATTACCAATTCCAATTCCAATTGGTAATCCCGCCTGAAGTCATTATTACTATGGCGGTTCCCATGTGGTGCTTTTCTTCTAACTCCATCACGTCTTCCACATTTACTATTTGGAATCCCACTGGAAGGACGAACGTACTGTCATTGGTATGGATTCTTTGCAGATGAAGCCTCGCTGTTACTGGAGTAACAGGGGCAGGTGTGCATTTTACAGAAAACCAGATTTCTAGATGGCTGCCCGCAGAAAACAAACAATCAACGCGGAATGCAGGCGGACTTCCACGCTACTTTGTTTCCATAGAGATTTTTGCCTCATTCCTTTGCAACCTTGCGCTTGCATGTTTCCTATATACTTCGAGCGAATTTCAGACGCTTCCCGGACTCCCAATCCGGCCGGTGGGGCCGGGCGCGCCTCCTTCCCCACCTGGGGCACCACCTAAGCCCCGCCCGCCCGCGCCAACTCACCAGGACCCCGGCTCGGGCGCGGTCTCCGGGAGGTGTGGGACGGCGCCCTCCTCCGCCTGCGGCTCGAAGTAGGCGTTCAGCGCCCTCTGAAAAGAAACAGAAAGGTGGGTGGGGTCGCGCGCGCCCGGCGCGCAGCCCGTACCCGACCGAACAAGGTGAGCGTACTTCCATCTCCCAAGCGTTCTCGGTCAGGAAGCGCCGCGCCACAGCAGCCTCGCAGCTGGCGATGGTGATGAAGTCCACACACAGCAGGAGCCGTTTCTTCTCCGCGGGATCCCCGTCGTCGACCCCGGCCTCCAGACCGAAGTCCAGACTACGCTTCCGCTCCATCGCCGCAGCCCTTCCCCGCCTCCCACCGCGCTGCTTTGCGCAGGCGCCCGTCCCGCCTCCCCAGTGTCCCCGCATCAACCGTCCGGAGAGAAACACTTCCCTCCCGCGGAAGGCGATATGCGCTGCACAAAGGAAGGCCGCTGCGCAGTGCAAGAGGGATGGAGCGCGGGGGTGGGGAGGACAAAACAGCGGGAGCACGGGGTCACGACGGGATGCGGAACAACCGTGCGCGAGCGCGGGAGGAGCGGGGGCGGCATTGCGCGCGCCGAGGACGTACTTCTGCCCGCCTGCGTCCTCTGCGTCCTCTGCGTCCTTGTGGTTTTCCAAGGTTCTAGGTCCCCTGGCTCTTCCAAGGTTTGTTCTTGCTCGAGACCCTGAAACCGGCGGACCGGCCAAGATGAGCCTGGCCAAGAATGCACGGGAGGCTTTGAAGGCCATCACCAGTTTCCCCGGTTTTGACAGAGTTTTGGAAAAGGTATGGTAGGGCGCAGCCGCGGCTTGGGGTGAAGGGAGAGGAGGCACCGCACTGGCATCTCACTCGATTCTGTCGCTGCGCCCGTAGTTCAGCTTAGTGATCACGGTTACTTCACGGAGCGCCGTAACGTGCCGGGTTAAGAGCACAGACGAGGCCATCTAATTGTCCATAAATAGTATGGCTCTCCTGCGTGGAGACAGCATTGCGCTGGGTTCTAGTGCCAGAAAGAAGGACGGTGGCCCGAGAGGAAGCCGACGTCTCCTTCCCCGCGCGCCTGCAGGGTTATTACAGCAGGACAGCTGAAGCGAGGCAGCAAACTCAGGTGCTGCGTGGCGGGGTGCACAGGAACCAAGTAGCCCACACTCCTAGTCTCCACTGCCCATAGAAAAACAAGCTCCATAGGAAGCATTTATCGATCAGCACGAGTAACACACTTAGCCTAGGAACTTGTGAATTTTTCCCGAGATGTTTAAATGCATTCATGCCTGTTTTCCTTCCGATTAGGATAGAGTGCTGGGTGTAGCATCCACCAACGCGAGCAACAAATGGTCGGAAACTTTCAGGAGTTTAAGATGGAACTTTATTGGCCAAAGCTTTACCTGTGCAGGGGCGAACTCTCGAGGTGTCCGGAGAAACGGTGCCCAGAGGGCTGCAAATGAGAGTCACGCCTGGCTCTTACAGCCTAGAGTTTTTATTGGGGTGAGCAAGCAAGCAAATACAGAAGCAGATGTAGCCGTTAGCGATTGGCTATGTCGAGGGAACACACATGGCTATGCTTTCTGCTTGCAGCAGTGGATAATTTTCTGCAAAAACAAGGTCATGCACAGGCGGTTATTTTGTTTGTTAACACTCATTGTACTTTCTATCTGGACTCTGCCTCGAGCTCCTTGTTCCTCTTGGCTACTTTTATCTAATTCTGGGCCTAACACGGAAATTTGGAAATAATTTGGAAGTGGGGCTTAAACACAAATCGTCTGCAAACGAAGAATGTAGGGCTTTGGAGCAAGGTCTCCCTCCTGGAACTCAACTTTTAGGCTGTATTTGCAATGTTTAAGTAACTGTCTCGAATGAGCTCAGGGCTTTTGGGTGTGTGTGTGGAAAACAACGGAAATATCTAGAGCTGGCATTGGTGGTAACTTGCCTTCCAGGAAGATATACTCATTAACCCAGATGTGTTGGGTTTTACAGAGGTGAGGTAGGGTTGATGAGCCGTGCAGCCCAAGTCTGGGCCAGCGCTGTCTGATAGACATGTGTTGCAAGCTACAAATTCGAGCCACATGTGGGATTATACACTTTATAATAGTCACATTTTAAAAGGCAAAAAGAAATAGGCAAGTCAATTGTAGTGATATATTTAAGTAACTCATTAGATCCCAAGTAGTCTTTTAAAATATATATATATATTTTATATTTATTTTTAGAGAGAGAGGAGAGGCGGGAGAAAGAGAGGGAGAGAAACATCAATCAGCTGCCTCTTGCACACCCCCAACTGGGGACCTGGCCCACAGCCCAGGCGTGTGTGCTGAGCAGGAATCTGACTGGCAGGTTTGGTCTACAGTCTGGCACTCAGTCCACACCAGCCAGGGCCAAAATAGTCTTTTCACATGTAATCAATACAAAAAAGTATTTTCTTTTTCATACTTAATCTTTGAAATGCAGGTGCATTTTACACATACAGTACCTCTCAGTTCAGAGTGGCCGTGTGTCAGGGCTCAGTACCATATTGACTGCACAGGTCAACAGCATCGTAGGTACTCTGTTGACTGACTGGATCTCAAACAGGTTTTGAGATGGGTTTGTGCAGGCAGAATTGCCCAGGGGTAAAGTAGATGGTGTGTAGTGATCTGTCCATCTAGTTGTGGACATGGCTCCTTTTACCATAAATTTTATAGTAATAGTGACCTGGACCAGGGGTTCTCTCTGGGGGTGACTGCTCCCATGAGACTTTCGGCAATGGCTGTGCAGAGATATTTCGGGGCGTCACAGTTGGGATGGGAGAGCCACTCCCGGCATCCAGCTGGTAGAGGCCAGGGAGGAAGCTGCTAGATGTCACGCAGAGCATCTCTTCCCCGCCCCCACAGCAAAGCCGTCCAGCCCAAGTGTCAGCAGTGCTGAGGCTGAGGAGACTTAACTCATCCTCTTACTCACTCCCCTTGTTCTAGGTCAAAGGCACAAAAATCGCTACTCTTGCTTTTTCTGAACGTGAACCTTGGAGTTGGTTGTGCAGATCACGGGACTTCTTCGCATGGAACAAAACCAGTCTTGCGCTAAATCTCTAGTTAACAACCCTTTACGTTCAAGTCTCTGTTAAAAGGACCACTTTGCTTTCTGTGTCAAATAGTTTTGTCCCTCAGGTTCTCTTTGGGTTGACCACAAAAGGGCAGTGATACAGTTTGAGATTCATTAATATGCCAACAGATATTTCCATATTCATTACTGGCCACTAAACAGGTCTAGGTACAAGAAATACACAAGTAAACGATAAAGCGAGGTTTACGCAGACTTACTAAGTATACAAGTCTTGACGGTCATACTACCTGTAAGGTCAGAAATGGAAATAACCCATGTCCCACAGGGGAACTGGGAAAGAAATCACTAGCTCTCCAAGGAGTCGTGACTTTAAAAATACTTTAGTAACATAGTAGCATGTACAACTTTATGAAATTAGAACTTTTTGTTTGCCATATTTGTTTAGATAGCCCTATATGTCAGGCATAGGGTGCGTTGCTAATAGGAGCTCATCTTTTTATGGTACAAGGTCCAACGAAAGTCAAAATGCAGTGATCTGGAAAAGAATGTGACCCTGCAGCCCGGAGTTGAACCCTGACATGGCAGTTAGAACTGCCACGGAGACCGGGCACTGGGCTAGTGTGCACAGAGGCCGTTCTCGGAAAAGGAAGCGGAGTGGGCAGTAAGCGTGAGCGGAGGCTGTCCGCCTGGCCGTGCATATTCAGGCCAGGAGACATCATCGGGTGGGGCCTGTTGTGCGGTGAAAACTGAGGGTTGCGGTGCATTACTGCTGAGGAATTTGGTGGGGAGTGAGCACTGTTACTCACTGCCCTGGAAAGGGAATCGGGCAGGTTGGTTAAAAAGGCATGTGACCATTCACCCAGAGTCCCGATTTGTCCTGTGCACACAGAGGCGCTTCTGTTTGTAATGGTGGGGAGCGTGGGAAAAGCGTCTGGCACAGCTGAGGCCAGGGAGCCCACAGCTGCCTGAGTGCCGGCCTGAGCTGGAGGGACAGCCTGGCACACTGGGAACGCGAGAATGGACTGCAGAGCAGGGTGTGAGGTGTGACCCGTTTTCTCATGGATCCTCTCTCCGTGACCCATGAGAAAGGGGGACCCCACACACATGTACGTTTGAGCGTGCAGAGACCGAGGGGGACCCACAGCACTGACCGGAAGTGGCATCTCTGTACTGCGATCCATTCAGGTGTCCACAGGGTGGTCACCTCGTAAGTTATACAGATGTCTCATCACTGTGGTGTGAAACCCATGCATTTGTTGTCTGTCAAGTGCAACTGAAAAGTTCTTTAATTGAAACAGGAGTGAGTGGCAGTTCAGCCTGCTGGGCCGGCAGGGAGCCAGGCATGGCCAGCGAGACACTGAGCGCAGGCCACTGAGCGCAGGCCGGCGCTGGGGCGATGCCGCGGGGAAGGAGCCCAGCGTCGTGCAGAGCAGCCGCACCTGCTCAGGGGACCGCTCCTCTCGGCACTGGTGCTGGGCGGCCCGTTTCAAGGGAAGTGACGGTGAATTCCCATTTCTGCTGCCTCAGAACCAAACCGGGGTGGACCTCTGTGTCCACCCCTGGGGATGAGACGCTGCTGCGTCGCCCGCCACTCCACTGTCCACTCGTCCCCTTCCCCCGAGCCCTGGTGTGTGAAGACCCCAGAACTTGTCACCGAGTGTGTCAGGACAGCTGAGCCAGCCCCCGCCAGGTGGGAGTCCACGCTGCCCCAGCCCCACCCTGTCTGCCCCTCCTTGGGGTTCAAGGCCGCAGAGCCTGTGTGGGGGCAAGCTCTTGCCAAGGTGACCCATGGGACAGGCCTTCATGGCAGCCACCTTTATGGGTGTTTTGGAACAAGCCAATGAAAGAGGGACCTTTACTGGTGTTGGGGGAAGTGACTGTCCATCCTGCTCCCGTGACCTCGCACTCCCCAGCGATGAGGACCAGGACCTCAGGCAGCCGGACCTCCTGCTGGCAGCGGTCCCTCCGCCACAGGCCTTTCTGTGCTTGTCTGTCCCACGCCAGCGAGCCAGGCATTCCAGCTCATCACCCGCAAGGTGGCAGTGCTGGGCAGGCCCACGCACACGCCCTGGAAAGGGCATCCCACCTGGCACGGCCTGGGGTGTGGTGGGGCCTTCACCTGCGGCCAGTTGTCTGCTGTCTACACGGACTGGCCCCTGCTGTGAAACGTGTTTCCCACTGACGCACCTGTCCGACTAAACGTAGCAGGGTTCAGGGTGGTTGGTGCCGCGTGGTGGGTTTCCAGCGGGGCCTCTGGAGGATGAACTACAGAACCACTCACGCTGTGGCCCGTGACCTCCAGTGTCTTCCTGATGGAGCCACAGACCTAGAGACTCCACAGTGAGTGACCAGGGAGACTTGAAGGCATAGATCCCAGACTTGGTTCTGTCACTCCCCGGATGACCTTGAGAACGAATCACCCTTCCTTATTAGATGGCACGTGGACCGTGTTCAGCAGTGCCTGGCCAGCGCGTACATCAGAGGGCTCAACAGACGGCGGTTCTCTGGGCTCTAACCAACCACTGACCGCTGTAGGCTTGCCTGCCCACCCCCAGAGCAGCAGGCACACCCAGGGCTCCCCACGTCTGGCCTGGCCCCCTAGTGATGGACAGTGGGAATGACCATTGCCAGACCCTCCGCCCTCAACTTCTAAATGCCACACTGCCCCCATGGCTTTTCCTAGTAACTTAAAGGTACAGGAAACCCATTTCTACTACTTTTCTATGTTTCTTTGCAAAGATATATAAAATTTAAGTGATTTTCTTCTACACTTTTCCTTGTAATCCTTTCGCACTGTGATACCGTGACTTAATAGCAGTCATCTCATTTTGCTGGATTAAGTGACTAAACTTTTTGTACCAAATTATGGCATAATATTATTCTAGTAACTCACTGTACTACTGAACATTTCTCGTTTGTTTTAAAAATTGATTTAAACCACTCACTACAAAGTCATTTTAAAAATACTCCGCAGAAACTAGGCAACATCCGGACTAACCCTGGGACAGGCTGACAGGTCACAGGGAGCAGCCAGGCTCCGCTGGTGGCCGTGGAGCGAGGCCGCCCGGTGGGCCCACGACAGCTGCGCAGCTCCAAGGGGATGCGCGACCTCGCCGGGGGTTGGACACTGAACGAGACCCCCGCTGGTCTTCCCTGCGTTCCTGTCTGTAGAAAGCTTACACCAGGGCTGCCTTCTGTCCGAGGGAGATGGGCCGCATTCGACCCCGCACCCCCTTTCTTCTCTGGGGTGACCCGGTTTAACCCTGTGGGGTTCTGACGGGCTGGCCGTTCGAGCTTTCTAGCACCACGTAATGCTCACCGGCCTCATTGTCCTCATGCAGGTGACTCTGGTCTCCGCAGATCCGGGGAAGGTGACCTGCGAGCTGAGGGTGGAGGAGGAGCACACCAACAAGTTTGGCACCCTTCACGGGGGGCTGACGGCCACCCTGGTGGACTCCATCTCAACGCTGGCGCTGCTCTGCACGGAAAGGGCCCTGCCGGGCGTCAGCGTGGACATGAATATCACGTAGGTAGCCCAGCTGTGCACCTCGAGGCCCACCCTGCAGCCTCCCCGGCCTCCAAGTCTAGAAGCCCGGGAACTGCAGGGACAGCGCGTCAGCAGGAGAGGGGGCGTGGCCTAGCCCTCCAAAAAGCAGGCACTCTACCTCCAACCCGGGTGCTGGTGGGAAAACCACCACGCAAACTCAGGGCTCCTGTGGAAGTCACTTCAACTGAGGGTGCAATAAGCACGTGGCAGGGCAAGAGGAAGCCCTCCTGGGATGGCAATCACAGGAAGCAAGCGTGTCCCCGAGCAGCTGGGTCAGGGGGCCGTCCCCGCCTTCCTCCAGGCAGCGGCCGGGCGTGGCCCTTCCCAGCCTTCGTGGCCGTCGTCAGACCCAGCTGCTGTCCCCCCTCCTCCGAGGCACTGCTGCCTTCGCAGCCCTAAAGAGTGTGAGTCGGGTGTGGCTCGTGCTTTCCAAGTGCGTGTTGACGAAGCTAGGACGTGGCCTCGAAGACGTACTGTCGGTATTCCAGGTGACAACTTAGGACTACAGGGTGGTAGGAAGGACATGTTAGATGTCTGTACACAGTTGTCACCAGGACCGTAAGGCTCCACATTCGTTCCTCAGTCTATATAGTCACCTTAGAGTTAGTTCAGCTCGAAATACAGGTACAAATACAGCTCGAAATCTTTCACTGGCTTCTAAGTAAATTGAAGTGGGAAACACTGAAACCCCTTCCTCTATTTATGGTTAAGGACAAGGCTCCGTGACGTGGCTCCGTGATTTCCACTAGGAAGAGCTCAACACAAGAGGGTGTTTCTCTTTTAAAAAGCACTGCCAGTAACACTGTAACAATTTCCCCTCAAGGTACATGTCGCCTGCTAAAGCCGGAGAAGTTGTGGTCATCACAGCGCACGTCCTGAAGCAAGGAAGGACACTGGCCTTTGCCTCCGTGGACCTGACCAATAAGGCCACGGGGAAGCTGGTGGCGCAGGGCAGGCACACGAAGCACCTGGGGAACTGAGCCGAGCGCAACCCGAGACCCGGCCAGGGGTGCGGAGCGCATCTCTCACATAACTGTAACCTTCCAAATAAACTAGCACGACTGGAAGTAGCCAAGAAGCGCCTTCTTTAAGAGCAGGAAGACCAGGTGGGATGTAGGGTGGGGCACCTTTTATTTTTTCACTTCAGGCCACTTCACTTTTAGGTTTTAATCACACAGATGAAAAATCCTTAGCCCAAAGTTTTCAAAACAGGAAAAGCAAGAAACTAGCAGGGCCACTTTGAGAAGGGCAACCGTAACGCTGCACCTGAGTGTTAAGCAGAAGGAGAAATAGGAACGAAGGGTCAATCCTTGATGAAGCCCAAGTCCTTCTGAGCTCTCAAATGCCACCTACATCTCTCTTTTAAACTCAGTTTCAAGACTGTGGAACTTCAAAACTCTCGGGCCCTTCCATGCTGGGAAACTGAGGGGCTGCCTGCCGTGTGGTGACTTGCTGCGGGACCGGTTTTCTCAGGGGAGGGGCCTACTCTTGGCACCGTGTCTAGCACCGGGTACAAAATCACGCAGGTCTCCAGGGTCTCAGGCTACAGTATCTGAAAGACTCACCCTGGCCGGTGTGGCTCAGTGCACGGAGCTGGCTTGTGAACCCAAAAGCAACCAGTTCAATTCCCAGTCAGGACACATTGCTGGGTTGCAGGCCAGAACCCTAGTTGGGGGCACATGAGAGCTGATGGATGTACCTCTCACACACTGAGGTTTTTCTTTCCTCCTTCCCTTCTAAAACTAAATAAAAATCTTATACTGCCCATGGTGTTCTTAGTATTAGATTTGTGTGTCATGGAGTCTTAGTGAACATCAGGATTAAAGAGCCACCCCACCCCACAAACAAACCCACTGTGAGTCAACCTGGAGACAGTCGACAGAAGGTGCTTCTCCAGCAGGACGCCACCCAGGACCCATGGGAACTGACATCAAGAATGGCTCCCGCAGGGTGGAAGGTCACGGCCAGAATACATCCTGAACATCTCACCAGGAGAAACGTCACACTTCAAACACAGGCTGTCCACTTCAAAGACACCAAGGTCAGTAAAGCTCAAGAACTGGGTCAGATTAGGGGAGACCAGAGACCGGGCAACTGAATGCAAGGCCCCTACGGCAGGGAGTTAAAACGCACTCTCTGGGGTGTTACAGGACAGGGCGCTCAGTGGCGGGTCCAAGTGGATCACCTGACGTGTCCTGAGTACGCTAACCAGACCGAGGGACACGTGCCTGAGGCTGAGGGCAAGGACGTATGAGCACACGGAAGGACACGTATGAGCACAGGGAAGGACACGTATGAGCACAGGGAAGGACAACGGAAACCGAGGTGGGCGAAAGAGTAAGGGAGCTCTCTTACTCAAGGTTTTCAACGCTTCCTCTAAAATAAAAACGTAAACTGATGGTTGTTGAAATATAATCTGCACATTAACGAGCATTAATTCAACAGAGGCAGACAGTGAAGAGCTTGTGCCCTGGGGAGACAGATGTGGGTTATAAACCGCCCCCCCCATCACCGTGAGCTCGGCCAAGCCCCAGAATCCACACAGCGTCTCAGGTACCTGAAGACCAGGGCCCAGAACAGCGCCTGCGGAGGCAAACACCCCAGTGTCCCAGCAAACTTAATGGCCAGGAATCATACAAAAGCATGTTGGAATTAATCGTTTGTTTTTTTTCTTCCATTAAATGAGGCAGTATAAGGCCAGGCTAACAACTGTTAAAGGCTGGCAAAACGTCGATTCCTTTCTTGTTGAAATTACAAACCAAATGGCCAGGTTTTTCTTCTGAATTTATTGTTTAACCATGGACTATAACCCTAAGATCATTAGTGACAACTACCCAGACACTCAGGAAAAAAAGTTACCACCTCGAGTTTTGTGTATTCACCTGAATAGTCAGGAACTTTCACCTATTTTATTTAGGTTTTCATTTTTCCAAATCCCAATGGGAAGCTAATGCAGTTGGAGGCCAGTGAGCACGGAGCCCTGCCCGAAAGGAGCAGACGCGCCCAGGTCACTCCCATCAAGTGTGCGACCCTACGCAAAGCTCTTCATCTGAAAGGAGACAAAACAAAACTATACAGTAGTCTTTCCTTATGTTCATTGCACAAAATGAATTCTGCTTTTGTGACCGACACTCAATGATTTTTACAATTTAAGATGCCAACTTTAATAGTTTTTCCTACTCCAAAAAACCCTCATACGTTTTTCTTTAGAATGGTGTAGAAACCAGGATTTCTGCACAATTCACTGGAATTTTTTTTGTAATCAAAATCTCTTTAAAACCAGGAAACAAAACAAACAAACCAACCGCCTAAAGGAAAGCCCCGGACCCGGCGTGGTGCCCGCAGCCACGGGCTCGCTGCTGCCGCAGAGCCCACACCTGCGCCGCGGGTCCGCCCACACGCGCAGCGAGCCCTTTCCTAACAGCAGCCCGGGGAAAGAGATCTGGAAATAAAATGCGTGTACTCGTGAGTACTCGGGAGCAAACGGCCCAGTGGAACATGAGGCAAGGTGCCTACAATGAGATGCTTTTTTCATTTAAGATTTCTTTCCCGTGGTTGCATTTTTTCAACAACCACTTCTGGTCGTCAGAATGAATCTGACAGTGCTCAGGAGCAACGGTGATTATAGCAAAGCTATCAAGTTTTTAAAATGTTAGTTATGCCTGTTACCTTCACTTCGCGCCCCCTAAACGCTGATGACTAAGTCGGAGGCAAACCCAGCACAGGTGGAGACCCCAGAGAGGAGTGCCGCCCCGCGCCTCAGACACAGTGCGCATTTCAGTGAGCAGAGTCCGTCCTTCCTTCACATTTTCAAGATGCTGACGCAGCGCAGCGAAGACGCAGAGCATCTTCTTTCACACAGTCCGTGCAGAAGACATCTAATTGTGTTAAAGTTCTGAGATACAAATGATTTTTAAAAAAAATCCAGGATGAACAAGTTTCAAAATGCATAGTGTTCTGTGCATGAGTCCATTTCCTTTAAATTCTGAAAGAATGAAGTGGTGAGAAAACAAGAAAAGGCGGCCGCTGCACCCCATCGCCCTCTGCTGGTCAGCGCGCTACTCGGGCATGTACGGGCGGAGGTGGTCCTCCACCGTGCCCACCGCCCAGTGGGTCAGCTGCTCCTGCGGCAGGTAGAGGCAGACGCTGCACAACTTGAAGATTGTAGCTTTGTTTTTTGGAGTCTGGAGGGAAAAAGGTTTAACATTCTTAACAGAGAAGACTGTGACATAAGCGTTCAACTGCCACACGACGTCTGTCTCCCACGGTTTATTGAGCACTTGCAGACACAGTGATGACCAACACAGAGTAAGGGAATAAATGGTGGTTCTCACCCACTGGGACCCTAGGAACCAGACTTTTCCATACAAAATACAGGGAAACGACATGTAAGCACAATCACAGATAAAGACTTTCCGCAGGGGAGATGACGGCAGCAGCGGGGGTACAGGAGGAGTTAGTGACACGGAAACAGTGCAGCAGCAGAACTATAGCAGCAGACTACCTGCCGAAGGAAATTAGGATCCAAGGCCTTCCACGGAGGCAACTCGGAAGAGGCGAGAGGGCGTGGCTACAGGCAGGGAGTGCAGACCCGGTGAGAGCAGGCAGGGGAGGACCAGAAACGCTGCCTGTTCTATTACCCTTTAAAAGGTAAGACCTGAGCACATGCTCAAACAACAGACTAGAAAAAAGCTAGCGTGCTGCCAGATAAACTCCAAGTCTTACTTTCAAAAGGTCACTAGATGTTACCACCGAACTTGGGACAAGTGTGCTGGGTGCTCCCACGTATGACCGCTCCAGCGAGGGGAAGGTCAGCGGAGCCAGACCCCGCCTCCCTCCCAAGTCCCCTGAGGAAAACGAGTGGCCTTGGTGCGCCTGCAGCCTGTGCATGGAAGTGAACCTGCTCATGTGCACGTGTGTGCCTGCCACAGCCACCACCCCACAGACGGTGTGTACTCAGCTCCACGGGCCTGGGTGAGGGGCTTCCAGCCAGGGGGCGGCTGCGTCTGCAGGAGAATCAGCCTCCTGGCCCAGCCCGCTCTCTACAGCACCAGCCCCTCCAAACAGACCCTTCGCTCCGGCCCTCACCACAGTCCCACGTTATGGTAAAGGTTAATAATGAAGTATCATAAACTCTAAGTCGTGACAGTCTGGTTTAGGATAGGACCATGTATAAACAAACATTATTTATACTGTTTTATAAATAAAAATTAACTTGGAACACCTGGACTGCTGCCTAAGTTGGAAATGCCCATTTTAAACACGCACGGCTCTTCTGAATACAATGTGCCTCATCCCTTTAGACTTTTATTTGCTTTGAAACAGGCCAGCACTTCTCAAGAAATGCTGCGGGTCCCGGGAGGCTCGGTTCAGAGTGCAGACTCCGACTGCGCCGGGGTGGGCAGGGCCTGAGACTGCATGCACGGAAGACCACCTCAGGGCGCTGCTGTCAGCAGGGAAGCCACAGGCCCGCCGTTCTCACTCAGACCCCAGGGCCAGCCTTTTAAAAGCCCCTTGAGCCTTCTGAAAGCCTCCCCCCCCAAGTCTGATGTACAGCCAGGTGGTGGTGGGGGGGCACTGCACCAGCACGAGGCCCAGGGGACCTGCTTCTTCCTCTTCCAGTAACTTCACAGCTAATGCAGCGCGGAGGGCCACAGGAAACAGTGGTGGTGACCATCAGATTTAAAACAGGACCCTAAGGGGCCAGCACTCACCTGCAAGTGCTGTCTGTCAATGAAGAGAAACACGGACTGGTTTGGATTGTTGACAACAATTCCAGTCTTGTCCTTGCGGCTCAGTACGTGCAGAAACTGTTTCTCGTAGTCACCGTGATGAAACTCAAACTTAGCCTAGTAAGAAACACAAACACGTACATGTGACCACAAACACGTCACATGTTGCGAAACACCTACTGCACGCAGGTGCACGCGGCCGAGCAGCACCACGACTTAGTTTCCAGTGCCCGGTCAGGACACGCAGCCGGTGGCTACCACTGTGAAGATTCTCTTCATCCCGGCAAGTCCTGCCCCCAGGAAGGCTGGGCACGTCTGTCTCAGCAGTGGGTGGGGCACAGGTGAGGAGATCCATGAGCCCCTCCTCCACTCGGCTCACACCCACTGCCCAAGACGAGCCCTCCGGCCACAACAGCAAACACACCGGGCAGCCGAGAACCACCTCATTCTCAAGAGTCTATAATCCAAATGCTTTCTCCCCTTGCATTACAGCATTCAACAGGACGAAAGGAACTGAAAATAGAACTTCTACTAAGCATTTAAGTCAGACCCTATTCCAGGAGTTTCCACTTACAGGTGCTCACCACACTGTGTCAGGATACAGTACCTGAACAGGCCTAAAAGGCTCATCAGATTCCTTCCACCTGGAAAACAGGAGACAGACAATTTTCTCAATGTCATTCCGGGGCCAAAGAATGAAATCCATCTCCTGAGTGCAGCCGATCACGTCCTGCAGCAGGACAGGAGGAAGCAGAGGGAGAGATCACTTACAGACGGAGCACCACCCGGCCGAGCCGCACGCTCTGTCGCTAGACCGTGAAGACCCTGCCCGCCGCGCGAGGCCCACCGAGTCCTGTTTCACGGAAGAGGAGGTGTCACAGGACCCACGGAACCTGAGCAGCTCGGCACCTAATTCTAATTTTTATCTTGTCAAGTCCCCAGTCGTGCAACTACGTCCCTCCATCAGAACTTACGTTCCCCAGCTGCAGCTGATTCGTCTTTTTTTTAAAAGTCTCTGCACCTTTACTTCCTCTCTTCCAAACCAAAGCCACTGCAGCACCGGTGCCCCTGAACGTCTACGAACTGCCACCTTGCCATCACCACTGAAATGCTACTGCTGTTCCTGCTGCATGCTGGTCCCCCCCTCGTTACCCCAGCACGGCACTGATGTCCAAGGCCAGCAGCCCTCCGTCGTGGCCAGTGTGTGCTGACCGCACCTTCTCCCCTACCCCATAGCTAACTGGGCGTCTCCTCTGCAAACACGCCGGGTTAACTTCCCATGAGGTGTAGGAGCTCAGCGGGCTGGCCATAACAGTGCCTCCTACTGTTGTGACGTTTCCTGTTTATTAGTTCTATGTGACACTTCCTATTTATCAGACACATGAGGTTATTTCCCCCCCAAAAGGAAAGCCAATGGTCAGTCATATAAAACACACCCACATCAAGAATGGACATCAATTATCAGCCTAATACCACAGCAGAAACGTCACCTGTGTTTTATCTGAAATCACCTTTAAAGACTCTTTACTACAGTAACCACACATTCCTGGGGGGTACCCGCCCCACAGCTCACCCGTCTCATGGACTGGTACCGCGGGGCGTGGAGCTGCACCACGTCCCTCTGCAGGAGCTCCACGGAGCTCTCCAAGGAGTAGCTGGCGTCTCGCACGCCCCTCAGGATACTCTCCTCGTAGTTATTGGTCATGACTGGTATAACCTCGGACACTTCAAAAAGTGCTGCCTTCTTCTTCTGCAAGGAAACGAAGTGCATCAGTCCACTGAGAGCACACCGCCCAACACTCAGACCAAGTACAGGGTCATGCGCCTTTCCGCTAACTCACCAAAACTCTCAAAATGAAGCTTTGTGCTGAAAACACAGACCTCCCAGTGGGCAAATCCTCCCGTCCTCCCCCAACCCCCAGCCCTGACCAAGCAGGCGGTCGTCAGAATGTTTACCCGGTGCTTCCACAGTGCGGTGGTGCTCACAGCAAGTGCTTACTTTACCTTAAATGCTGTGGGAAAAACACCACTCCCTCAGGTGAAGAACACTTACCACTCTGGAAATAATTTAACTGGTTCCACCAACGGCTAAATTAAAACCTCAACTTTCAAAGAAAAAGCTGCGCGGATTAGCTGCACCCCCTCTGAAAGCACCCCACAGTACCTCCCCCCGTGGCAGCGAAGGGCACTTCAACCCCTCAACTTTGGAGTTAAGAGGGATAAAAACCCAGGGAGCTCCCAGTTATTTAGATATCACACTAAAGGTTGTTTTTCTGACTCGCAATCAGCTGATTGCAAAAGCTGTGGTATTTCCATGTACTCATAACCTAATCTCATTTCAAAGTCAGAGAAAGAAACTGCCAGTTATTTTAAGTTGGAGAAAACTACTGTTTTTTTCATGCTTCTCTTTGACAACTCGCAACTCACTATTTGCTATTTATCTGTGGAATTCTAAGACCAAAAAAGTTAAACTTCTTAGGTATGTTCGATTAGTCTACTTATGTCAGACAAGCTTCAGATCCAGTGATGAGGTTCTCTGAATGACTCAGAAATGAAAGTCGCCATAAAGCTAAGTGCAAGTTTCATGACGCTGCCCACCCCGGGCTACTGGGAAGTGGACCTGAAACCAGGAGTCCTGCGGCATCCCCCCCCCCCCAAACAGAAGCCTGCAGAGGAGACGGAGCAGCCACTTCTCAGGCCAATACTCCCGCTGTTTCAAAAACTCACTTGACCACTGGTGCTACTTAATGCCCACGAACTCTCAATTACCTTCTCCTTGAATACAAAGGCGATATACATCTTGAAGTCAAACTGGTCAGCTAGAGACTCTTTCTTCTTCCTAAGCTGAGCACGTAGTCTGTTCAGAGCTTGTTTCTTCCGGGAGTTTGGGTCCCCCATTTTCGAATGCAGGTGGTACTAAAGCCTTTGGAAATTGTCGCTAAACTATGGGCACTTTTTCTTAAGACTCAAGTACAACAGAAACAAGTCATTTTTCCCCCTGCTAATATGACTTAGTGGCTAGAATCACAACTGTAACCCAAAACTGCACCTTCTGGCGATATTAGCAGACTGTCACATCACAGGGTCAAATAAAAGGTGCTCCCCAGTCATATTGGACAACATTTGGAATGGGACGGGGAAAAGGAAGGAAGGAGAAAAAAAGCAGAGAAGATACTTGAACTAATTTCTTTGAAAATACATTTGGCTTAACTGCCAAAAGAAGGCCTTATGGGAAAAGAAAAAGCCTACAATCAGGACTTAAGTGTGCACTAAAACACAGCTGACACCAGTCCAACCCTTAAAATCCAACCGGATTTCGCCCCCCTTTTTAGAAAAGGAATTATGAGAAGGAAGAGGGTGGGGGAAGTGTGACCTTTGCTTTCCAAGTACCAAAAAAAAAAAAAAAAAAGAAAGAAAAAAAAGAAAAGAAAAGAAAAAACCCACCAAAAAAACCTCCCAGAAACCCCAGAACAGGGAAGGTGAATGAAACGGAAATACCCGACGGGGTCTCACCCAGCCCGGCCCATGGCTGCGGCGCCTACTTGTTCTCAGTCACTCCAGGTCTCGCTATTGCTACGTTGTCAGTGCTGTTATTGATTACAGTTGGTGGTGAGCAAAGAGAACAGTGCAAAGTCGGTCGAGAAGGACGGAGAGAGGTTCAGGGTTTCCCTGCAATCAACTACAGTGTATACCGGGGTCGGGCAGCTGCTGCCCGAAGGAGCCAGGAAGGAGAACAGCGGCGTTATTTCCCAATTTCCCAGAGCCCACATTTTCACCCTCAGGCGGCTGCCAAGGCTGCTGCCCAGGAGCACCATGATGGCAACAGAAAGGGGCACAGAACTCGATGGAACAGTCCCTGCGCCTCTCTCAGACAGCGCCCCGGCGCACCCAGGGAGTTAGTTCCACACACCCCAAGGGAGCCTTCCTTAGGACCCGGCCCCGACCGTGGGCGTCGCTGAGGCAAAGGGGGCAGTTCTCCCAAATCAAGGCCGTGCCCGGGGGTCACCTGCCTTCCGCCCCCCCCAGGCCCTCCCCCACCCTTTGCTTTCAGCGGCAGCAACTCACTCGCACCACGGGAGACACTGGATCACTCGGGTTTTCTCTCATTTCATCGTGGAAACAGTTTCCGCCCGGGTAGAGTAGGCGGGGCAAAGGGGGAAAGACCAGTGAGAATAAAGGGAATAGTTGTTAATAGTAATTACTTTTTAAAGCACACCCACCCCACTCCCCTAGGAAACGAGGTTCCCGGACTCTGGATGAGCGCTCTCACGTGGAACAGACCATGCTTCCCGAGTGGATGGTTCAGGGCGGGGTCGCGGACCGACGCGGGCAGGCTAGGGGGCCCTCTAGCCGCAGCCCGCGGGCGGAGCGGCGGCGGCGGCGGCGGAAGTGGCGGGGGCGCTGCTCGCGGCTCGGGCAGGAGCCATGTCAAGAGAACACCAGAAGCCAACGGAGCCCCCCCATCCACGCTGCGGCGCGCATTGGGGCCGGGCCGCCCGCGCTGCTACCGCCACGCAGTCCCCGCCTGGGACCCATAGTCTGGCTCGGCGCCCCGGACGAAGGGAGGACGGGACGGCGGCGAGAGAGAGAGAAAGGGGAACGAGCAGGAGGGAGCGGTCCCGCGGAGGGGGAGGGAGGGAGCCCTGCGCTAAGGTCCGTCGGCGAGTCAACCCCAAGTAAAGTTATTTCAGTCCAAGCATCTGCTCTGAGTCTTCCTTCCCCAAGCGGCTCTGGCTCGCAGGAGAGCGGGGCCCGAAAGGCGAGCGCCGAGCTGCAAGCAAGTGTGCGCGGCGGCACAGCCTCGTTCCCCGCCACCGGTGGCTGCGGAAGCAGCTGCAGCCTCGGCGACTCCGGGATCCGGGGAAGCCGCGTTTGAGACAAGCAGCCAGAACAAACAACTTAAAATGGCAGCTACGCCGCTGCGTCACCCGCCCTCAGCGGCACCGCCCCGAGCTCTCTGCGCCTGCGCGCGCCGCGGGCCCCACCACCTGCGCAATAACAGAGAGGAGAACCTAGAGCGGGCAGGTCATCAGGCTTCTTCAGGAGATCAGGAAAGGAGACCAGGAAGAGGGGATACGAATAACACTTCCCAAAGCGCGAGTCCTTTGAAGTGAAGCTACTTGGCCGGCATTTCCATCTCAAAGGGGAGTTTGAGAACCAAGACTCCCCCCCATTGTCCTGTATGGAACGTCCTTAGGGCGGAGACAAGGCAACTTCCACTCCCTTCGCCCCTCCGCCCGGAAGCCCAGGTCCCCGGAGTTGGCACCGCCTACCCGTCGTCACAGAGCCACGCTCTGTGCCCCGCCCCGCAAAGCACCCGGATGACACCGGCCTTCCGGGGTTTCCAGAGCATGTGCGTAGCCCGCTGGGCGGGGGGGGAGGCGGGGCGTAGGGAAGCGGTGGGCAGGGCGAAGGAGGCCGGGAAGTGAGTCCCGAAGTTGGGGGCAGGTTCTAGTGTCCTTTCCTTACGGCGTCATTCTAACCCACTGGTGGGTAGTCTTGGGTGGGGGCGGGGTGTCTAGTGGGGTCCTGCAGCGACTAGCGGGGAGTTCATTTCTACTGCCTGGAATTTAAACAACGTGCTCCAGGAAGTGGCTCCGGCGAGTCCCTCGTGTCTCTCTGTTCCTGCCTAGCCACCTGCGCGGGCAGGCTGGGCGGGCTCGTTTGTAAACAAGGTCAGAGATGCCTGGAGGGCTGCTACTTGGGAGAAAAACACCCCATCAGGCCGCGTGGATTTCTCTCCCTCCAGAGCATCATTTCTGTTGGGATCCCCCAGGACCCTAGGCCTAGGTCGTCGAAATGTGAAGCCGGCCCTGTGGGACGTTTCATATATATATGAAATTAAACCTGGGTCATTTCTGCTTGATCTGGCCAACTTCTATGATCATCACCAAGAAGAGTTGTTTGTTTTAATAACACTTTTGTAGACCAAAAAAAAAAAAAGGGATTCCATGGCAGGTAGAATGGGTTGATCTGATCATAAACCCGTAAGTGCGCAGGCAGGTCCTGGAGAGTAGTCACATCCCAGGCATGTAATTCTTCAATAAAACGCTTCTCTTTGCCTTAAGCAAGCCCTGTTCCTTGTGTTTTATTATTGAGGTGTAGGGATTCTTTATTCTAGTCACAAGCCTGTTATCAGGTTTATGACTGACTCTGAAGATGCCATTTCTAAAACAAGTAAGTGGACTTTTCCTGCGGTTAACAAAGCTAAATGTTAAACGTGTTCTCTCTGACTTTTAACTGACTTTCACTGAAGAACACAACGGTCATGGGTTTATATTTACTCCTTTTGATTATCTTTCTCATTTTACAGCCTTCCCAAGTGGCAGGGAAAAGATTTGCAAATCTTTTCACTCATTCTGGGAGTTATCCTCTCAATTTCTTGGTGGAATTCTTTGTAGTACAAAAGTTTTTAATTTTTATGAAGTCCAATTTCTCTGTTTTTTCTTGTGTTTTCTTTTGCTGTCTCCTCTAAGAAACCATTGAAAAAAATTTTACACTATACTACTATAATAATCCTGAAAAGAACAGGTTGGAGCAGATATCGAGGTAAAACCTGAGGTTTTCCGTTTTGGCTGCTCTGAATTGGAATTGGAGATACTGTGGTCCCAAGCTGAATGGCCCCCGGGGCTTGCTGTGCTCTGGGGCTGTGTCAGGCAGTGTGCCCTGGAGGAGGGAAACTCTTCCAGTTCAATTTTCCCTGCCACTTGGGAAGGCTGTAAAATGAGAAAGATAATCAAAAGGAGTAAATCTTTATAAACCCATGACCGTTGTGTTCTTCAGTGAAAGTCAGTTAAAAGTCAGAGAGAACACGTTTAACATTTAGCTTTGTTAACCGCAGGAAAAGTCCACTTACTTGTTTTAGAAATGGCATCTTCAGAGTCAGGCAACTTCGAAGGCAGTGGGTTGTGTGGAGTCTTGACCATGAATACCTGCTTAATTTCCCCTTTGAGGTTTTAAACTGTACCGTGAGATACACTGTAAGGCACTTTCTTGGTTGAAATGCAGATACTGCGGAAGAAAGTATCTGTATTTCCGTTTTCCGTAAAATAACACCTTATAAAGGTTCTGTGCCAACGCCCCCCAAACCCCATGGAAGACTTAGTCCAGTGGGCTCCACAGTTAACCTTCCAACCTCTAGGCAAAACAGCTATTCTGCATTCCTTCCAAGTTAAGAAATGACTACCCAAACTGTGCTTGTATAGACAATATAGTTGTTTGACAGTAAGAAAGACAGCAAAGTACTTATCATGTAGAATGGAAGGGCAGTTAAAGTGCTTCCCAGACAAGGTAAAGTTAAAAAGTTCATCATTGCCCTGAGTTGCGCGTGGGACTGCGAACCAGTCGATCTCGGTTGTATTCCCAGTCAGGGCACATGCCTGGGTTGCAGGCCAGTTCCCAGCAGGGGACTCATGAGAGGCAACCATACATTGATATTTCTCTCCCTCTCTCCTTCCCTTCCCCTCTAAAGATAAATAAATAAAATATTTTTTAAAAAGTTCATCATCACCAAGCCATTATATGAAATGTTAAAAGGATTTATCTAATAAATAGAAGATCAAAAACAATGAACAGTAAAATGACAACAAACACAACTATCATCAAGTGAACCTAAAACTGAACAAACAACTAGATCAGGAACAGAATCAGAGAAATGGAGATCACATGGAGTGTTTTCACTGTGGAGGGGGAGGGGAAGAATGGGGGGCGGAAAAGGAATAAGCATAGACGGTAGGCATAAAATAGGGAGAGGTTAAGAACAGCATAGGAAACAAGTCGAAACTTACATGTACAACACATGGACATGAACTAAGGGGAGGGAACGCTAGAGGGTTGGTGGTGCAGGGCAGAAGGGGGATAAAGGGGGAAAATTGGGAAAACTAACAGCATAATCAATAAAGTATACTTTAAAAAAGAAAGCAAAGTAGGTAACAATTGTTTTTCGGTATTCTAAAAAGAACCATGAGCTACCTTTCACATATACCCAGTACATTCACTGAACAGACATTCTCTCCTCTCACAAAAATCTGTTGTTCTCAACATTTCCCTCTGATTGATGGTCAGCAAGCATGGTGGATTTTCAGGGATTCTCAGATATTTTGCCGCTTCATTAGTGCTATTAAGTTTATGAGACGCGGCCTTGATTTTTGGTCATATTTATGGTCTACAGTTTGGCCTTGATTTTTGGTCATATTTATGGTCTACAGTTTGGTAAGCATGTACACAGAACAAGTGCATGCTCCAGTAGCCAGGCCTGGAAACCGGTTCGGATGCTCCGCAGTTTAATCCCCAAGCGGCAGCCCCCAGGACCCGGTCCCCAGATTTCCACCTCACGGGCTTCTCCCCTCGGACGACTCTGTCGTCTCGGGCTGGTACGCTGCCTCAGCCCCTCGGGGATCACTCACAGAATGTGCTCTAGCATGGGGTTCGGAAACAAAAATGATATAAAAACCAGAAACATGCACCGTTCTGAGACCTTGGCTTGCCCTTTCGGGGGGAGGGGGTGAACAGGTAGTGTGTTCATTCTTCCTCCGGTCCATCCTAACTTCACATAGGCTGAGTCTGTGGAAGTCAGTACTTATTTGTCCCTGAACTTGGAACACAGTTAGAACCAAAGGGATATTCAGCTGAGTCCATAGCCCCACCATGGGTTTTCTTTACTTTTGGACCTCTTTTTCTTCCCCTGCTTCCTTCCTTTCTCTCTCTCTCTCTCTCTACTTCCTTTTTTCATTTTCCACTTCTCATGCTTTATGCTCCCTGGTATTACCCAAAAATGTTACTTAGCCCCTCATGTACACCCCTAACCCAAAATACACAGACTTCACTACTGAGGGGGTGTCCCTCCCTCGCTAGTGACAGCTCTGTACTTGGGTTAAGGGTGTACCACCTGCTCCCCAAACAAATCTGTCCGTCAATTTGAGAAGGGATTTTTACCATTTTCTTTGCCTGATAGTACCAATCTGTAAAAGATGAAGCAAATACCATAAGGACTATTGAAATATTTTGGGATTATTTTCCCTTCCTACCTAAAGGGAATGGGGGCAACATACACATGTATGACATACACAAGGGGCGGTGCGGACAGAGAAAAGGCCCCGTGCAGACACCACAGGAAGGCAGGCGGCCATCTGCAGGCTGAGGAGAGAAGCCTGGGGAGAAAGCAGCTCTGCCAACACCTTCCTCTGAGCTCTCCCAGCCTCCAGAATTTGAGAAAACAAATTTCTGTTGGTCCTGTGGTATCCAGTCATGGCAGCCCTAGCAAACTAACAG